CGCAAGCCATGTCGGGCACCCCCACCGCCAGTCCACCTCGGACGGGTACAAGGAGCTGACGGCCGAGGAGCTCCCGCCCCTCTCAGTGTTGATGTGCTGGCACGCGCATCTCCTGAACCCGCCCCAGTTCGCCGCCGACACGAACCGGGGCACGTATGCGGCGCTGAAATCCGTCAAGTTCCCTTTACATGCCGCCGCAGAGGCATACAGGAAACACGCGCTGCCGCAGCGCCTGCCCCACATCCCCGAGAGCGGCAAGTTGCGCGTGATCCCGTCCATCTCTGGCTGGACCGTGGCCGACATTTCGGCGGCGGTGCAGCGCCAGAGCAAGATTATCGATTCTGTCTCCGCGCTGGGGTGGTTCCGGACCGACTTCAGCCACAATATCGCCCCGATCCAGCGCGCCATCGTGCGCTATCATGCCTGGCTTGACCTCGTCGCGCATGTCGGCAACCATGCGCATCTCGTCCCGGATATCGACATTGAGCTCGTGTGGCGCACGCACGAGCTCAAGGGTGAGCGGTACAGGAAGGAAACGGAGAAGCTGTTTGGGGAGCCGTTTGACGAGCGCATCTCGCGCATGGACACGGTCGGGATCAAGCGCACGGCGCATCTTTGGAAGGAGAGGTTTAACAAGGAATACCTCCTCCATCCGCCTAAGAACCATCATGCCCCCAATCCCGTGAGACGGACGACGATGCCGTGGTAATATCTTTCTTGCGAGTCGCGGTCGACCTAATCTTGTATCAGTAGTACTCATCCCCCCCTCATAGTTGAACTACTCTTTCTCGTCAGTTATATGTAAGCATGTATGTGGCAGTTATTCTTGGCTCTCCGCTGTGCGCAAGGCTGGCGTTGAACCGTGTCGACCATACGGACGTCATCCCTCGGCGAAGTCTTCCCTAAGACTCAAGGCGGAGTCCTTGCTAAGACTCAGACGCCGACGCCGACTTGCAGACCTTCCTTTCGATGGGGTCACAGTGACACCCTAGTATACAGGTCAAGAATTAGAGTCTCCGACAGATGAGTGAGTGACCTTCCTCCGACGGTTGAGAGGTCTTCTTCCGACGGCGAGAAGCCCATGGCACACCAGCCAGACATTCCCGAGCACTGCCGAACGAACTTGCGATGCTGCAAATCCTATCCATACACTATTCTAAGTGCACCTAGTGGTGGCTCTTCTTGGGGGCGATGAAGTCGTCGTAGATAACGTAGACGACGAAGGCACCGAGGCCGATGCCGAAGCCGGGGAGGGCGTTCCTGTGGGTCAGCTTAGACACCATGGAGTTGTTAGCTGGCGATCGACAGTGGCTGTTGTGGAGCTTGGACAGTAACGGGTTGTCGGTAATATCAGCGAGTTCATTGGCTCCGACGGCGTTGGGACACCACCGACACTTGTCTCGTCCAGTCCGCACAGTCTGCTTGTCGTGTCCGCCTGCACCAGACGCACCTGAACATGGACTTGTTGGAGAAGATGGGGGACTTGCGCCAAGCCTCCCGAGGTCCCCAGGGGTCGCGGAAGAGAGAGCCGGGCATCTGTGTTGGTTAGATCGGGAGATCGGGCGTGAGGAGTCGAGGGATACGAACGGTGCGAAGAAAGAGGTAAGGGGTGGAAGGGCGGAGAGGAAGGGAGCAGCGGGTCGCGACGAGGGTTTTGTTGTTGTTGTCGGCGCGGAGGTGGTCGCTAAGCAAGTGTCTCAAAGGTCGACGTCCGGAGTCGGTGAGCCATGCATGCTGCCGTCGAGCACCAGGCAGCGAGCGAGCGAGCGTCGCAGTGCTGCTGCGGTGGGAGCCAGGCGGAGAGGGCGCCCAGAGTGCAGGGCGGGGTTTACGGTAAATCCGGACATGTGGCGTAGAATGCCTGGAATCCAGCGGATGAAGCACGAGGGGCCTCGTGCTGGGTCGGGTGCGGGTGTGCAGGTCTGCGCAGACTGAGCCAGTAGGCCGAGCCTCGAGCCTTGAGCCGCGCGAGCCTGCGTCTGTACTCTTGGCTGTTACAGTGTGCAGGTTTGGGCACTAAAGGGCTCACCTCGATTATTACACTCCAACTTTGATCCATTCAACCCAAGAGACACAACTTCGACCAGTCACTTGCTCCACACCACACACACACCACTCGTTCGTCCCCCCCGTCGCACACACCCCCGCCCTCGCCGTCCGACACCCTCCCCCCCTCGATCGCCGGACAGCGAAGCGCTTTCCCCTTGCCCCCCGTGCGACATTGGTCCGGCTCCCCCTCCCGATCACCGCCAGCGAATGACTCCGCGCATCTGACCCGGCCGCCCCTCCCCCTTTACCTCACCTGCCCCGACCCTCCTTCGCCAAAGCGCTGGACGGCCAGCCCATGCCGTCCTCGCTCCTCGGCGGGCTTAGTGCTCTCCGCGACCGCTCTCGCGGAGCAGTCGCGGCTCTGGGCTTGGCAGGGGGCAATGTTGATAACAGTGCCACACCGCTATGGGTACATGGATCGTTTGACGATGTCCGACGCCTGATGGCGTGGGCCATTGCGCTCTGTCTGCTCCTCGTACTTGGTGAGTTCTTTGTTTGGTTGTTGTGTGCGCAGCAACGCGAGTGCGCGTGGGGTTTGCATTGGCACACTCGGATCCATGCGGGTGCGGGTAGCCCGCGTGATCGATCGACCAAAAGATCAATCAAGTCCTGACCCTTGTGTGCTGCGCACACTGATTGCTCTGCGGAACGTCTGCGTCGCCAATCGACCACCGGCTGTCGCGCGACACACAAACATCCATGCAGCTGTGCTAACCATGCAGTCGCGGTCACAAAGCCAAACGAGTCATCATTCTGCGCCTACCTGACCGAGCTCGCCTTTCGCCGCCACCTGGCGCACATCCGCTCGTCGTCTGACGATCCGGAGGAGCGCCAGAACTCGACCAACGGGAACGGCAAGGGAAGTGCGAGCGGCAGTGGGACGAGCAGCGGCGCTGACACACCGCCAATTGCCCCCTTCCGCTTCGCTAACCATGTTGCCATCTCCCTGCGAACCCCCAGTCTCAACTATCGATCGTACTTTTTCTTCGCCCTCGCCGTTGCTGGTGCGCCGGGCGCCCCGGCCTACCTGTCCGACCCTGTGCCTGCGAAATCGTCCAAGCAAGCATCTGGTGCCCCGTCCGCGGAGCCTGCCGTTGCTTACCTGGGCGTTCTGGGGCACTGGTTTGTACTCGGCCAGGTGCCCGAGCTGTTTCAGTGGATCTGGAGAGTCCTCCATTCCTCGCGCCGCTCCGGCAAGGGACGAAAGAAGAATGCCGCCTTGGACAAGCCTGGCATCCTCGAGATGCGCGCGGTCATGCCCAAGGAGGAATCTCTGTCTTGTGAGTCTGATTGCAGCTGTTGAACTTTTCTTGCCAGCTGACGCTCCAGCCCGAACGTCTGCCCTTGTGCCCAAGCTCTTATTCAAGAACGATTCAGCCAAGGACCTTACCGACCTGCTTCCCCTCCACTCGACCCCGTCGACGACGACGTTGACGACCGAGTCGAGGTCGCGTCGCGGTTCCTCTGCTAACCTCGCTGCCCCACCGACCCCGCCTACGGCCGATCCCAATGCCGAGATCAACTCGCCTGTCTTGACGGCCCTGAAAGCCGAGCTCGCCTCTGCTCAGAGTGTGCTCGCCGAGCTGCAGGCGCAGCTCGACGCCCACGACGAGTCGGTGTCTGCGGCGCAAACTCATCTGCAGTCCACGCTAGATGACTTGCGGCGCAGGCGAAAGGAGGACGACGCGGAACGTCAGGATCTGAAAGCAAAGTCCAAAACTCTCGAGGATCAGAAGCGTCAAGCTGAAGGAGCTCGACGTGAAGCCGAGAAGAAGCTCAAATCTATCGAGTCGATCCGTGACGGGCTCAACTCAAAGATCGCCGCGGCGCTCGGCGAAATAGAGGAACTCAAGAGTAACATGGAACAGAGCAAGAAGAACATCACCATTGTAAAGGAAGAAGGAGAGCGGTATATCAAGGACACGCGTGACGCCGTCAAGTCCAAGACGGCAGAACTCGGTACTCTCGAAGAGGAAATCACCTCGGTGGAGACCTCGAACAGCAACCTTTCTCAGCAAGTCCGCGAAGCCGAGGAGAAGCTCAAGTCGGCCGAAACCGCTGCTGAGGATGCCCGCAAGATCGCCCCTGAAGAGGAGATGATGCTGATGGCCGCCGCATACGAGGCAGCCGCTTCCGAGACCTACCTGCATGGCCAGCGCCAGAACCAGGCAGACTCGGAGTGGGCGTCACAGGCGGCTGCGTACATGGCTGAAGCCGGCATGCCCATGCTGGACCAGTCGTACACGGCCCGCCCCGCGCAGTCTGCTACCTCTGGCTACGGCCATCTTTCTCGCCCTCACCCGAACAACGCCTCGTACCGCAGCTTATCTGACAGCCTGAAGCAGCCCCCTGGACAGCGTGACGTCTCTGGCTTTGAGAACTTTGGCCCCGGTACCGTTGGTTCCGGAGCCGTCGGCACCACCCGTTCGCTCGCTTCTCGCCGCCCGTCCATCAACACTCAGCAAGCTCCCGCCTCATCTGTCGAGGACGCCGGATCGCCGATTAATGGTCCCATGTCTGCCTCGTTCCCCGACAGTTGGTTGCCGCAGGGTTTAGTGCGCTCTCTCGAGGGTGACGTCACGCCTCTGGACAGCGGGCTCTCTGACGCTGCGCCGGAGGACGACGACTCGCTGTTCATGACGCTGCGCGACGCTGTCTCGGAAGGCGTTCAGCCCGGCCAGCAGGACAATTCGAGCTCTGACTCTGCCGAGGATTCGCCTCCTTGGCGTACTCAGGACGGTAACGATGGTCCTCCTCGCCGCATGACGCCCACGATGCGCCTGTCCAACTCGGCCAGCTCGACGCACTCCAACTCGACAAGCACCCACACGCTACAGCACATGGGTTCTCTGCCTTCCCGCCGCTGGTTCTCCGGAGCTCCATCTTCGTCCGACAATCTGTCCTCGTTCAACATGTTCCCGACTGTCGGCCGCGGGTCGAGCGACTCGCTCCCTCTGCCCGGCTTCGAGTCCGCGTTTGCCCCGAGCGCGTCGGAGAAGAAGGCGCTCAAGTGGCCTCTGCTGAACAAGGCGCGGTGGTCTGGCAACACGAGCAACGGGATCAGCGGTCTGGACGAGATTACGGCTGGCCTGAAGAACGACCTGGGTGGTGAGCCCGTCGGCTTGTCCCACTCGACGTCGAACCCGACGACGTCGAACGGGCTCAGCGCTGAGGAGCTGTTCAACCGTGCGCCCGGGAGCGAGTGGATGGCCGCGTCCGCCCCTGCGTCCAGCAAGGGAGCCGACGAGCCCGAAGCGAACACGGAGCGCAAGGCGAGCTCGAGCTTCCGGTTCTTCTCGTTACGTAACAAGCATCAAAACCAGAACCAGAACTCGAACCAGAGCAACCAAAGCCAGAACCACAACGGAGCTGGGAGCGGAGCCGGGGCTGGGACGGGCCACGCGGAGAGATGAGATTTTGCTGCTAGGTTAGGTGATGCAAAGTGCCGTTCTGTCGTTGCGATTGTGTGCATAACTCGGCTAATTTCCAAATGGCGGTCTGTGCATCTGACGTTCCAAGATCTAGTACAGCTTGTCAGTAGTGTGGGTGAGCGCCAGGTGTTTCGTGTGTTGAGTGTTCTCTGTGTGTGTCTTGTGCACGCTCACTCGTCCACGTTGATCGCCCTCTTTACGACCGCCTGTTATCAGTGGCTCGCGGAATCGGACGCAGGGGATTCGCCCGATCATTGGATGCGGAGCAGAGAGGAGAGACAGGGGAGAGAGGGGAGAAGGGGAGAATTACCCCGCAAGGGAATAGTCACGTGATGCGGGCCAGAGTCCGGCCGAGGCGCCGTTTTTTTCAGCAGTAGTCGAGTCGAACTTTGCGCGCGCTTGGGTTGTTGGGTTGTGGGGTTCCTGACTGTCCTGAGCCCGCTGAGCCCGCTCGGTACAGCCGACATGATGGGCCTTTGTGTGCGATGCACGACCCAACGCTGGGTACTGCGCGCTACTGGCTGCAGAGTCCGACTGAGCCGCTGAGCCCCTCCTTCTCTGGCTCCAGGCCCTGAATCTATTAGCCTATCGCCCGAGTCGAATACCTCGAATTGCCCACAGAGACCCCGCATACCCAGCTTCCCCCCTCGGTTAGTCCACCAACCACACACCCACCACCACTTGCACCACCGCTGCCTTCCTTTCCCGACTCCCGACTCCACCCCATCTCTCTCTCTCCATCTCTCTCCTCTCTCCACCCCCACCTCCCCCATCCCACCAAAACAAAGGAAGACAAAGGCCATGGTCACCACCATGTCCCCGTCTTCGGGCGCCTCCACCCCCAAGGACGCTTACTACGAGGAACCACTCTATCGCAACTCGGCAGATGAGAATACCCCCTGGCTCATCCAAAAATATGGCGGCACCAGCGTCGGCAAGTCGCTCGACTCCATCACAGAGATCGTAGAGTGAGTCATTGGTCCGCTATACAGTCGTGTTTGTTGCTCGTCGTCGTTCGGGGTGGCGGCAGACATGCTCTCCACGACAAGGAAAACTCGCTTGCCATTATCGATCACATCATACCGTCACCCCGTGCGCGGGAGGATATGAAAAAGAGCCAGCGCGCGTCTGTCACCTGTCAACCGGGCCCGGCATTCACCGGCTGGTTGCCTCTCGCCGACCTGACCGATGCACCCATCTGGCACCGGTTTCATCGGCCCATAGCCTCCCCACTGCCCCGCATTGTCCAGGCCACTAACGCCCAGGTCCTACCTCCCAAACAACAAGGTCGCGATCGTATGCAGTGCGCGCAGCACGCAGACCAAGGCGCTCGGCACGACGAATCTGCTGCTCCAGGCGTCGCGCGAGGCGCTCGCCCCCGCCAGCGCGAGGCAGAACTCGACGTCCGCGTCGGGCGCCCAGACGCCGCTGTACCCCAAGCGCGTTGGGTCGGGCTACTTCTCGCAGAGCATGATGTCGTCCCTGTCCAGCCTCAAGGACGCCAAGGACGAATCGAGGTGCGCTTCGCCGTCACCCTTCCAGCCTCTCTCGGGTCGCACTCGCTCGCCCTCGGACAGCGGACCCGACACCCCGACCGCCAAGGAGGAGAGCTTTGAGCCCCGCTTCCACACCACTGTCGACACGATCAAGCGCGGACACCTCGACGCCGCCCGCCAGGCGCTCCGCCGCGGCCCTCTCCGCGATGAGCTTGAGGAGGAGATTGAGCGCGACTGCGAGGCCCTCAGGTCCTTCCTGAGCGCTGCTCATGTAAGTGTTACAACGCTTGACGTCAGCCAGGCGGGCAAAGATGGACACAGCCTTAGTCGGGCCTGGCCCGAGCGCCCCACAATCGTAGCTGTGTATGTGTACTGACTTGTAGATCATTGACGAGATCTCGCCCAGATCTCAGGACTCGATCATCGGCACCGGCGAGCGTCTCGCGTGCAAGATTGTGGCTGCCGCGCTGCGCGACCGCGGTGTCGACGCCGAGCTCGTCGTCCTCGACAACATTGTTGACGCGGCCATGAGCTCTGTCACCGACTCGGGCCTGACCGCTAGTGGCGACCAGGGCGTGTCGCAGCTGGGCCAGGCGTTCTACGACGAGCTCGCGCAGCGCCTCGGCGAGCGCCTGCGCGAGTGTGGCACGCGCATCCCCGTCGTGACGGGCTTCTTCGGCCCGGTCCCGGGTTCGCTTCTCGCCCAGATCGGCCGCGGTTACACTGACCTGTGTGCCGCGCTTTGCGCTGTCGGTACCCGCGCCTCGGAGCTGCAGGTCTGGAAGGAGGTCGACGGCATCTTCACCGCTGACCCGCGCAAGGTGCCCTCGGCCCGCCTCGTGCCGAGCATCACTCCTGATGAGGCCGCCGAGTTGACCTACTATGGTTCAGAAGTCATCCACCCCTTCACGATGGAGCAGGTCATTCGCGCGCGCATCCCGATCCGCATCAAGAACGTCGAGAACCCCCAGGGACAGGGCACCATCATCCTCCCCGACCAGGAGTTCCCCCGCGGCCTCGACACCAAGCCGCCCCAGCATGACCCGAACCACGAGAGCGACCGCCTCCCCACGGCCGTCACGATCAAGGACCAGATTCTCGTGCTCAATATCCACAGCAACCGCAAGACCATCAGCCACGGTTTCCTCGCGCGTATCTTTGGTACGCTCGACCGCGCGGGTGTTGTTGTCGACCTCATCTCTACGTCCGAGGTGCACGTCTCGATGGCGATGCAGGACTTTGGCAACGCGCGCCGCCTGGAGCGCCTCGTGCGCGATCTCGAGAAGATTGGCGAGATCACCGTGTCGCACGACATGGCGATCCTTTCGCTCGTCGGCCGCAACATGCGCAACGCGATCGGAAGCGCCAGCGCCATGTTTGGCGCGCTCGCCCGCGCCGACATCAACCTCGAGATGATCTCCCAGGGTGCGTCCGAGATCAACATCAGCTGCGTCATTGCCAACAAGGATGCCGTCAAGGCCCTCAACGTCATCCACGACAGTTGTCTGAACCTGTCCCCGAGCGCGAGCTCTTCGGGCGCTTCGTCCCCGGGCTCGCGCCACAAGGCCCTGACTGCCGACACGGTCAACCCCGTCGTCCAAGCCGTCGAGTACGCTGTCCGCGGCGAGCTGTCGATCAAGGCGGACGACCTGGCTGCTCAGCTGGCCGGCGAGCTGGCCGGGGGCAACACCCTGCCCTTTGAGCACATTACGTACTGCAACATTGGCAACCCGCAGGACAAGGTGCTGGGCCAGCGCCCGCTGACGTACTGGCGGCAAGTCGCCGCGCTCGTCGAGTACCCTGCGCTCATCACGCACCCCGTCGCGTCGCAGGTCTTCCCGGCCGACGCGCTCGAGAAGGCGTCCCAGCTCGTCGCCGAGTTTGGCTCCATTGGCGCTTACACTGGCAGCAAGGGCAGCTTGCCTATCCGCAAGCGTGTCGCGCAGTTCCTCCAGCGCCGCGACGGCTTCCCCGCCGACCCGGACCAGATCTACCTCACGGGTGGCGCGACCCCGGCCGTCGCCATGCTCATGGGCATTGCGCTGCGTCCGGGCGACGGAGCCCTGATTCCCATCCCGCAGTATCCGCTCTACACTGCGACGCTGGCGCACCTCCAGGCCAAGCCGGTCGAGTACCACCTCGACGAGTCGCGTGGCTGGGCGCTCGACCTGGAGAGTGTGAAGAAGGCCATCGCCCGCGCCAAGGCGGATGGCACGCCGCTCAAGATGCTCGTCGTCATCAACCCGGGCAACCCGACGGGTTCCTGCCTTAGCGAGGCGGACATGCGCGCCATCGTGCAGCTGTGCTATGACGAGAGCCTGCTGCTCCTCGCAGACGAGGTGTACCAGACCAACGTCTATGACCCTGCCCGCCGCCCGTTCGCGAGCTTCAAGCGCGTCGTGCGCTCCATGCCGCAGCCGATCTGCGACGAGGTTGAGCTCGTGTCTCTCCACTCGATCAGCAAGGGCGTGTCTGGCGAGTGCGGCCGGAGGGGAGGCTACCTCGAGGCCGTCAACCTGGACAGCGACGTCGAGGACCTCCTACAGAAGATGGCCTCGATCTCGCTCTGCGCGCCGACCAGCGGACAAGTGGGCGTGGACCTGCTCGTGTCCCCGCCCGCCGAAGGCAGCCCCTCATACCAAACGTACAAGGAGGAAGCAGCCGCGATCCACGACGGCATGCGCCAGCGCAGCGCGTACATGGCCGAACGCTTCAACCGGCTCTCGGGCGTGCAGTGCCAGCCAGCAGACGGGGCGATGTATCTCTTCCCCACGCTCGAGTTCCCGCCCAAGGCGAAGGAGGCGGCCCGGAAAGCCGGCAAGGAGGCTGATGTCTTCTACGCCCTCGCGCTGCTCGACGCGACGGGCATCTGCACCGTTGCCGGATCGGGATTCGGACAGAAGGACGGCACGCATCATCTGAGAGTGACGTGTCTCGCCCCCGGGGCCGAGGAGATGATGGACAAGATTGAGAGGTTCCACGAGGACTTCATGAGGAAGTACGCGTGAGTCCGCCGATCGCCGCGAGTAGCGGCGTGAGGCGTGGCGAGCGCGGGCTCCAGCCGGCTCCAGTCGGCTCCAGTCGGCTCCAGTCCTCAGTCGTCACCGTCGACATCTCGGACCAAGAAGGAGGGAAAAGGAGAAGTAGAAGACAAGTAATAGAAAACCCAATACCCGCGTGCGACTGTCGTGCAGTCGCTAACGGCCTGACTCATGGGCCCTGCGCTCCCATCCACAATCAACAAGCATATATCACATCACAATTCCTCCAACAGGCATACCGAAACCAAAGAGCATGTGTTATTGTCTTCCAACAGACGCTCTGGGCGTGGAGTTGAATGTTCTGTAACAGCAAAGTCTTCCAACAAGACTGGCTGGGCCCGCGCTTGCGGCCACCTGGGCCAGCGATAGCTGGCACAAGGTGGTTGCAAGTGTGTTTCTGCTGTGCTGCTGACGTGCTGCGTCAGTGTCGCACAGACGTCCTGCGATGCGGCTGGCGCCGCATGCAGCACGATAGGAAGGCCGACGAACACCCACCCCGCCCAGCTAAAGACACCCGCGTTCCAACACCGGGCCGCCCCAACTGTCGAATCTAAGCGCTCGTACAAGGAATATTAATAACTGAACCCCCCATATCTTCACGCATTCATCTTTATGTTACACATCTTGTTTTCCACTCTTGTGCTAGGTATATAGCTCGCTGCGCTCGCTGGACATTCTCATCTATTATTCATCACCAGGAAGTATGACTGATTAAGCAGTGGAAGAAACGTCAAGACTATGGAAAAATGAGAGGCAGAATCAATGGGTTATGCTATGGGTATACTCGTCAATGGCCTGCAGACGGCCGGCGACGGCTTGTAGCGCGCTGCGTGGCCGCAGTTCTCGCAGTTCTCGCAGTTCTCGCTTCTCTTCATGCCATGCTCGCTGGGCTCGCTTCGCTCGCCCGCTCGCGCTTACTCCATCTTAAACTCGACCTTGTCCAGGCCCGGGGTCTCCGCCGCCCGGCTCGCATTGGCCAAGTACTCGCTCTCCCCGCCCATGGTGCCGCCGAGCCTCGCCCCACGTCCACGGAGGAACGCGACGACCTCGCGCGCGCCCCTGCGCCCCCTAGGCCACGGGCGCTCGTACGCGGGCAGTTCCATCTCAGCCTTCGAGAGGGGGAGGACGTCTCCGCCATACCGCTCCGCGAGCCAGAAGCTTGCGTCGACATTCGCATCGGCGGCTTCGAGCTCGAGCAGCGTGTCCGTCAAAGCACGAGCTGCTTGGACGCGCTGGCGCAGCACGTGGCGCACGAGCACGCGCGAGGGCAGCTTCTCGGGACGCACATACTTCTCCGCCTCTTTACCCGCCGGCAGGCCGGCGACCTGCGGCGGGTTCGGCGCATACGACGCTGCCCGGTCTACGAAACTGTTCAGGTTCATCTCGACGCGGGACCCGAGCCAGACGCCGATCAGCACACGCCACGCCGCCACCAGCTTCTTCAGCCCGGCGTAGTTCCGGTCAATCAGCGCCGCATGGTACTTGCTCAACAGCCAGACGACGCCCGCAGCAAAGAGCCCGCCGAGGGGGACTGTGCGGAACATCCACAGGAAGATGAAGAAGTAGATCGGGTACAGCAGGAAGCTGATGAAGATGCCTAGGAACACCTTCATCTGCGCCTGTGTCTCGAGCTCGTTCTCGGCCATGTTCGCGCCGAGCATGCCGATGATGTAGAGCGGAATGTTAAACAGGAACGGCACGACAAAGAGCGGGAACTGGATTAGCGAGATGAACGTGTCCTTGATCAGGATCGCGAGCGTGCGCAGTCGTCCGGGAAGGGGAACCACCTTGTTCGGGTCCAGGTTGCGCTGGAGCGGGAGGTCCGTCAGCGCACCGTTTGACAGGCGCGAGGCGACAAGCAGCTGGTGGTACGTGTACAGCATTTGCTTGAGCTTCTCGATCCGCGGGTCGTTCGTGCTCAGCAGGTCCACCAGCGTCTGCTGCACGTCGACGTAGTCGGCCAACGCCAGGTCACGGTCGTACTTCCACAGCAGCTCGCGTGCCATGTCCGCGGCATAGTTCGTCTCCCTGTCTGTCAGCTCTCGTTCGTTGCAAACAAGCTCACCAGTCAGGTCCATTGACAGTCGTCTTGTACAGCTCCAGCTCAATGTCGCGCGTCAGACGCTTCACGGCCGCCTTCTTCGCCGCGTCGCCGCCGCTCAGGAACTCCTTCTCGTACCGGTCCGTCGTGATCGGCGGGCAGTACGTGATCACAAGGCGTGATCGGTACTTGCTCTTGTCGCAGTACGCGATACCAACCGGCACAATCGTGACTGGCTTGCCCTTGTGGGGCTCCTGTCCGTCGCCGCCCTTCAGGTAGATCAGGTACTCGAGCGCCGACCACGCGAGACCGTCCTTCAGCGGGATCAGGCGCGGGTTCGTGTGCGACGTGCCCTCGGGAAACAGGCCAATGCATTCGCCCGCGGCCATGGCTGCATGTTAGCTTTCCGTCCGTCGCCGTAGCTTACCCTCAAAGGTGCCCTTGAAGAGCTTCTGGTTGTTCTTCGTCTTGCGGTCGACGGCTGAGTCTGTCAGTGTTGCCGTGACAAATGCATGCCGAAGTGACTGTCACCTCGGGGCCGAGTGGCACCCTGGTGCTGGGGCGAGGGTCACGCGGCGGCGACTATACGCACGGATGTTACCAGCATTCTGCATTACGGCTCGCATGACGGGGTTTCGGAACAGCGAGTCCTTGACCCAGTAGTGCAGCGAGTAGCCGTGGGGGACAGTGTACGAGAGCACGGCCGGCTAACGAGATCAGCTAAGCTCTGCTTGGCGGCAAAAGTCCGGAGGCCAGTGGCTCCCCGCGGACACGACTCACGTCAATGGCCATGTTCGTGTGTGTGCACGCACTGTCGTGTCAGTTGTCTCACGTCATGTGGAATGCTTTGAGGCAGCATCGTGTGCTTGTGTATGTGTATGCAGAGGGGGGATGCTGATAACATTGTGGCGAGAGGACGCGTTGAGTGAGGCAGATAGCCGAACAATGACCGCCTCCACTTGGAAGAGTCAAACTCACAAGATGATCGGGCCCTCCTCTGGCACGTTCTCACTGCCGTAGACCTCGATCTTTCGGAAGAAGCTGGTGATGCCGCTTCCGAACATGTTGACGAGCGGCTGGTGGCTGAAGCCGAAGCCGGTCATGATGGGCAGGTGGACTCTGTGGTGGTGTGCGTAACTGTGCGATGCTGGATTCAACCCTCGTTCCCCATAAGATGACGCGCTGGGCCACTATCCATTGCCCTTGTTCGGACCAGTGGGCCGGGGTTGGGTCACGTGCGAGGTGCCTTGGGGCGATCATGGGCGCAGCTGTCCTCAGCGATGGGATAATATCCTCGAATCGTGCGGAAACAAATAAATTTCCAAGATTACCGCGAGCGCCCGTGGTGGAGGTCGCTCGACCACTGCACAGAGATAATCGAAGATTTGTTGTCAACGTCGTCACACGGCAATCAACAACAGCCACTATGTCCGCACAGAACAAGGGTAAGCTTGCAGTTGCTCTGGGCTAGCTGACAAGAATCAGACCTCGACGCGGCCGTTCTGGCCTACCTTATCTCCCGCGGCCTCACCCGCTCCGTCAAGGCTTTCGAGAAGGAAGCCAGTGCCACCCAGGGTACTGAGGGTGAGCTTGAGCGCGTGTGGGCCAAGGGCACCGAGGGCGCCAAGGAGGATGTCGAGATGAAGAGCTCCGACTCTGACTCGGACTCTGACTCGGACTCGGACTCCGACTCTAGCAGCTCCAGCTCCAGCTCCTCGAGCTCTTCCAGCTCAAAGGCCAGCTCCAAGTCTAGCTCGAAGAGCAAGGAGACTGTCGAGGGCATCATCTCGGTCAAGGACGCCGCCAAGATCCCGCTTCCTGAGAGCGACAGCGACTCGAGCTCCGACTCTGGCAGCGACAGCGACGACGAGTCGTCCTCGAGCTCCGACAGCTCGGACTCCGACTCCGACTCTGACTCGGATGACGAGGAGTCCGGCTCTTCCGGCTCGTCGACCCTTCCTCCTCCCAAGAGCGACAAGGAGGCTTCCTCGTCTTCGTCTTCGTCCTCTGATTCCGACTCCGACTCTGACAGCGACAGCGGTGACGAGAGCGACTCTTCGTCTTCATCTTCCTCCTCGTCTTCCTCCTCTTCGTCGTCTTCTTCATCCTCGTCTTCTTCTTCCTCCTCTTCGTCTTCTTCGTCCTCCTCGTCTTCCTCCTCCGACAGCGACTCGTCTTCCGACAGCGACTCTTCGTCCGAGTCTGAGGAGGAGGAGCCCAAGAAGGCCGGCATTGGTGCCAAGCGCGCTCGCTCGCCCTCGTCCTCCTCGTCTTCTGCTTCTTCCGACGAGCCCGCCAAGAAGCGCGTGAAGGAGGCGTCCACCTCGGCCTCGTCCTCTTCCGCTCCCTCGTCGACCTCGACCCCCGCCTTCACCCCCTCGGGTACCTCGACTCCTCAGGGTGGCAAGAAGCCGAGGGGCGGACAGGGACAGCGCTTCGAGCGTATCAAGCAGGAGAATGTCACCTTCCACGACGCTCGTCTCATGGACAACAGCTTTGACGCTCACGTGAGTACCCTATTGTTCAACTGAGCTTCGATCGTCGGACTGTCCAGCTAACTTTCCAGATCCGTAACGGAGCTAACCCGAACGACTTCGGTGCCCGTGCTTCGCGCGACCTGATCGTCACGCGCGGCGACGGCTTCCGCAAGGAGAAGAACAAGAAGAAGCGCGGCTCGTACGGCGGCGGCCTCATTACGCTTGAGTCCCACTCGATCAAGTTCGACGACTAGACCCCCCCATCCAATGTAGATAGAGAGAGATATTGTTGTTCTTCTAGTTTTCCCTTATACACACCACCCGCATGACGCATCTCGCGATCATCTAGACGCATGCATCTCTAGACCCATACCAGCGGACTTCTTCTAGTGGCCCATCTTGTCGAGCTTGGCCTTGGCTGCGTTCTCAAGCTGCACCCAGTACCGCAGCTCGACGGCGAGGCGCTTGACAGCGTGCAGGTCCGGCTCCTTGGAGTGCAGCAGCTCGCAGATCTGGTGCACAATGTCGTCAACCTTGGCCTGGTTGTCCTGGCGCAGCTCCTCGACCTCCTGTCCGTCCGCCTCCTCGAGCGTCTCGCGCGCCTCCAGAATCTCCATAAGCAGATCGTGGTTGTCGACCTTGTCCGTCTCGTCCGTCGCCATGTCGTACTGCTCCAGCTGGCTGTCAGTAAAACTATCCGCGACCTGCAACTCACAATGTACTCGATGCGCTTCAGAGGCGAGGCAAGCGTCTCGTACGCTTTGTTGATGCGTCCCGAAAGGTCCTCGGCGAGCGCATCACCATGGTGCCGGTCCGGGTGCAGGTCCTGCTGGCGACGGAGCATGCGCATACGGAGATCGCGCGGCTCCAGGTCCATTCCGTTGCTCGGAAGCCTCTTCAGCTCCTCCCCGACATTGAACGTGGGGTGCTGCTCGCCGACCGGGATCGGGTCGCTAACGCCGAGCAGGGAGTGCAGCGACAGTCCGGGCGGAATGTTGACGAGTCCTCCGCAGTTCGGACAAGGCGAGGCGGGGTACGGGATCGGCTTCCCGCAGGACGGACACGGCCGCGTCGGCTCGACCTGGGAAGGGGGCACGTTGGAGCCTGAGTTAAAGCGCACCTGCGCCGCTAACCGCAGCGACGGGCTGGCGGCCGGAATGCGTGCTGTTGATGAGAGAAGAGTGGCGGCGGGCCGCGAAACGGCGCTGCGAAGAAACATGGTGGCGGAGGTGGAGAGTGAGAGAGCGATGGAGAAGTTCCCGAATCCGAGCCCCGGCAAAATCCAGACGTCATATGTCGCCCTCCCCCGGCCTCACCTCGGCCTCCGCAACGTGCCTTGCACACCCCCCGTCTCCGGTGTCTTCTCCACTCGCATGCTGCGCCGGGCTCGGGGGTTGCACCGCTGATGAGTAAGACCGCAGCACGCAGCTCTCCTGCCTCACGCCAACGCCTGGAATATCACAGGTGCATGCGCGATTTATCCTTATCTGATATTCGGAGATGCAAAGACGGGCGCCATAACATTCCTCCTGCACCATGGCTGACCCGGACCTAGGCCTGGATTGATCCCGGCTGGCGGATCTGGCCGGCTATGCGTCAGGCCGCTTGACGCGCTATCGTCAGGTGCACGAGCGATCTCTCTGACTTCTGCATCACCCACACTTCCATCACAGACACGATGCAGCGCGTCCCGCAGGACCAGGTCGACGTGTAAGCTGTTCCCTCCCTGTTGCGAGCTGACAGCAGCTTCAAGACGATCTCGATCTTCAACGCGCAGCCCGATGCGCTCACTGGTGAGTTGGCGGGTCGTGGCGAGATAGGCAGCTGTCCGAGTGAAGTGCTATAGCTGACAGACAGCCATTCTGAAGCACCGCCTGGGTCTCAAGGGCAACCTCGGCGACGTGTACATCCAGATCTTCGGCAAGGACGGCTCGTACATTCAGCTCGCGACGTTCCCGCACCCCAAGAAGGAGGAGGTCGTAGTCAAGCTGCCCCTTGACCCGCCCCTCAAGAGTGGTTTTGAGGCGCGCCCGCTTCTGTTCCGCTGGAAGAAGGAGGCGTTCGCGAAGTACAATGTGGTGAGTGGAACACCTTCTGGGGACGGTAGCGTACTGGCAGACTGCACTGGTCGCTGCACTTCCATGTGCGATCCATGGCGCTAGCTCGTTTCTGCGCACTCCCGCCGAACAGCGTTCCTGGCATCTAGCTAGCCAAAGCCCGAGGAAGCTAACATCGCAGCCCGAAGTCCCGCCGATCCGCTACTTCAAGCGCCCGCCCATGTTCCCCTTCATCCTTCCCGCCGGTGTCGCTCTGCTCGGCTGGTTCTTCTGCGCCTATGCACCGGGATCAACTGCCGATGCGTGTCGTGCGTGGATTGACCGTGTTCTGGGACGGTACACCCTTGCGATCACGGGCTGGTTCGCGGCAATCATGCACTTCCTCATCGAGCCGGCGTACATGGCGTCGCAGCTGAAGAAGCACGACACGCCGCTCGGCCCCAGCCTCAAGTGGATCCTGTGGACAGTGCTGTTCGGATTCGGCGCCATCGACGCTTTCTGGGAGTGCATCCTGTACGAGAAGATCAGGCATGTGTACAAGCAGACGGACGTTGGAGACATTGGACCGAACGTCGTCGAGGAGGTGACGGTCGAGAAGAAGACGCAGTAAGCTGGCGATGTATTCTTAACCTGCAGGATGTCTGGCACTCATATGCTCATCGCGAGGGCCTTGATATACTGGCGTACTGCAAGCATTGGGGCTACTGACGTGTTGGAGGCCCCGGGAGGTTTTCGATTCTTCAATGACCTCTGGCCGATGGTGCTGCAGCCATATCTCAATGATAAACGGGACTTTGTGGGAAAGCTTGGATCAAGAGAAGGCGTCTTCTAACCTCGTTGAATCCAGAAAGAAGATAGCTACGGTGGTGGCTATGTAATCCACCCTCTCGTCTCTATCGCTGAACCAATGCTGACTCACCAGCGCATGTTGGAACCAGGTCTGCGGATTGTTGACCTTGTCAGTGTCCAGCGCTCTCATCGAATTCTTAAACTACACGAGAACGCTGGCGACTGACTCCCGCCGCTGATTCCCGAGGTACCCGTGGGAGACCATGAAACTAGAGAAGGCATCCTCCGACGTCTAATGGAGTCACGAAGTCTGTTGACCTTGCCATCGCCGTTGAAGTCACGTGCGACACCCACAAGCTGAAGTGGCTCATCCCCCTTGCCGATGTGGAACACAACACGCCTCACACGTTTGGGCATCTGGAGCCTGAGAGGCACCCAAAACAGCCCACAATGCCGGACACATGTCATCGTAAGGCGGAGTGACCTCAGTGCCCGATGATGGTGTCGGATCTCAGCACACACACGTTCACCTCTGAGACACACACCTCCTCTTTCTCACGTTGCAGCGCCCTCTCCCCAACGTCTTCGCTTCCAGCTCACTATTGTTCACCACCATCTCGATGTCTCGACTCTCCACTCCATCGATTCTTCTACAGCTGTTCAACTGACATCCTCCATCAATCGTTATCAAGATGAAACCCACTGTAGGTGCCAATGCGGTCCTTTTCTGACGCCACAGGCACCCATTGACGAGGACGGTTTTGTTGTCGTTTCTGATGACAATTCGGAGGAGAACTTCTCGACCCCCAACAACGGCCCAGCGACCCCGACCACCCCCTCCCCCCTTTCACGCCAGGACATCGCCGAGGTCTTCGCTTCCTCTTTCACGCAGCTGATCCGGGACTCGGAGGTGAAGGCGGCCTCCCAGACTGCCGCGGCAGTCGCAAATGCCGTGGCAAAAGTCAGGGCCGAGCTGCAGAAAGACATTGAAGCACTGCATGAGACGCAGCTCAGCCTGTCGCTGTCGTTGGAGCGCGTTGAACTCAAGGCAGAGCAGGCTGAGCAGCGGGCTGCCGAGGCTGAGGCGCAGTTGGAGGAGATCAAAGACAACTGCCTCTGCAACGGTGGCAACATTAGCAAGACGATCTGCCACCTGGAGCGTAGGCTGGACGTCACCACCAATCACTGTTATGACCTCGAGCGCCGCATGAACTCGGGCGACTCGCTCACTGTCGTCCATCGCAACGTGAACGCTGTCAACCTGCAAACTCACAAGGAGGAATCGAATAAGCGCCTCACCGCGTTGGAAACCCGCACCAAAGCACTTGAGTGTACCTGCGAGACGCTCGAGAAGCGTACCGCTCCCCCTAGATTCAATAGCATGCCCATCACCCAGCCTGTCCAACCCATCCAACCCCTTTCTGGCTTCCAGGGCGGGGCGGACATCGCGCTACGCCGCGTCGAACAGCGCCTCAACGATGATCTCCGCCGCAAGCAGGAGAAGCTCGACTCGCTCTCCGCCCAGCTCAAGACGGAGCGTGCGCGCAGCGACTCCATGTTTGTCAAGGTGGCGGCCATGTCGCTCGTACTTCGTGGCGGCCCGCTGCCAACTGAGGATGGCAAGGTCCTGCAGAAGGTCTCGTCCTGGCTCGACCGCTTCAAGGCCAAGACGAGCGACCCACGCCTTCGCGAGCGTGCCGATGGATACATCACGAAGATCAACGAGAAAATGGTGGGCACCAGTACCGCATGAGCTGTGCCCTGTTCTCTGTGGTCATGTTGTCTAGTAACCCCCATGATCGCAAGGGTCGCCCCCAACGACAGCTTCCCGTATGTCCGTAACCCATTTATGAATCATAATCCACACTCCTCCGGCAACGGTGTTGGCCATTTGGCGCATCCAAATTCCCCCCGCCGCTTCCTCTCAACATTACGCCCTCCGAACGCCCGAGACAGTCGATCCCGCAGCCCTGGGCGTTGTTGGCCGTGTGCAGGCGATCGTGATCATCAAGGCGAGATGGCCGAGCGGTCTAAGGCGCTGTGTTAAGGTGATCTGCTCCTCCGAGCAGTCGTCTCCGCAGTCTTCGGACGTGGGTTCGAATCCCACTCTCGTCAAGCGAGTAGTAACATACTCCCTTACGCCAAATCTTTTGCAACTCGGGCGGGCAGTCGCTGGAAGAGGAGCGCCGACCGAAGATTTCCCTGTATCTTATCAGCGCCCTCCCTCCACCTGCGCCCCACATCCGAAATTTCAGATTACGTAATCACCCTGGAGGTCTGTGGCACAACTGTTCTTATTCGTTGATTTCAGTTTTTCTCCGATGAGTTTTCGTTCTCGCATCCAACAAGCCTCAAGAAAGCGTTCTCACTCCCCAGCGCTGTACATAGCAGCAAAAGAGGGTCCTCGCCGGGATTTGAACCCGGGGCCACTCCCAAGCTTGATCTCTGGCGAACCAGAGACCGTTGGAGGCAAAGCTCAAGATGTTAGATCACCCTAAGAGAGTATGATAACCACTACACCACGAGAACGTCCGAAGACTGCGCTGTCTGCGCGCTCCCCGCCAGCCCCAGGTCTCTGTTTGAGAATCAATCAGTTGCAATCGATCCCCCCATGGTCATGAGACTTCTGGATGGCTGACGGCCACTTGGCCTCCATGGCGTAGCCGCGAAAGAGATGCGCTGACTGCCTTTGAGACAGACTGCTACGGCTCCCGTTGTCTTTGAATTGAATTCGAGAACGATGGGCTGTGGGTGGCTGAGACATGCGTTGGACGATGAGGTGAGAGCACAAAATTGCTGAGGTGAAACGGCCAGGAAGTGGGTGCCGAAACGTCGATCCTTACGTAAATGCTGTGCGGGCCCCCGCGCCCGAAGCCAAGAGCAGTGCATGCCAGCGGGCTTCAAAACAGAGTGGTCGCGCTGTCTTGGACTCTACCTCACCCATCATGTCCAACTTCCAGCAGTACGCCGCCACGGCTCAGAACCTGTACAACCAGTACAAGGCTGGCCACGATGCCCCCGGTGGCTCGAACAACTATGGACAGTCCGGCGCTGGCGCTGGCGGCGTGAACGACATCATCACCAAGAACCTCTCGGCAATGCTTGTCCCCGACTCGCAACCGCAGCAGCAGACCCAGTCGCGTGGTCTGGGCTCCTTCGTTAGCGGTCTTAGTGGACTCACGAGCGCCGCCACTCTCGACGAGAACAAGGTCAACGAGGCCCACAATCGTGCCTACAACCAGCAGGGTGGCGGTATGTCTGACCAGGACGCCGGTGCTGCTGCTGGTAAGGAGGTCTTCGACCGCATTTTCGGCAGCAGCGGCAACAATGGCAACCTTGCGAACGACGTTACCGACCTGTACGGCACCGCCGCGAAGGAGCAGACTGGGCAGCAGTCGCGAGGTCTCGGCTCGAGCCTCGGATCGCTCCTCGGTGGCGCTGGCCAAGCACAGCCCCCAAGACAAAAGGACACGTTCGAGAAGATCGTGGACCTGATCTCGCGTGAAGTCGCCAAGGTGAGCTGTAACGCTCTCCAACCCAGCTAACAACAGATTATGAGCAGCGGCAAGGGCAACAACCAGGCCGACGTTGCTGCTGCCGCCACGCAGACATTCACGCAGCTGATGATCAAGAAAAAGCTCTATTCCGTGAGTTGTGTGTAATAGTTGCCAACTAACTGTCAGTTCATGGGCAAGCCTGCTCCCCAGGAGACGCCCCAGGACCACATGGGCAGCTTCCTCGGCGCGATGGGTATCGGCGGCAACAAGCCTACCAACAACACCAGCAGCAGCAGTGGCGGCGTCGGTGGTCTTGCCGCATCGTTCCTCGGTGGTGGCAACCATGGCAACCAGCAGCAGCAGCAAGGTCAGCAGCACGGAAGCGGATTGTCGGGCATGCTGGCTGGCGTCCTTGGCGGTGGCAGCAAGCCCCAGCAGACCTCTGGTCAAGGCGGCTACGCCAGCAATGGCAACTGCGGCCAGAGCCAGTCTGGCAACAGCTACGGCCAGAACTCGTCCAACAACAACTACGGCTCGAACCACTCCAGCAACAGCTATGGCCAGAACCAGCCCAACAACAGCTATGGTCAGAACCAGTCCAGCGGCGGCTACGGACAGTCGCAGTCCGGAGGATACGGCCAGTCTCAGTCGGGAGGATACGGCCAGTCTCAGTCGGGAGGCTACGGCCAGTCCGGCAGCTACAGCCAGAACCAGTCCGGAGGCTCTGGCGGCTACGGTCAGGACCACGGCTCTGGAAGCTATGGCCAGAACCAGGGCTCCGGAAGCTACGGTCAAAACCAGTCTGGAGGCTACGGACAGAACCAGTCTAGTAGCCACGGCCAGAGCCAGAACTCGTACGGCGGCTACGGCGGCACCCAGTCTGGTCAGCAGCACCAGTCAGGCCAGCAGCAGCACCAGTCAAGCGGTCTCGACACGGCGATGAAGCTCGCCGGGCAGTTCCTCAACAAGCCCTCGAACAGCCAGCAGCAGTCTGGTTCGTACGGTGCCTCAAGCAACCAGCAGTACGGCCAGAGCCAGCAGCAGCAGCACCATTCTAGCGGAATGGACACTGCGTTTAAGCTCGCGTCCTCGTTCCTTAACAAGCCTCAGCAGGGCGGCCAGTACCAGCAGTACGGCCAGCAGGGCGGCAACCAGCAGCATGGCGGTGGTGCTGCCGCGCTCATGGACATGGGTGCCAAGTTCTTCGCCGGACAGAAGCACTAGACCGGCCCGACCGATGTTCTTGTTGTGTAATAGATGTCCATAGAAACGAGTAGAGTCATACACGCGCTCCGCTGTTCAATGCCATAGACACGTATTAGATAGTGCATGTGATGTAGGGTGTCTAGAAGTATACACAGGGGCTACAGTTGCTGCTGGGTAGAAGTACGAGATTGTTCTACAACACTGGGTCTATTTCTATTTCGTCGTCCGGTGGGCACCTTGGCCCACGAGAAGGAGAACACTGGCGAGCGCCACGTCGGCTCCTTGTCACCCGCCTCTCGGGCGAGCTTCTCCTCCTTTGCGCGGCGGTACAGCAGGCTCTCTTCCGGGAACGCGCTGACGTCGGGCCGGAGTGCGTCCTCGATGCGCGAGCTGATCTTGGCCCTCTTAAGGACAGGTCGCCACTTGCGCTGTTCGTCTGTCGGCGTCTCCTTGCCCGCGCGGATGCTGTCCTCCACCGTGGCCATGTACTCCTTGTACGCGAGCGATTCCTTCTTGACCTCGTCCCAGCGCCGGGACATGACGCGGATGGCGGCGCCCTTAACGTCGGCATCCTCGGATTGCGTGCGGTCGCGAATGATGACGGCTTCGCGGTTGATGCGCTCGAGAAGCTGGTTCAGCTTCCGTGTGAGCTTGGTCGAGATGAGGCCCTTGAGGAACGGCATCGCTACGGGGAGCAGGAGGCGGAAGAGGTAGTCGCGTCCCGTCCCGCGCGCAACGATGCGCATCTCGTCGACAGAGACCTTTGCCTCGTGTATCTCGAGCACGCGTTCAGCAGCAGGATCAAAGTTGATTTCGACATCAATCTCAACAATGATGCCGTTGCGCGAGAGGGTAACGTCTGCCTTGCCTTGCTCGAACAGCGAGAAGCGCTTGACTCGCACGCTGGCGAGCAGGTCCTTCGCATCGGCCTGTATCTGGTCGAGGCGCAGCTGCACGCGCTTCCGGTTCTTGCTAGCGCAGTAGTCGTCAAGCTCGTCGAAGGGCGTGAACTTGAAAATGTCTTGCGACTTGTAGGTGGTCAAGGTGGGAATGATGTTTGCGAGTGACAGGTGGATGTTCTCCAGCACAAGCTCAACTTTCGGTGAGCAGACCTCGAATCGGGGTATCGTCACATATCCCCATCCGCATACCGAGGGGAAGATCAGGCGGCAGATGTCGGACCACACGACCCGTTTCTTCCCCAGCAGCAGTACCGCAACACGCCGCAGGTCGGTCTCGAGCTTGCTTGTCACTGGGTCATCGGGGAACCACACCTCTGGCTCCGGATCGTCGTCCTTGACGCCGAGCCAGGTCGACACCGCGACAAAGAAGACGTTCCACTGTGCTCGGTTGAGCTCGTCCGCGAACCACTGATTCCAGCGGTCCCAAAGCTCCTCCGCCTGAGGAACGCAGTTCTCGTGCTGCAAGAACCCGCGCTCCAGGAGCACTCGTCGCAGGTAGGCGTCTGTGTCGGTGCCCAGCACTCCGAAGTCCGGGTCGTACAGAAATTTGCGGTACAGTTGCTGTATTGAACCTTGCACACCCGATAACGAGCGTCCATTGGCGAATCGCTCCATGATCTGGATAACACGGCTGAGCAATTCTCGGGTGCTGTTTAGAAAGGGCGAGTTGTCGGGGTTCTCTGCCGCTTCGCGCTCGTAGTACTGAAACGTGTCGAGCAGCCACGACATAGCCTCAAGATATCCGTCCGACAACTGCAGACTCGACCTGCCGTCAGCTTGCGGTCAAGTATTGAGCTCACACAGCCTTCTTGAACAAGGTGACCAGCTTCAGTAGCCGCGGATCGACGGCGTCGACGGCATCCTCAAAGCTGTCGTCGTCCGAGTCTGAGTCTTCTGGGACATACGCGCCTGGTATTCGGTCCTCGACGGGCTGGCTCTCCTTGTCTGGCACAGGAATCACGAACTTACGCTCCTTTGACCGCTTCTCCTTCAGGATCGAACGACCGACGACGAGGATCTCGGTCAGCAGCGCTCGGACCTCTGGGCTTGTGACGAAGAGCATGGTCAGCGTGCGGATGTGCCGAGCCGCCGAGCCGTCGACATCTCGTGACTCCTTCCAGGTCATCCACATCGTGTCCTGTATGATCTCGTCGGCATTCTTCTCGCGCAGGACTAGTCGCAGTGTCACGAGCAGGTCGCGGATGGCTTCGAACAGCTCCTCGGTGTCAGGTGAGAGCTTGACGTGTAGCTCCCTTGGCGGACAGCGCTTTGCCATGTATCCCAGGAGGGCATCCAGCTGTTTGTTGTCGGGGAACTGCCTGTCGTATGTCAGTCGGAGCCGTTCCTAAGCGGTAATTGGAGACTGTGTAGCTCACCCGTTTCGCAGTGCACCGAGGATTGCGTAAAGCTTCAGGTCGCCCTGCACGTCATGTATAAGTGCGGCACGGTCTGCGGGGCCACTGACGTGCGCTACCGCACCTCGGGACGGCCTCGCCGACCGCTCGCGATGTACCATGATGTGTATGGAGCGAACTTGAGAGAATCCCAGGTCGTCTGACTGACTTCTGTCAACAATGACGGCATGGTCACGTGACAGCTCCTCGTTGCGCGATGACTGGCGGGGTGGCAAATGGCTGCGCTCCCGGCGAGGTAAGGATGCGGAAGAAGACATACGGGGCAGACGCGAGAGTTAGGCTCAGAGGTAAGAAGGACTGAACAGCGACTTCTGCATGAAACTTCTCTAATACCGGCATTGTTCCTAAAGCTTTATACACGTTGGCATGGGCTGGAGCGAAGTGAGATCTCAACAACCGCGAAGCCTGAGAACCTGGTAAAGGTCTGCTTCTTCTGCATCGTCATGAATGTAGAATCCAATAGGCAGACTATCATCCAGCTGTTGTCCCTGGCAAATGATCCTGGCGTCAATATGGCATCACCGTATGTCGCTCGCTCACCTCTGCTGGTCAGGAGGTACGCCGTCTCGGTCTTGGATACGATCCTTGATGTCCAAAGTGGTAGCGCTGCGCCTGACCGGAAAGGTGAACGTCCTTCCTGTCAACGTGTGCACGTGTATGGTGAGAATCGGTGTGGCTGCATTACCTGTTAGTAGAGTTGAGAGCTGTTGCGTGTGATCCGCTAAACTTACCGCTCTTCTTCACAAACTTCAGTTTGGCTGCGAAACCATGGGCAGTGGTGGTGCTCGCAGGAGCCAAGCGGCCAGCGATCAAGCACACGAGCTTTTGAGCCTGACCGTTAGGCAGCTTGCACTTCTTGAAGACCGGGAGGGACCGAACCGACTGCTCCAAGGAGGGCGGGAGCTCCTCCGGGACAGTCAGACTGAGTATGTCAGCCACGCGCCTACTGATGAGGTGGAGTACGAACTAGATGCGGCTGATGTCAATGGCAACGTCGGGGTCTTGCCATTCCAGATGCTGGGCCCAGTACTCGCGCAGGCGCCTGACCGTGGTGTGTGGATTGACTTCGAGTGTGATCTTGTTTCCGTCACCTTCACCCTCGATCTGGACTTTGATGACTGCGGAGGTCAGTAGAAAGCGAAACGTGGGTGCCTACATTTGGACTTGCTGATGTTGTCAGAGGTGATTATAGGGTCATCCCCTGGTGAGAAAGCAGAGTAGTTGCTGCCCGGAGCACTCATTGTAGCGAAGGGGGCGAGAGTGTCGGATGTAGAGTTATGGATGGATGAGTTGAGGTCAACTCGAGCCATGGGATGACTGGACAAGTGATCGGCTGTTCCTGCGGACCTGATCGCCACCCCTCAGTTTCGCCGCGATTACTTGGTAGTAACTTTGGACATGCTTCCTCCTGCGGAGAACCAATCTCGATGCATGTACAATGAACCGCCTATGCACAGCTTATGAAGATGTCCTGTGGCTAGCATCCGCGCAGCCTGAGGACGAGGTGCATGCGGGCCTCCGTGTCACTGTCGAGGATGTAGTGACCAATGGGCATGTTGTCGGGCAGCTCGAGCCCTCTGAAAATGAGCCTGGAATGTGGTTAGAGAGAGAGAGACAGAGCGGCCTGCTCACCTCTGCTGGTCGGGGGGGATGCCTTCCTTGTCCTGGATAAAGCTCTTCATCTCCTCGATGAGTGCAGTGCGGGCAGCTTTGAAGCGGATCGCTGCACCAGTCAAAGTCATGATGCTGAAGTTGATAGTGTGAACCGCTTGTAATGTGTCAGATACTTGTGTAAAGCACCACAGCACTCACCTCCGGGCTTTTCGTAACGAACATGGTTAATTTCAAAGCCTAAGAACGTCCTGGAGAACTTCGGCGAGAGGCGCTCTATCTTCAGGCAGACCACGTCCTGAGTCCCTTCCTCGGTCTTGAGCCTTTTCTTCACCGGCAAATCGCTGACGAGCGTATCTCTGGGCAGACGATCGTTCTCGGGGAGGTAAACCCTGGGTGAGCCGGGTGAGCGAGGATATCACGATGCCGGCTTACTTGATACGGGAAAGATCAATCGCTACGTCGGGCTGCTCAAGCTCCATGTACTGAGCCCAGTGGCGACTGAGGCCATCGATTGTGGTGTGCGACTTGACGTCGAAAGTGACGGTGTTGCCCTCGACACCTTCAACTTGGACCTTAATTACTGGGTGCTGTCAGCTCGTCTCCCCATCTCTATCGGCCTACACTTCAACGGAGCGCCGCCCAGAGGCTCGATCGAGTCTGGTGCCTTGTAGGCCGTGCTGCTGGGACGTTGAGAGATGGTATTCATCGTGTGTCGTGAGGGAGAGACGAGGGTAGAACTTGACCATGTCATGGTGGTCATGGTCTTCTGGCTGTGGGGCGCAGGGCCGCGTGCTTGGGGTCAGGTGAATCAGTGTCTGTGTCGCGTGTCGAACGCCCTCCTTGCGCCGATCTCATCCTTTCTTTCGCTGAACAGCGCGCACAGGCGTTATAGTGCGCAACAGTCGCGAGTCTGCATTCTCAAGCAATACCAATATGTACAAACATGTGTCCTGACTAGGAGACGCCTTAACACCCCTTGAGCCTGAGAACCAGCGTAATCTTCGCCTCCGATGCAGTGTCCATGATGTAAAACCCGACTGGCAGGTGGTTGTTCCGCATTTCCTGTCCGTCGGCGATAAGCCTGGTGATAGCGTAAGATGTGGATAGAGAACTCACCTCTGCTGGTAGAGAGGGATACCTTCGTGGTCTTGGATGAAGCTCTTCAGGTCCATGACTGTCGCGGCGCGAGAGATCTTGAGGCCGAAGGTCTTGCTTGCCATCGTCGTGACCGTGATGTTGATGGTACAAGTAGCTATGGTCCGGGTCAACATATGGCATGAGAGATGCGACATACCTCCAAATTTAAGCTGACGAAGGTCTTCAGCCAGCCCAAGGGAAGTCGTGGAGCTAGCGGGAGGGAGGCGCTGGACCTCAAAGCACATCATGTCCTGGGAGCCATGCTCGGTCTTGATTTCTTTCTGGGCGGGGAGGGAGCCGACCAGAGCAGCGGTACCTGGATTGCCCCAGGTGGCGTGCCAGATTCTGGGCCGTGAGCGTCCTCGGCGGCACAAGCATACTCAAGACGAGAGATGTCGATTGCGACATCGGGGTGCTGCAGCTCCATGTACTGCGTCCAATGCTCCAACAAGCGCTGCATGCTGGTGTGAGGCTTGACGTCGAGGATCAGGGTATTGCCTCGGCTCCTTCGATTTGAACTTTGATCACTGTTGAGGGTCAGCTGGAGCTTGCCGCTTAAACTTGGTTTACTCTTGGCCTCGTACGAGAGGGATCTGTAGGCTCGATCATGTCGTTCCGGGCTGAGAAGGCTGAGGAGTTTGGATCCATGGCTTTGGAAGAGAAGTGAATATTCAAAGCACCGTAGTTACTTGAGGCGAGTTGCAGCTGAGTCACCGAGGGCGTTGCTCCTGATCAGCGTCGCCTAGACACAATGGCCAGACTTTGACGTCAGAATGAAACGCGATCGCCATGTCTCTGGTGAGCAACCGCACCCGGCTGCCTAGAAACATCTCCATGATCTTACATGCCCCTTCGCGGGATGCGGCCATATGGCGTTCAGACAATATCATCACAGGGTTATTGGAAGCGCCTGTCCTCAAAGATGTCCACTGTTATGTTCTCGTCGTCCTCAGCAATGAAGTTGCCAATCGGAGTGTCTGTTCTGGGAAGCACACCACTTGCGTGCACCAGTCTGTGGCATTAGCATAACAAAAATGACCTCCACGTACGAGTAGGGATAGTCTTTGGTCCTAGAAACCATGTGATGCTCCTTCATCGCGTCGTATAGCTCCGAAACAGAGCATGTGCTGTCTAGACGCACCCACAACTGCTTCATGCTGGAGGGATTGTGGAAGGTCAGTCCCAGCGTATATGCTGACGTCAGGACTCGTGCGGTACCGAAACGTACCTGCGGGGGGACTACTTGCTGACTTTATCAGTCGCGTCTCAGAAGGGATCCGAGTTACGTTGAACAGGAGCTCTGTGCGTCCTGACTTGCTGTAAAGACGCTGAACAGTGATGCCGTCATCCACTGGGCCGTCCTTATCAACTAGCCTCAAGTGTCAGCGGAACCACTGGGCCGAGATCATACTGTAGACGTGTGGGGTCAACAGCAACGTTCCCGTCCTGCATTTCAAGATACTGGGCCCAGAGCGGAAGAAAGCGCGAGACTCGAGTTGACGGCTTAACCTTGAACGTCATTCGAAGGTCATCTGTTCCCTTGAGGATTACATTAATGGCTGCTGGTCAACTTCGATGCACAGTATAGAAGCATGGGCTCACAATCAGTCTGTAACCGCTTGGGTGGCTCGGGTGGGAGCTCGAGAATGTGGAGTGAATACTTGCGTCTTGTCCCTGCCATGTTTGAGAGTGGATGCAGCGATGCAGGAAGGAAATGTCGAGGTTCAGTCGAAGACGTGGTTCAAGGTAATTGAGTCCAAACAACGGGCACGCGCCAGACGCGTCTGATGTGATGACGCGCACCCGTACCTGAACTCCCTCTTCCACTTACAGCTGATACTACTGGGAACAATTGTGAGTCGTCACCCAATGGCTACAACGAAGGCTCCTCTTGCAACTATCACAACCCTCTCATCCCTGGAAAAGTCGCAAGAGCCCCTCCGTTCCCACTGATGCTGCATGATATCGCCTAACCCGTAGACGCGAAAGCTGAAAGAGTGTACGATCGGCAACTTGGGCCAGGGTGGGTTGTCAGGATGCCGAGATTCAAGTCGCTCTGTGCCTGAGACGGGGTCTCCGGAGTGCTGCATGCTCCTGGCTGTGAAAGAACGCTCTAACGGCTTAGCAACTCAACATTCTGGAGTACGACCGTCACCAACATCACCATCACAGTTATCTAAAGGACGTTGTTGATACTCCTGAACGTTTCTCGGGCGTGAGAAGCTGCCCAGAAGGACGATCGCCGATCTCTCACGACGCCCCTCGCAGCTCTACTGCTTCGCACTTCCTTTCCAGCCTTCCTTCCCTACTATCGACTTTACCAACTCATCGACTCAAGTTCACCAGTAACGAACTCATGGCGGATAACCATCGCCAATGCCAAGGGCAGGCTGTCACTGACGAAGGTTCGAACCTGTCTTCAGCGAAATGCTGATCTGCAGCGGTGACGGTGGAGGTGAGAGGCACGCACGGCAAGTCTCTCGAGCTCTTGGCCGAGCCAGCAACGACGATAAAGGCGATCATCCATCACTGGGCATACTTCCTGGAGCAGAGCGACCCCGATGTGGCTGTAGACGTCAACCGAGTGGAGTATGTGTTGGAGACCCGTTCCAGAGACCTTTCCCTGACTCTCAGAATGAAGGATGCGGAGGAAAACGCTCTCGACCCGGTCATCAGCATCGGCCAACTCGCTCGGTCGATCAACGCGACGGGGAACATTGTCCTTACACCATCGAGGAAGCCGACTGAGCAAGAGCAGCAGAAGCTTGAGATCGACCAGCACCTAAGCTCACTGCCGGATCCCCAGTACGACAAGCCGGGCGGTTAGTAGAGGTGGAGGTCCTTGCTGATGGCAGTGTCGGATCTCGTCGTCCTGTGGGTGCACACCACGAGTAAAGACATCAAACAGGTGAACATGCTCCGTCAGGCTTCCGTTGAGATTCTGATGAGTCTCGCTGCTGGCTATGAGGAGATAGCGGACAACGAACTCCAGTACGTCTCCCTCTCCTGCTCAACAGCTGACCACCAGGTTGACCATCGACGGTCAGACCCTGGATCCACGTAACAAGATCGGCGCACACGTCGACGACAATGACAGCGAAGCCCACATCTATGTGCACCGCATCTAAGTCAATGATACCCTTGGTTCTTTCTCGCACGCTATGAAGTTCTCAAGGCTGAATGCATGACCCCGCGAACCACAGCGTACAATCATCTCTCCCCACGTCTCGTTGAACTGAACAATCTCGATGTACTCACCGCCTTCACACTCACGCACCAAACGCAAACGGAGGAAGGACGATGCGAACAGCACGCTGAGTTTCCGCATCGTTCATTGTGCGAGCATGTCGGCTACTCGTTAAGCCGGAGAGGTCTGGCCGCGTTCAAAGACGGCTGTGATGACGTCGAGACACGAGGAGTTGGAATGCCGGAGACCTCGTGCTGAAGCAGTGGCTCCGGCCTGCTGCTGGTGCCCTGCTGCGATCGGCGTTGGCATGATGCCTGCAGCCCGTACTCGGGATGCGCTAGAGCTGGATACCTCCAAGTGTGCCGGGCATCTGGTATTGGGTCAGCTGACGCACCCCAAGCGCCTAACCATCTTCTGGCCTGTACTGACGAACGTGCTGCTCGGCTATCAATTGCACGGCCCATGCTGATGACCGACATGCCTCTCACTAGACGCCGGTCAACGCACTCCGGGTTCTCTGCCTTCAAGCCTCCACATGCTCTATCAATAGCAAGACTTTGTGGTGACAGTGAGTCAGTGGGGAAAGAGGCGGTGCTGGGGCCGACTTTGGGGTCCCCGGGGTGATCGATCGGCGTCGGCAGCCTCCTCCGGCAACCACAACCGGCGTGTGCAACTTTGCAGCGGGAACTCTTCAGCGCTCATGTCTTCATGGACAGTCTTCGCCGACTGCGTACAGGAGCAGCCCCTGTCGGCGCAGTCTCGGCAGCCCCCTCACACCTCTTGGCTTGATGATAAGTCAGTGCGATTGGATCCCCATGAAGTTCTGAACCACGAGCGGAAGCTTCAGATTTGGAATCAACGAGCGTCGTGAGCGCACCAAGATGCTACGCATGCCCGACTGACAGTGTTAGGCAGGCCGACTCCGCAGCTAGTGCCGTGGTCGAGTCGGCGGCTTCGGCGAACCCACGCTCGGATGAGCGCGGGTGAACTGGTACACTAGGAAGCTTCGGTTCCTCCAAGTCGAGTGACCTCCGTATCGGGTCGCTACCCGGTTTGCGGACCACTGCGTCCAACATGCACTAGTCATGTCGTACTCCGAGGACCCCGGATCGGCAAGGTAGCGACTGGCGGCATGAGGGTCTCCGCCATCCCCTCACGCGCAGCGCCTCTTCGACCGTAGTCAGACTGCGCATGCGGTGCACCGTGTATCATGTTGGGTTATTGAATAACCGAGCTTCAAGCGTAGACCAACCTCCTGGCTTCTAGCTGCTAACAAAGTTCAGCAGTACAAGCTGGCAGTTGCATTATGAAGAGCGCGCATTCCCCACCACGGGAACCGGGAGCATGAGGGGTCTCCAGTTATGGGGACGTCGGCCCCGCTCCCGCCTGCAGCCATGTGCTCTGCCAGTGTTCTAGCGTTCGATCATCAGCAAATCCGCCAGCCATGTGAGCCACGCGTAAGTGGCGTCGCTAGCTGATTGATAGATAAGGAGCTCCAAAGCTTCGGCTGCATCGGCACGGCTGAGGGCAGAGGACTGCAACTCTCGGAGGTAGTGTGTCCGCATACCTTCACATGCATCAGCATGCACCCCTCATGGTCAACATGGTCGCTCATGGGTCGCATGGGATGGGACACTTCTGAGCACACGGGATGTTCTGAGCCCGGCCGGAAAGTCACATGCTCCGGGGTAGCTCCTGCGGTAGAGCGCAGCACTTTGGAAGCGTGTGCAAGCGTGGACAGGTGGAAGACGGACTGCGTTCTGACCTGTTCCCTAGTCCGGTATAGTCCGCAATAGCTTGCGGTTAGTCTGCTTTAATACGCACTACGCGGACTAGTGGCGGGTGATCGGGCATGGGGGATGATGGCCCCGTTCGGTGATTTGGGCACTAGCGGGTCCACGCATGGACGGATTGTTTGGAATAGTCACTAGACTGCGGGGCCATCGAAACCTCCGGCATGTCTAGCTTCAACACGAACATGCATAGCCCATACGGTGACGTCAAGCCCACTCGGACATGCTTCCAGCAGCATAAGCAGTGCAAGCGGCACCGGCCGACCAGCAAAGAGGGGACTGCGGCCGCACTGAGGTCCGCACTACCAGGACGCCGGCGGGATCCGACGGAAGCGCCATGGGGTTTCGATCGAGGCGATCCGGGGTAGCTGTGGAGGACCTCACCACCAACCCACTCAACAGGTGTGGCTATGGGTGTGCCGGTCACCTTTGTTCACGAAGTCACGAAGTCCCAAGATCACCTCAGAAAGGTATATAAGAAGGCCATCAAGACGTCTTCTGTGTCCATCAACAACAACAACTCCTCTTCTCCAACAAACCAGCCAAACCACCCAACAACAACAATGAAGTTCTTCGCTGTCGCCGCCGCCCTCGTCGCCTCGGTCGCTACCGTCATGGCTGACCCCATTGAGTGAGTCTCCTCTCAACATCACCTTTGTCCCCTACTTCCCCTCCCTCACCTCTTCCAACAATTCCTCACCCTCGGACACCGCTGACCCTCACAGCCCCAACTCGGTCGACAAGTGCCTCGTCCAGGGTGTCATCGACATCGGTAACGAGATCGGCTGTCTGAACAAGGACGACCTCAACGGCTCCATCAAGTGCGGCTGCCAGAAGGACCACCAGGACCTCATCAACCGTGGCATTGCCTACCTCAACCAGCACTGCCCGGACAAGGTCAAGCCCGAGACCTTCGACCTCTTCAACCGCCTCTGCGCTGAGGGCATCTCCGGCAACTCGCTCCCCGACGGTGTTCACTGGCCTTAAATGCAGCAACTTTACCGCTGCCCCTCTGAGCCCTCCAAAGCTCCAAGTAGAAATCTGAAGACAGTATGATGAAAGTGATTGAGTTGGCGCTTCTCTGTCCACACGTTCACTGACGGTCTCCGATACTGACTCAGGCTTGAGTTTTCAGCGATGATCCAGGGCAGCATCGGTAAATTTCACGCCGCCCTGACTCTCGATAACACCTGAACTCACACCTCTCATTGTGACAACACCGCAACTCCAGCTGACAACTATGCATGCGACTTGCTGGCTGAGACTCTCCGCTCACCAAATGCTCAGCACCAAGTCTGCCATGCCCCTGACGTCCACCGAAAGGGGATGAATGGCAGACCGCGTTGTCACGCCTGCGGCGTTTCGCGCTAGGCCGCTGTTGACTGTGCAACCGACGCCCCTCGAGTCGTCCAGACTGCTTCGTCTTACTCACACATCAAAACTCTTCTTCAACCTCTTCTCCTCCGCTCTTGTGAATCTACCATATCGTCTCTTCACCCCTCGGTTACCTGTGCCCAGCGACTCATTCTCCGCATTCTCTAATCCTCTCAAGAGCCCGCATTGGTCTTTCCTTCCCTTCCGGCTTCTTGCCTTCCTTCGTTGCGGACCATCAACCTTCCTTCGTTGCGCACCATCAACCTTCCTTCCTCGAGCATCCCAAAGCACCTTCCACTCTCACGGCCATGGCTATTAGTTCAACCTCCCCAGTCACTGCGGCCCTTGCTCGCCTCGGTCTCGTCAAACGATGCAAGCAAGGTGGAACGAGTGAGCCTTCCTCGCTGCTTCTGGCACTGACTCCAGTTCGCATCGGACTTATCCGCAGCGACGGCTTGTCACTTCAAACGATCTTCCCTCACAACGTCAGAGCCAGGGATCTGCTCAACGTATGGAGGCATTACCTTGAAACGTTAGATGACAGTGTTACCGTCGACATCGATCGGATCGAGTGAGTTATGGGAACAAATGCTTGACTAATTTCAGGCTTCACAGTCTTAGTGGTCCCATTCAACCCCATACGGAAGTCCGTCAACTCCTGTTCACCGATGAAGCGAGTGCTAGTCCTGATGAGGTCGACATCTCTCTTCGTGTTGTTCGCAAGGCTCAGCACAGGCCTAAGAGCTGGCGCCGGTCGATGCTATCTAGCGTACATGAGCCGCGTGGTGAGTTGTCCGGACTGATGCGGTTACTTGCAGTGTGCTAATGTTAGCGGTCGAGATCATCCACCTCAATGTCATCAATGAGTGGAATATTCCTATCTGCTGCCTCGACGTTCCCCGCCATATCAAGATCAAGAACCTGAAGTTCATCATAGAGAAGAACACGAGCTACTTGGCCCCGGCCCAGGTGTAAGCCTTGTATCTACTGCTCAGCTGACATGAAGGCTCAGTCTGTTCAACTCTGAAAACGTCGACGATAACAAGTGCCTCAACGACTACGTCAGGCCAGGGAAGACTTACGCCGGGCTCTTCGTCAAGCTTGATCTCCAGAAGCAGGTTTCGCTTCCCGGGGGACGGAAGAAGCTGATCACCATTCACAATCAGTGTTTGGACAACCTTGATATGCCGGACAGCCAATAGTGCTTGTATGCATCGAGTAGTGCACCCGAGGGCTGGTATCGCTCCACTCGTGTTACACTATGGAAGGGATGTCACGCAACGACCGCGGACATCACCGATTCAGGGCTTCGACAGTCATTTCACCGAGATAACAACATCAAAATCACATCACTCATCTCAAGCTTGTCCAATGACCTTTGCTGCTATTCTACAGTGCATCAGTCTACTACTGGCTTTCTCTCGATACATAACATCCTCGCATTCGCCCATTCCCACGCCCGAATCATCCAGCCATGGGGATATAGTCTGACGTCAGCCGTGCCCAAGCTTTCGAGCCTACCAAAGTCAATCATGCAGAGGATCTCATCCCCGTCCTCCATACCGCACTCAGCGACAGTCATCCTGTCACGGAGCTTGCGGCCGCAATAGTTGAGCCTGTTGTCAGCTACCCTTTCCAAGTGCCTGAGCTGCGCAACCCACTGCAACTCATTGGGGCGCAGCTCGCCCTTGGATCCAAAGTTCTGGGCGAAGGCACGCTGAGATGTCAGCTAATGGGCGGTCATTCGGTAGCTCACCTTGATAGTCTTGATGCGGGTGGTGGGCTTGACGATGAAGAAGAGCTCGCGATTCTTGTACCTGACGGCAACGGCGATGGCGCTCTTCTCAGTGTACTCGGGCAGGTCCTCCTCGTACGTCTCGACGACGAGCTGGCTCGCGCTGTCCGAGGCGGGATGCTTCTCAACCCCGTCAATTTTAGCCGTCTTTTCGGGCTTCTCGACCGTGAACCAGGACTCGGTGCTGGACGTCTCGGACCCCGAGCCGGAGCTGGCGTCAGAACCGTTGTGCAGGTTCAGATTCTTCTCGCTCAAAGGAGCGCGCTTGGAAGTGGGAGAGAGGCCGAGGAGAGCGAGCCCGCGCGAGAGGCAGGAGACGCTGTGGGTCGAGTCGGAGGAGGTGGCGACCGTCATGGTGAAGTAGGGTTTGAAGGCGATGAAGGAGGAAAGAGGGGACATGGCGTGAGAAGAGTGAAGGAGGGCATGATTATGAGGAAGGCTGTCGTTATCTGGCTGCGCGAGGGGCGCAGATCTGGCACGTCATGAGTGTGTTGTGGGGAAGGGGCAAGCGAGACAGGTCGCGACGTCGTACACGCACAAGCAATGCTGGGCGCATCGCACGTAAGTTGTCAGGCTCGACAAGATGATGGTGTCACTGGTTTGCATTCACACTTCCTACGGCCTACGGGAACTACAACGCAACACTTCCGATACGTCCTCAGCAAGCCAGCGGAATCCTACGATCATCAGGCTACCTAACCCCCATGGATGCGACCTGAGTGTTAGAAACGCGAGGCGGGAAACTCACTGAAGTCGGGCAAGACGTCAATGATATCACCGTCCTCCATGCCGTAATGGCCAAGAGTGAGGTTGTCCTTCATTTTCTGACCGTCATAGTGGAAGCTGTGTCGTCAGCAGTGAATGTGCTGCAAAGCCTGAACGTACTTCAGCGCATCGGGTCCGATCTCACGCGCCCAGTCGTAGGCAAAGCTCCTCTGATTTGTCAGTGTGCCTCCCCTGCAGCGCTTACCTTGAGCCTCCAGACGGGCGAGGTGGTGTAAACTTCCCAGGTGTCGTTGATGTTTCCGTAGCGGATCTTGATGTCGAAGGCACCGCGGGTAGACCTAGGTCCGCTGCGACCGCGGGCGAGCTTCTCATCAAGAATCCAACCATTGTCGCGGGCCGAGCGCACACCGCGAATCCAAGGCTTCACGTCGTTAATCGTCCTCTCAGAGTTGAGGGACGCAGTGGTGGAGATGACGGAGGGAGCGCGCGAGTCGGACGAGGGCTTGTCTTTCTCGAGCAGCGCAGCCTTCTCGGACTCGGTACGAAGGCGGGTAGCACGGGGGAGAGAGCCGCCGATACCCACTGCAGCCATGCTGCGCGAGAGGCTGGAGACGTCCTCGGTGTCGCTGGCGATGGGGACGGTCATGCTGAGATGAGGATGAGGAGACACTGTTCTGGAGTCTGGCAGCGCTTATCAGTGCTGTCAGTTTCCGGGCCCGCCCGTCGTTGCCGTCCGTTTGGGGTGGGTTGTGACACAGTTGTGTGTTCCATACAGCTTCATCACATGATGGCGACAATACACTACGCCTCACATCTATCCAGACAGCTCCAACTGGTCTGCGGTCAGCCTAGTAGCCCGGGCTGTCCCCACCGTAGTCGACGGAACACTCGACCTCGTCTCCGTACTCGATCCCCGTGTCGCGGATCTGCTGGCAATCCTTGAGCCTGCGCCCGCCATAGATGATTCTGAGACCCATCAGCCCTCGAGCCATCCCGCCGCCCTACTCACTGCAACCCGTTTGGTCCGACTTGGGGTGCGAATCGGTACGCGATGGCGCGCTGCTGTCAGCTAGAGGCACAAGTGATCCAGCGTACCTTTAGGTAGTAGATGTACGTCTCCTCGCCGACTTTGGCATGCCACACCACATTGCCGTACCGCACCACCACGCAGATGGGTTTAGCGACCTTGGTCGGCGTTGCGCGCTCCCAGATCTGCTTCCTGTGCTCGGCCTTGTACCATGCTTTCCGTTCGGGGTGGTGGGTGCCGCCGGGAGAAGTGGAGGGGAAGTGCAGGGCGGAGGTGGCTGGCCGGCTAACTGCCAGAGTGGTGGAGAGGGAGGCGATTTCGGGCTCGACCTCGAATTTCGATGCCAGCGACGAAACCTCCATGGGCAAACGTTGTGTTGGGTTAGACATGTCTCTGGTGAGTTACGTGTGGAGGAGTGGCGAGCTGGGGGAGGACGAGCAAGCACAACGCCTCTCTGCATATGTATCATCCTCGGCAGTGCGGTGGTGGACGTCACATGCGACATACCGTCAGTGTCAACAAAGCACGCATCCATCATGGAGGGGGTGAGTTAAGGATGCCGAGATGCGCTATTGTTGGGTCCGTGTTCGGACCCTTCTTTGTCAGAAAAATCGCTCAAGGACCAATCTCCGAAATCGCTCAACCAGCTGTCTCATGCGCACATGTTGCACTCACACGCTTCCCATGAGCATCGCATTGCGTCTGAATCGAGACCCGATCAGGCAACTCTGAATGCCGCAGTCTTCGTCTGACACAGAAGTCGAAATTCGCGGTCAGTCCGGACCCATCATTGCTCTTTGCAGCACAGCCCGTCAGAATCTACTGCACGACTCGAAGCCTGCAAGACAGCATCCATGTGCATCACAACTAACGCTAATAACCCCTCGGCGAATGTAAGGCAGTGTACGGATGCCCCTCTGAGATACGGCCAACGCTTTCCAAGACAGAGCTGGATTTGGAATGTTTCTGTATTCTGTTTATACCGGCCTCTCACGAGCCCGTCGTGGTCTGCTTTCCTTGTTTTTCGTTCGGCTTGTTCACACATCAAGCATAGCCTCGAATCTGAACTCCTTCTCACCCACTCTCTTCCTGTACTTCTCAGCACTAACAAACCTGACCCTCTGCATGACCTGCTCCGGATCCATGCCCATCTCCTCGACATCCATGGCGCAAAACTCCTCCAGCTCCTCCTGGTAGCTCTCCCAGTTGCAGGTCTTGATGCCTTTCTTGAGATCAAGCAGCTCGACATTGACGACAGTGACTCTGACGCCGGCGGCAGCGGCAGCGACGATGAACTGCCTGGCATCATTGCGCGGATCGCCATTCAAGCCACCGTCGGCATCGGCATCGTCGATGGGGTTGTACTGAGGAATAACGGGCCAGCCATGGAAAATGACGACGAGCTCCCTGAGTCCAGACGGAATGGTGGGCGGGACTCTCTCGTCGATAGCGTCCAGTACGGGGTTGCGCACGTTGAGCACGACCCTGCGCGTGTGCGTGCGTTCGCAGGTGCACGCCTGCACATTGTCCGGGATAGCAGCCAGGTTGCGAGCATACGGTCCATTGGCGAACACGACGCGGTACGCGTGAGGTAGCATGGTGACACTGTCCCACCCAGCGCCCTTAGAGAGGCGCACAGTGTGCAGCTTGAAGTCGTCGAGGGGCACGGCGTCTCGCACCCATTGGGCGGAGGACCGGATGTCGATGGCTCGGACATTGCGACGCACGTCGACCCAGGGCAGGGTCCTGCGCTCCGTCCCAGCGAGGGTGCGATGCATGTACGTGATGGGGAGACGCTTCGCCGAGAACTGCCAGACATAGGTCACATTCTGGGCGGGCTTCCGGACTAGACGCATAGGCGGAGGCGGGGGCGAGGGCGGCATCGGCACATCGCCGTCCTCATCGGGCTGGGCATCGTGCACGCTGGCGGCCGCTCCGGCATCGGATTCGGCGTCCTCACTGGCCTCGGTGACCTCTGGCCACTCAGGTTCAAAGGGGGGCAAGCCCATGTCCAGCACAACATGGTGCGCTTCCTGTACATCGACGAGGGCGCGCCAGTAGCGGCACACCTTCCTCAGAGTCAACGGGCTGGACGGCAGTGCAAGGCCGAGAATTTGGTCCATGATGTGCGGATAATAGCTCGCGTCTATCTGGACTCTGGGGTCGGTCTCGCTCAAATCAGGCATAGTGGGTGTGTATTGCAACAATATGAAGACTACTTATCTTTGGTTGAGATATGGTGCTACAGAGCGGTGCGACTGTACGGTGAGGAGGTTCAGAAACGAATCGTGCTGGGGGAAGACCAATGTTGTTGCAAGCAGGCAGCCCCTTTTATACCTTTCTGGACCTCAGGGTCAGCCGTCGTCAAGCTTCAACGTCGAAGCACCGACGGAATTAACGCGTCGAGGACGGTGGGGGAAAGAGATTCTTCCCTACCCAAGCTTCACCAAGGTTTGCAATTTCTGTCGAGGCAGCGCGACCAGGAACGCATCGCACCCAAGGGGGTATCCTTGGTTTGTCCGCTCGGCAGAGATGCTCGAGGCTGTGTCCTCGTTGGTTAAACCGTTGAAGCGGTACCACGGTGGAGGCTTCGACGGGTGTGGTGATGGCTTGCCGTCCGGCGGGGACGACGGTGCAAGGTTTGAGGTCGAGATCCCTTTCCGTACGGAAGGGGATCTGGCGACCAGTTGGAGAGGGATCTCGGAACCATCGGAGTCGGAGACGACAGCAGAGTGGGGGACGTTGGTCAAAGCTTGGTCGACCTCGCCGCTCTCTGCACTCATCGTCATCTCACGACTTCTGCATCGCTCGCTGTCTTCAGACATCGACTTCTCTTCATGAAGATGGTCCGCAAACGCCGACACGAACAGCCGTGCCTGACGTCACTCATCTCACAATGTCGCGCCAGTGACTAGCTCCGTCAACGGTGGTGGGTCCAGCGGTGTTCGGCATTCGTCTCCATGTCTCCATCCCACGCCCTCTCCTCCCTTCATTGTCTGCAGCCCCTTCTCGATGCCATCTCAGCATCGCCCATCTCACCACCAACAGCCATGAACCCAGCTCAGCCGACGCCGACGCAGTGGTCCGTCCTCCCGCTTTCAATCTGGCACCCAAGCCTCTCCTGCCGCTCCCCCAGCCCAAAGATCGAGCCAGTCCAACAGAGACCAGCCGGTAATATGACCAACCGGCCGGAGCGACTCACGTACGGGTTCCTCGATAGCCTGGCGAAGCAGAAGGCGAAGTTGTAAAACTTGTGGATCGACACAACGAGGACGAAGGTCAGGAGAAGGAAGGCTTGGGCAGCAGGTTCGTAAAACGTGCGGTCTGTGTGCCGCCGGCAATAACACGCAGCACGGAGCGCGCATTGCGTGCTTCTGAGCGTCTGTGCAGTGGTGTATCGTGCACCATGAACATGCCTTTCCCATCTACATCGTGAGCTAGGCATCTCCACGACCATCACGGCCATCAACGAACACCCAAAAGGCGTTGCCTGCGACACACAATGGCCATCCCCGACTTCAGCCGCGTGCATCCCGCCTCGCACTCCCCGCCGGGCACGCCGACATCCTCGGGATATCCCCAGCTCCCGCCCAGTGTCGCAGCCCAGATCGCCGCCATCGTGCGTGACGCTGTTCCTTCTATCCCCCTCGCATCTTCGGCAAGTCTTGAGAAGAGCGTCATCGACGTGCAAGCTCAACTCCGACAGACCGAGGAGAGGCTCGCTGCTACCGAACAGAGACTGCAGAGCTTGACGTACGCCACGAGGGTCCAGGCGATTGTCGTTGCCGCGGCGGCGGTTGCTGTTGCTGGATCTGTCTGGCTCGGCCGCCGTGCTCCGTGAACCCTGCGCCTTCCAAATGCCTCGGAGCTTAGGAGCCAAACGTAGAATAGAAGTCCAGATGCATCACTGTCTGGCCTGAGCCAAGTCCCATATTACATTCGCTATATAAACAATCCGTCTTGCAGTCTAATCGATGAGAGCGCCCTTGCGCTTCATCTCAATCTCGTCTCCGCGCCGCTTCTTGACCGGCACAATCTTGGAGATGCTCATGCCGCGCCCGCGCTGCTTGGAGCGGAATCCATTTCCGCTGTAGTTCAGGATAGCGTGGGGCGGGTTGAGGCGTGGCCAGGCGACGTAGTGCGTGCCGTTGCCCCACATGAACGTGCCGCTGATGGCGAGGAGGAGGAACCAGAGGAGGAGGAACGAGGCGATGCTCCAGTCGCTGGAGCGGGGGAGCGTGAGAGCCGCGAGGATCATGGCGAGCGCAAAGAGGAAGATGTAAGGCATCGAACGGTGCAGCAGAGGCCGCGTGTCGGACAGAGGGGGGATGGCGCCGCGGCGCGCGACCCACGAGCCCGTGATGAGGTCGTAGGCGTCCTGCCTGTCGCCGTCGAAGAAGTTGTTCTTCACGTACCGCATCACACTGTTGTAGCCGTCCTGCAGCAGGCCGGCCTTGGTGCGCTTGCCCGTGCGCGTGAAGTCGGTCTTGAGCGCCCCAGTGCCAGAGTACGCCTTCGAGATCGTGTCGGCGTGGTCCGCCCACACGTTGCGGAACACGCTCATGAACTCTGGGTGAACGTCCACCGTCTCCTTGATGCTGAGGATGCCTGCGTCGCGCAGCTGGTTGTTCAGCGCCCACTTGCCGAGCGCGCTCTGCGCGACATTTGTTCGGTCGAGACAGTCCATGCAATTCGACCTGATGACACCCGTCTGCTTCTTCAGCTCCTTCGTGGGACCAGCAGCCGCGCCGTACCCCGCAGACACTGGAGCTGAGCCGCTGTACCATCCGTCCTTGTTCAGCTGGTCCGAGAGCTGGTCGATCAGGAGCTGGATGCGGTCGAAACGCATGCCCTTGCACTCGGCGTGGAAGTCAAAGTACAGGTAGTGGCAGTGCTGGGCGAGCTTCGGGTCCATCGCCGTCAGCGCCATCGCGCGCTCAAAGCCCTCCTTGACCGGCTGCTCGTAGCCCTTCTGGTTCACGAGGTTGACGAGCTCGATGTCGCCGTACTGCTGCACCAGATCCGTCATGTGCGAGCGGAACGCCTCGGCGGTTTCGGGCACCTCCATGATCTGCAGGTCGGGCTTGTAGCGAAGGTTGTTGATTTCGACCCAGAAGATCGGCACCGAGCCACGCACCTGCACGAACGACATGCGCTCACGGCCGTCTACGCGCCCGCGCGTCGGTTGCCGTCCGTCCTCAGGCAAGGGGTCGTACAGCACGATCTGCTCCGTCTCGTTAAAGTTCGAAACCGCACCCGAGGCGTCAATACCGCGCGAGAAGTAGCGGGTTCCGACACGGTGGCGCGAACGGCGGGCAATCAGGCAGAACAAGAATTCGCGGTTGTTGATGGTTGCAGAGCGGAGCTCGAGAGCTGGGGTTAGCTAATCGACCCATTGAACGAACTTACATCCAAACATGACCGGGAGGATGAAGCGGCTGAGGTCGGTGCCGCTCTCGGTGGCATCGATGAGCCTGTCCTGCAGGAAGCGGTTCCAGAAGAAGCGCTCGTCGGCACGCTGCCAAAGTGGCGCCTTTCCGGGTCCCATGCCAGCATCCTGCTGCTCTTGCTGCCGCTGCAGCGTGTTCGTCAGGTCCCAACCGTATGAGAACCATATGTTGCCAGCCTTGAGACCCTGCTCCACGAGACTGATCAGCTCCTTCTCAATCGGGTTGCCGAGAATCGCTTGCGTCGACGACTGGGGATTCAGGGGAAGAAGGCGGAAGTCGGTCGCGAGGAAGATCGGGTGCGAAAGGAGGCGACAGGAGGGTTCGCGCTGAGTGATGATCACGAGGTAATCGGCTGGCTGTCAGCTGTGCGACGAGGACGACTAGCATGGAGAGGCGCAAGAGAGTCCCGGTAAGTCACACGGCCTCGCCCCATCCGCATACGGTCGACTCACTGGTGGCAAGAGTGATCATGCCCATGATGCCGTAGCAGGTAATGACCTTATCGCGGCCGAGAGGGATGGCGGAGGAGACTGGTGTCAGCTATGGAAGCGTATCTTAGCTCACCATTGAGGGAGAGCTGACCGGTCTTGCGGTCGACGTGCAGGCTTTCGCGGACGTCCTTCTCCGAGATGCCGGAGTCGCCGACGGCAACAGTCGACGAGCTGGGCTCAAAGACATATGCCGAGGGCGAGACGTAGACGTTGAACGTCTCGTAGAGCTGGGGTCAGCTAGGTCGTCGCATCGGAGCAGTTAAGGGACTCACGGGAGCGCAGTTGAAGCCCATGGTGTGTTTCGGGCTGGCTGGCCTTGGGGGAGAAAGGAAAGTGGAAAGTTGGAAGGAAGCGGGTTGAAAGATAGTCTTGATGAATTACGTTCACCTTGCACGTTGCTGGCCGAGTGAGTGACGATTACCGACCGATCGACGCGTCGCCGCTCAGGAGCCGCAACTCTCTCTCACTCAGGGCCACCCAGCCACATACCCGGCTCTTATCACCATCGCCACGTGGTGTAGTCCACGTCATGTTTGGGCAAGAACGCGTCAACTCGCGTCGCGCGTCTCCAACATGAGCCCGAGTCTGTTGTTTCTGACCATCTCCCACCAGACCCTCCTCTCCACACCTCCCACTCACAACCACCCACCATGCTCGAGGCTCGTGTCAAGCAGGCATCCGTGCTCAAGAAGCTCCTTGATGGTACGTCGTCTTCTGAGAGCTATCGGGTCGGGATGCGCAGTGTTTGGCCTGCAGAAATCAATTTTGATTTTCCCCACCAGCCCAAAGGCTCGCACACCAGACAATCCAGTCGCTGACAACACCCAGCTATCAAGGAGCTCGTCACTGACGGCAACCTCGACTGCTCCGACGAGGGAATCGTAAGTCTATTAATGACTGCGCTCCGCTAATGGTCAGGCCCTCCAGGCGATGGACAACTCGCACGTTGCCCTCGTTTCGCTGAAGCTGGTTGCCGACCAGTTCGAGTCGTACCGCTGCGACCGCAACATCCCCCTTGGTGTTAACGTGAGTGCATCCGCGCTTAGCTACTTCAAACAGTGCATCAGCTAATTTCTAGCTCACGTCGCTCACGAAGATCCTTAAGTGTGCCAAGGACAACGATGTTGTCACGCTGAAGGCTGCCGACGACGCGGACAGCCTTGGTCTCGTCTTCGAGTCGCCGAAGGAGGACCGTGTCGGCGAGTACGAGATGAAGCTCATGGACATCGACCAGGAGCATCTCGGTATCCCGGACACGCAGTACGACGCCACGATCACGATGTCGTCGCAGGAGTTTGCTCGTATCTGTCGTGACCTGACCGCGCTCGGCGAGAGTGTCAAGATCGAGGCGTCGAAGGAGGGTGTCCGATTCTCCTCGGAGGGTGAGGTCGGCTCTGGTTCCGTTCTCCTGAAGCAGACCGCCGGCTCCGACCGCCGGACGCGTGCCAAGACGGACCCCGATGAGGAGGAGGAGGAGGAGGACGAGAAGCCGGATGTCTCGGAGGGAGACGGCGAGGACGAGATTGACGACGAGGACCGCCCGAAGAAGCGCAAGGCGAACGGCACCTCGAAGACTGCGTCCAAGAAGGGCAAGGCTGCCGCGAGCGACGAGGACGTCGGCGTCTCCATCATCCTCGAGAAGCAGGTCTCGCTCACCTTCTCGCTCAAGTACCTGTCCAACTTTGCCAAGTCGGCCCCGCTCGCCCGCGAGGTCTCGCTCAACATGAGCAACGACGTGCCCCTCCTCGTCCAGTTCGATTTCGAGCAGGGCACGCTCCAGTTCTTCCTTGCCCCCAAGATCTCGGACGAGTAAGGCGGTGGAGGAGCGGAGTGTGGAGCGCGGCGCGAGTAACTTCTCCGGGTCCTCAAGCATGGACAATTCTGTGTCGTGTCGCGAGCAAGGTGCGGTGCTACTCTACTTGCGTCGCATTCGCATCCGCATCCCACAGCGTAGTGTGTATAAGCAGAAGCCATAAAACAACCCCTTTGCCCCTTTTGCCAGTTTTAGACCGCAGCCAGCAGACAGTCAGTAGCCAGGAATGTACTTTTGTTTAGCTATGGATTTCATTCGAATACAAGCACTGAGACAACTACACAACTCTAAGAGATAGAAAACAAGATACCAAGAGAAGGCCCAAAATGACAGCTACAACGTTATGGCGAGGTCCCACGAAGAGGAGAGAGTTAAGGGAGAGATGGGACGGAGGGATGACTGCGGGACGAAGCAGGGGATACTCACTTATACAGCGCCGCCGCCTCGACGCACGCCTGCAGCAGCACGCCGGGGACGTGGGGCACGGCGCTTGCCAGCGTCTCCTTGGCCACCTCTTCGAGCCTCTCCCCCCGTGCGCGACCATACTTGACCTCTGCATGGACAGGGACGGCAAAAGCCTCGGGCTCGGGCCAGCGGCGCAGTGTCTGCGGCCCAATCGCGAACGTGAGATCCGCCCGCGACTTGGCCGACGGCAGCATGAGGCGCGCCTTGCACTGCAGTTCTCCCTCGGCGATCTCAAACGCGGCGGGGTAGTACAGCTCAAGCAGGGCCAGTTCGGCGCGCAGACGCGAGGCGGCGGTCCACAGCTGCCCTGCGGCGCGGACAGTGGCGGCGAGACTCGCCGGCTTGAGCTCGCGCAACGCGCCCTGCGCCAGAGACAGGAGGCAGTCGGTAGCTCCCTCCGCGTCGGCCATGAGCGAGAGGCGCGGCTCGCCGTCGAGCTTGAGCAGGAGCTCGTTCGCGTACACTGCCTCGAACGGCTGGGTTTTGACGATGCGCCACCCGTGCAGCGCCTGCATGGCTGACAGCTCGGACTGGAGCCGCCGGATGTCGCTGCTCGTGTACTCGTCGCACATGCCCTTGGCGACTGCGAGCGCGGCGGTGTGTTCCTGCTCTTGCCGCTCGAGCTCCGCGACCTCCTTCTCGAGTTCGGCGAGCTGGGCGCTCTTCTGCGCCAACTCGGACTCGAACCGCGTGATCTCCTCGCCTTGCTCGACCACCGCCGCCTTCAGGTCTGCCAGCTCGGTTGGGTCGCTCTCCAGAATCTCCGCGACTTGCTTCTTGTTCTCCTCCAGCTCCACCGTCAGGCTTGCGTGCCGCTCAGCCAGGTCCGGGAGCAGCGTGTCGGCCACCTCGTGGTTGACCGCGTGCTGCTCGACTTCCTCGGCCATGGCGGTGTGGATTGCGGTAAAGTCGGGCAGTATCCGCTCAATCACATCCAAGCGCCAGCTGTACCATTCGCCTTGCGCTTGCAGGAGCGCCTTCGCCTTGAAGTTCCGCAGCGTGGACTCGTACAGTGCCCGTTCCTCGGGAGGGCTGTCATAGTACTCGCGCATGACTGCAGGATTATCGGCGTCGCAGACCCGAGTGGAAGAAGCGATTTCCTCTTGCGACTTTGCGAGCTCGGATGACATGCGGTCGATCCCATAGTCGTACATGTTCACGTAGATCGTCTCGGCATTGGCGACAGTGAAAGACGACAGCGTGTCCTCGCCTGCGGAAAGCGTGCCACGCGGAGCAACGGAAGACCGTCGCGGCTGATGAACGTGCGGGTTTAAGTCGTCCAGGAAGCGAACGCCGACCGTTTCCAGGAACTCCGAGAGCGACACGGGACCAGAGGCGGCGTTGTCATCGTCAGACTCCGTCTTCGCAGCAGCGTCGTCCTGTGCGGCGGCCGCAGCACGCTCTCGCGACGTCTCGAAGGGGTGCAACGTCATACCCGCAGTCTCGGCGGTGAGCATGCGCATCGGGGTGCCCAGCGACGGACGCGGGACCGACGAGCGTCTTCGCGTCGGTGTGATCGTGGGCAGGGGTCGATCCTCGTCCTCAGGTTTGAGCTCCGGTGTCATCTCACGGTCGTTGTCCTCCACTTCAGCCTCCTCCCCCTCGTCCTCTTCTTCCATCTCAACCTCCTCCGACTCCTCAATCTCCATATCCTCCTCCCCTTCATTCGCAGCCTCCGGTCCGAGAGCAGGAGATTCCACGTGAACTTCGGGGACAGGCGACGGCGCCACCGACATACATCGCGACGCATGCCCAGCAGTAGTCGTCGAGAGTGACGGTGCGGGAGCTGGGGCAGGAGATGCCCTTGCGGAAGCTGGTACGGAAGGTGTCGGCGTTGGAATCGTGGACGTGCTGTCCCTTCCCTCCGACGTCGAGCTTCGGGCTGAGTCTGCGTCGGGCGCCTCAACAGCTTGCTGCTTGCGGGAGGGCGCCTCTTCCTCCGCTTCGTCCTCGTCCTCTTCGTCCCTCTTCCTCTTACCCGGAGTGGACAGTGTCAGAGGCGTAGTCTGAACGGAGGCAGCGAGCGGAATGCGCGATGCCGGAGTCGTGTTCGGCGTGCCCTTCGTACTACTGGGTGTGAAGTCAAGCTTCTTGGCAACGCTGGCGGCAGTGTGCATACCCGTTGTTCGTGGAGTCGGGGGGCCGTTCAGCTCCTCGGGTGAAGGGGCGAAGACATTACGCTTCTGCGGTTTCGGGGTTGCCTTGGGCGCCGGACTCTTAGCGGGCGTGCCGGTCTTCTTCACAGAGGAGGCTGTGGGGCGCGCAAAGCCTGGTGTGCCTATCGGCGGTGCAGGAGACTTTGCAGGTGTAGCTGTTGAGCGAGTAGGAGGTTTCGCCGGTGTTGCGGTTACTTGTGGTCGGGCAGGTGTTGGGGCGCGAGGAGTCGACATGCGGCGGGTGCTCTTCTTCGCAGGTGTCGCCTGAGCCGGCGTGCCAGGCGCGAAGATGTTCTTCATCGTGGGTTTCTGGGTCGTCGCCGGCTGAGGAGCGAAGGGGTTGCGCGGCGCCGCAGGTGTTGAGCCGGGCGCATCGGGAATGGCGGATCGGGCCCGCGTCGATGACGAGCTCTTCGGTGTCGCCGGAGGAATCGGAGCAGGCGTCTGCTGCGGCTGGGGCTGGGGTGCAAAGATATTCGTAGTCATTGTACGCCCGTAAACCTCGGTGCTCTGGTAGTTGATGCCCCCGCCTGCGATGGTGAAGTCCATGCCGCCACTGGTGGTGTAAGATGTCGTGGTCTGGCCGGCCATCGTTTGCTCGTCAACGATGCCGCCTACCGCTTCGGTGAAGTCCATGCCGCCACCCATCGTGTAAGAAAAGTCTGCGCGGTTGATTGTTGACTCGCGTCCGATAATGCCACCGCCGACCTCCGTGAAGTCCATACCGCCTGCTGTGACGAACGAGGCGTCAGACGCCAAGCTCTCGCGGCCGACGATGCCGCCGCCGGCTTGAGTGAAGTCCATCCGTCCGAGGGTATATGTTACGGTATGCTCGGCGCCAGCACTGTCGTTGGAACTGATGGTCGAGTCATCGTGCATACCGCCATAAATGCCACCGTAGATTGCCGTCTCCTCCATTTCCATCTCAGCGGAATTGTCAGGACCGTCGCTTACTCCGGGGCGTACTGGCAACATGCCTGGTTCGAGCGGATGCGAGTATCCGATGGACTGGCGATTGCGCTTCGCATTCTGGGGCGCTTTAACTGGTACGACCTCGCCGAGCGCGACAGTAAAATCCATGGTCTTCTCTTCGTCGTCGGTCGCAGCTGACGACTGCGAGATGTCCATATCGCTGTCCTCTTCCGTGTCCGCCTCGTCCCACTGGACTATCCCGCCACCGATTACGGTCTCATCCATACTCATCTCGTCCTCGCTGTCGGACATGTCGGAGCTCTTCGCTGGCGACACAGCCGAGATCTGGGCGAGGATCTCGTCTGAATTGGCGCTATCGTCGGACTCGAGCTCTATCGACTCCTCTCCGCCGCCCTCGCCCTCGCCGACGAAGTACTGTGGGGCTGGCGGCTGAACATTTGGAATGGATGACCGCCGCCGCGGCATGGACGGGAGAGAAGGCCTAGCGGGTGACTCGTGCTGCTGCTTGTTCCGTGACATCATCATACCCATCGAAGACTTGCGCCTCGGCTTCATAACCCCTTCCTCAAACATTCTGTCATCAGCTTGAGCCCTCGCGAACACCTCACCTGACATGGGTGGTAGGGGCAAAGCTGACCCGTCTCTCCACGCCCAGACTTTGGCGTGATTTGGACAGCGATCCGAAGTCGATGGTCTCGGCATAGGCAGCAGTGTTGTCTTCGTCGGGGTTCGCCAGCTTCAAGATACTCTTGCGAGGACGCTAATATCAGCTATGGCAGTCTCCGATGCAACTCACAGCAGCTCGGCGCATGCGCTGTTTCTCGCTGAGACCATCGAAGGATCTGGATGAGGTCAGGTCTCCGCCCATGGACACACCGCGCTTCTTAGGCTTCAGCGTTGCGGGGAGCGTGAGGTTGTCATCGTCGAAGTTATTGAGGTTGCGCTCGCTTAGTCCGACAGACTTTCGCCGCCGCGGCGACACTCGGGGTAACGACATGGCGTCGGGGGTGTCGATGATGATGGGAGTGGAGGACGCAGCGACGATCACGAGTGGCTCCATTTGTTTACACACAACGTGACTGACTTTGTTTGTGCATGCAGGATGTGTTACGTAAGGGATTCCTTTCTCTTAAACGCTCCCCTCAGTTTGCGATAGTGCCTGCCTAAGGTGATGTCCGCGCACTTCCGCAATAAAACCTGCGTGCATAGTTGCAAGGCTATGTGGTGCGGGCTTCGGGCTGAAAGGCCCTGTTCCGAACCTCCGACGAGCGAAGACAAGCAGGAAACGTGACAGGGGAAGGGATCTCGACGTTGGGTCGCAATCGTGTCGAAGGTCATGTGGACCGGATCACAATTAACGCGGGGCAGTACCCGCGACCGTGCAAGCCAAGACCTGACTCTTGCCCGCTCTGTGCGCGCTGTCGATGATTCCAGGACTCCATCTCCCGTCCGGAGCTCTTGCAAAAGTGCTGCCGGCTGATGAATGCGGAAAACGAAGATCTTCTCACAATCGAGGTGCGGAAGCAGTTGGAATGGAGAGTTGATAGATAGCCAAGACCATCGCATCGATACAGCAGATGACCGACGCCGTCCGGCAATCCACTCTTCCCAGACATGGAAAGATCATGGGTTCAATTGGACGGCGCCCGGGGCCTCGGGCAATTCCCTCTTCTGCTCTGCATCTCCTCCCCGCATGGCGCTCAGAAACGCCAAGATACAGTCCATAGTGTGCGCACAAGCTTCTCATCTACAGATCTCGGCGCAGTGCAGGCCTTACGGCATAGCGCCATCCGGCACCGGCTCGAGCTTCCATATAACTACCCGCTAAGGCGGGGCCCTTCCCCTCGATAGCACCAACTGTTGCCGCTCCTTGCAACAACAACAACAACGATGCCGGCGCTGGCCCTCGATTCAGCGCCGTCGACCTACCTTGCCTGGGCGAGTGAGAACTGGCGCACCCTCGTGACGTATGCTCTGACCCTGTGGGTCAGCTTCAAGGTCGCCCGCGCCGTCCTCCGCGTCTTCTGCCCGACACTCTGGATGACAAGCTCGCTCGCGAATGTCCCCGGGCCTAAGCCCCCGAGTAGGTTGCTGGGACACCAGATGGAGAGCGTCCGCCGCTCGCCCGGTGTCACGGCCGAGGAGTGGCACGATGTCTACGGACCGACCATCCGACTCGCGCGGCCGTTCGGCGTCGCGGAGCTCAGTACTGTTGACCCCGCAGCTCTGTCGTTCATCTATCGCGCAACAGATGAGAGATTTGTGAAGCCTGCCGGCATGCGTCAGGCTATTGCTGCCAACGTCGGAGACGGTGTTCTCGCCGTCGAAGGACACACGCACAGGCGACACAGGAGGGTGCTGAACCCTGCCTTTGGCTGGCCGCAGATTCAAGACATGCTTCCGCGGATGTGGGAGAAGGGCTACGAGCTGAGAGACAAGATGCTCTCCTCGCTTTCGGACCCGTTCTATCTCAGGCCCGAGAAGGCGTGTGACGATGTACCCGGCGCGAGGGTCATGGACATGTTCGGTCACCTTTCAAACGCGGCCCTGGATATCATCGGTCTCGTTGCTATCGGAGAGGATCTCGGCGCCTTGAGCGACAGGCAGAACGATCTGCGCACAGCCTATCAGGATGTCCTCCGCGTTGGCTTCATAACGGACTGGCTCACAGTACTCCGCTTCGCGGTCCCGATCACCCGCAAGATCCCGACCGAGCGCGGCCGGGTTGTCAAGCGCAGCCGCGAGACTGTCGAAGCCTTCGGCCATCGAGTCATCGCCGAGAAGCGGCGACTGCTGCAGGACATGCACTCTGGCCGGCTCGAGAAGAAGACGGACATCGGGAAGGACGTTCTCAGTCTGCTGATCAAGGCAAACTCTGCAGCCGATCTGAGGGAGGACCAGAGGCTGGACGATACCGAGGTCATTGCGCAGATCACCACGATGCTCTTCACAGGTCACGAAACAACCAGCACGGCCACCGGATTCTGTCTCCGCCAGCTGGCTCTCAATCAGGGAGCGCAGGAAAAGCTGAGGAAAGAGGTGCTCGAGGCTGGTGCCGACGAGCCAGATTTCGAGACGCTCATGGCCCTGCCGTACCTGCACAATGTGGTCAGGGAATCTCTCCGCTTCGAGGGCCCGGTGCCCAACATGGGTCGTGTGGCTACTGAAGACGTCACTGTCCCACTCTCTCAGCCCATCATCGGGCGCGACGGGAAGCTCATGGACAGCGTGCAGCTCAGGAAGGGAGACTATGTCCAGGCTCGTGAGTTGCACTCTTACACTTAGGCACTGCTAACGCCCAGCTTACCAGGCTGCTAACCGCCTGACGGACGTGTGGGGCGAGGACGCGCGCCAGTTCCGGCCCGAGCGCTGGGAGCAGGCCAACTTTCCGCACAAGAAGATGCCGGGCGTGTGGGGCGAACTCGCGACGTTTGGCGGTGGGCCGCACAACTGCATGTAAGTGCCCTCGGGTAGACTCATGAGCAACACTGACAACCCCAGCGGGCATCGCATGGCTGTTCTGGAGATGAAGGTGCTTCTGTACATCATGCTGCGCAACTTCAAGTTCGAGCCCGTTCCTTCTGGACCAGTGATCAAGCCCAAGTGGATGATTATCCAGCGCTGCGTCGTCGAGGGCGAGGAGGCGAGGGGCCCGCAACTGCCGCTCCTCGTGCGTCCTCTGGAGGAGTAAGCCACGGCTGTGTGTGCCGTCGGGCGGGTTGTTGTAGATATCGAAGCGATGCAATGTTTGTCGGCTGGGCGCGAAGATCAGATCAGAAGCATCGTCTGACTCGGCGGAATCACGGCTCCGGTCGTCATCGGACAACAGAGAGAGTGTGTGCGATCGATGCACGTCCGCGCCTCAGACATTGTCGCTGTCTTTCCCCGCGTCGATGGATTGCTCAACGTGACTGGTCAGCCACTGTCGCGTTGACACCGTGGGAAAGTGACCACCGAATGGCGATCGGTGTTGTGGAGGTAGGTACCTCCTCGCTAGACCATCGTCACCGACCCGCGGCTTCCTCTTCCTTCCTCCCTCTTCCCCAGCGACGACACCATGGCCTCGACACGCCTGCAGGGCATGGTCGACCCCATGCACGCATACCGCGCAAAGCGGGACCGCGAACGGCGAACGTAGGCTCCAACCCACTGGTACGATAGCTAACGGCAGGGTGCTGAAGGCGTACAAGATCCTCGGTTTCATCTCGTCCGGTAAGCTACAGTATGGCTGTTGAAGCTAACAAACAAGGAACCTATGGTCGAGTGTACAAGGCAGTCTTGCTGCCACCACCGAAACCTTCGCGTGGCACCGTATCACGCAAGTCGCCGAGCGTGAGCGACGACCCGCTCAACAACCCGGAACTGTGCATGCGGCCAGGCGATCTACCAGCGAAGGAAGGCGATGTGTTTGCGATCAAGAAGTTCAAGCCAGACAAGGAAGGCGATCAGCAGACATACGCGGGAATCAGCCAGAGTGGAGCTCGAGAGATCATGGTGAGGCTGCTCTACAACTTGCCCCCCAGCCGCGCTGACATGCAGTTGAACCGAGAACTGCACCACCGGAATCTCGTCGCCCTCCGCGAGGTCATCCTCGAAGACAAGGCTATCTACATGGTGTTCGAGTATGCTGAGCACGACTTCCTCGTAAGCTCCCTGTCGATCGGAGTGAGCTGACGGATAGCAAATCATCCACCACCACTCGCAAACTGTGCGCAGCCCGATCCCATCACAAACGCTGCGGCGGTTGCTGCACCAGCTTCTCTGTGGATTGCACTACCTCCACTCGAACTTCACATTGCACCGTGACCTGAAGCCGGCCAACATTCTCGTGACGTCCGGCGGCGTAGTGAAGATTGGTGACCTCGGTCTTGCCCGTCTGTGGCACAAACCACTGGCCCAGGGTGGTCTCTTCGGAGGCGACAAGGTCGTCGTCACCATTTGGTATCGTGCGCCGGAGCTGATCCTCGGATCAAAACATTATACCGCTGCCGTTGGTGAGCTCGCGTGACACAGTAGGCAGCTGACCTCAGATCTGTGGGCCGTTGGGTGCATTTACGCTGAGCTGTTGTCACTGCGACCGATCTTCAAGGGCGAGGAAGCGAAGCTAGACAGCAAGAAGACTTTGCCGTTCCAGCGAGATCAAATGGCGAAGATCTGCGATGTCCTCGGCCCAGTGAAGCGTAAGCTCGGAGTACGTCCCCCCAGCTAACATCCAGCGGAGCACTGGCCTGGCATCGTGCACATGCCCGAGTGGAAGACGTATCTGACGAACGGGCCGTACACGACATCGAACCCGCTGCCGACGTGGTACTCGAACCGCAGCGGCAGCTCGAACGGGTACGACCTTCTGACCAAGCTGTTCGAATGGGACCCGACCAAACGCATCACGGCGCGCGACGCGCTCGCTCACCCCTGGTTCCAGGAGGACGGAGGGTGTGCCGCCGAGTCTGTCTTCGAGGGCAGCACTATTCCCTACCCCTCGCGCCGAGTCACACACGAGGATAACGGCGACGCAAAGATGGGATCGTGAGTTTTGTCGTCTGTGGCTTGCAACTGACACCAGGCTCCCTCCGTCGCTGCAGGGCAGCCGCTTGCCAGGCTCGTCCAACTTCCGGTCGTCTAGTGGTGCTATTCCGCCCGCCAAGCGCACCAAGCTGCGCTGAGAACAGCCCTTGTCTCTTTACGCGCGTCCATGTTCGCGTGTCTCTTGCATAGCATTATTCTTGTTGTATCGTGTAGGACGTATGCATCCAAGTCATGTAGCGTGAAGCATGCATGCATGGCGCTGGCCGGTATGCAGTAGCACCGTCATCAAATCCGTACGCTGTGAGTGGCTGAGGCGAGTGGAGGGTGCCACGCATCGGCGTTTCCAAACTCCCACCCCTGCTCTCAGCCTGCGAGCGTCCCCTCTCCGCGGGCCTGCGTCCCACCGCCGGTTCGGTGATCGACAACAGCATCCCAGCTCTCGGAGCCAGCAAGCACACCCCACTCACCATGTCGCTCCTCCGCACCGCCATGCGCGCGCGCGTCTCCGCGCGTGCGTTCTCGACGACCCCCGCGCGCCTCGACGTCACCGTCCCCGGCGGTGTCAACCCTACCTCGGTCGGCCCCAAGTTCGACGCCGAGTCCGAGCTCGACTCGTTCGTCGCCCCCGCCCGCTGGTCGACCAAGCACGTCCAGCCCGCCGACGTTGTTGCTGGCCGTGACGCTGGACCCCCCACCGAGCACGAGGACGCTAAGGAGATCACCTTCGACGTCGTTTCGGACGCCCCTAGGGAGCTGAGGCACCGTCAGGTTAGTCGGACAATTGTGTCGGCGCGGGATATCTGCATGGAACGGACAAGGCTGGAGGGATAAGAAGTGGATAGAGGCGAGAACTGGCGGACGAAAGAGCTCGAGGAGACGGACGGTTGAAGAGCGGCCATGGCAGGTTATGCCTGTAATGTCTACGATATCGCCCTCTCCCGGCTCGAATGCCATGTCTGCCCTGTCACCGAGTCGTTTCCATCTCAGCGTCCACTGTGGTGCGCTCTGCGGTTTCTGGCGATTCTTGCAGAGTCAAAGAGCGCTCGATGACGCACTTCTGCCTTGGCCATCCGCGCTGATGGCATCCCCCGCGCCCACACATCTCTCCGGCTGCACTCTCTCCGTATCCTAGCTGACATCCAGGTCCGCATCTTCAAGCCGACCAAGAACACGATGCAGTCCGCCAAGGGCAAGACGAAGGTCTGGCGCATCGACTGGGACGTTCTGCAGGGTTCCGGACGGTGGGAGAACCCGCTGATGGGCTGGGCGTCGTCCGCCGACTACATGCAGGGTACGACGCTCGCGTTCCGCACGCGCGAGGACGCCTGCCGCTTCGCCGAGCGCCAGGGCTGGGAGTACTACGTCCAGGAGCCCAAGGCCGCCCGCATCCCCCCTAAGAGCTACGGTGAGTTTGCCAATCCACACTTTGACTTCGACTCGCAGGCTCTCTACCACACGCACATCCACTTCCCCAAGCCACTCCTTTTACGGCCCACAAAGCTTCTCCAAGAACCTACGCTGACAGTCACAGCCGAGAACTACACGCACGTTCCTGGCAAGCTCCGCATTCACCACACCAAGTAGACAGAACGCGTAGAAAATGCATTATTAGTAGGATACGAACGAGGAAGGGAGCTCGCAAACTCGCCAGAAGCGGCTGCTTGAAAGAGTCATTCGGTTTTTCATCTAGGTCTAACTTATTTCGGGACTGAGGCTATCATTTTACGAACGAAAAGGTGGGAATGAGAGAGTCTCACAGCTTCGCCTGCCTGTGCTCGCCCTTTCGGACCTTCTCAGCGACCTCCTCGAACATTGTGCCGATGTGGTCAAAGTCGCTCATGTCATTCCACACCTGCGCAGAGAGGCGTGTCCACCACCGTCCGTTATGCGGGTAGATGGCCGCGGCGCAGTTATAGTTGAACAGCATCTGGTCCTCGAGGAAGCGGGACACGGCGCCCGTCTCAGCGCTAGTGCTGGGGACAGGCGGGAGGGGCAAGCGAATGTTGACCATGCACTTGGTAAGTTCGCCCGCGTCATTGTCCATGACCTCCGTCTTCCACCTCTTGGCGAGTCTTTTGCCGCCCTTGACAGCCAAATCATGGCAATACGCCATGATACGTTCCTCGCCACCAATGTCCTTCCTGAACTTGATCGCGTCCTGAATCGTGATGACGGGTGTAAAGTCGATGGTACCGTTCCAGTCATACTGCTTCTGCCAGGACCAGGGGTGTCCCCCGCCGACAGTGGGGTAGCGGCGGCTCTCGTAGAAGTGGCCCACGGGGAAGGTGGCCCGGATGAGCTCCTGGTTCCGCTGGGGGACGTACAGCACCGCTCCGCCGCGATGCGACATGAGCCACTTGTGGCAGTTGGACACAAAGAAGTCGGGGTCGGCTTTCGACACGTCGAGCTTCTCCTGGCCGATGGAGTGCGCACCATCCACGAGCGAGAGGATCTTGTACCGCTTCGCGAGGGCCACAATCTCACGCCACGGGTACGAGACGCCCGGGGCTGAGGCGATGGAATCCACGACCACGAGGCGGATACGCTCAGACGCGAACGGGGCCGGCTTGCCCGATAGAGGGTGGTAGTTGTGCGGGACCGAGTGGTTGTAGGTCCGGAAGACCGAGGCCGTGCGGTCGATCAGGTCCTGGTGCGTCGTCGGGAATGTCACGGGAATAACTTCCAGGCGCACACCCGCGTTCCGGTCGCAGATGTACTTGAGGCTCTGCGAAACGGCGTTGTACGTTGAGGCGTCTGACGTTAGCCACACAGGTGAGTTCACTCACAGCACACGACGACGTCGCCGTCGTTCCACTCGATGCTCTGCAGGACGTTGTTAATGCCGTGCGTCGCATTGGGGACGAGGACAATGTCCTCCTCCTTGGCGTTGATGATGGGCGCAACGGCGGCGCGAGTCGCGGCCAGCGCGGGCTCGGACTTGCGCCGGATCCAGACATCGGGCGCGCCCTCGATCTCGTCGCTGAGTTTGTCCTTGGCCTCGAGAACCGCGCGGGGAGGCGTGCCGTAGCTTCCATGATTGAGGTTGATGTCTGGGGTCAGCGGCTTTCTTGAGCTCCCATACCGCTCCGCTGGTCATACTCACATCCCTCCCTAAACTTCCAGTACTTGCGCATCCCCTTTCCGAACTCGGGGTATCCGGCCACCTTCTGGCCAGCGAGCTCGCTCTCGTCAGAAGAGCCATTGCGCGCCTTCTCGACATCCTCGAACTCCCAGTGCTTGCCCTGGGCCCAAGCGTCTGCCTTGTCGCGGAGGAATGACTCGAAGCTCCACTCGGCGGGCTCGAGAAGGCCAGCGAGGTGCTCCTGCCACACATAGGCTTCAGCCTGCGCCTCGCCCGCCGCCTCGATACCAGCTCCAGACTTGTACAGGTGTCCCGTGGTCTTGTCACCCAGGAGCGAGACGGTCACATGCTTGCGGTAGTACTCCTGCCTGTCAGCCAAATCTCGGCCGGAACTCACCTCCGCCTCGAACACATCCAGGAGACGCATGTCGTCAGGAGTCAGGTTCGAGATGAGCGTACCGCGCACGCTGGCGTCCTCGGGGCCGAGCTTGCCAGAGCTGATAATCGCGGGGTAGTCCCGGCCGGTGATGTGGTGACGCGAGAAGCCAGGCAGGACGGCGTCCTGGAACGTCAGGTCCGAGATGTCACGGCCGAGCACGCGCGACACGATCGCGGGCACCATCAGTGTGCCATAGGCGAAGACTGCTGTCAGCTCCAAATCATTTAAGGAGCTTACGCTTCGACGTGTCCTTCGTTTCGGTCATGGTGCTGCCGTCAGCCGCTTATCAAACGTGTGTATCGGGCGTGCCCACAATTTAATGTGCAGTGTGTGCTGCGCTTCCGTCGAGGGAGGGGGCTTGTGCATCCGGCCAAGGGCGACGAGGGCTATAAGTAGGCGTCAGAAAAGCGAACCAAGAGCCGGCCGAGGGTGATGGAATAATAAGAACAGACAGATAAGTCGTAGACTGACGAGTCGTGCTCGACTCGACGGCTGTCGTGACGGGTGGCTGCATTCCCATCGGACCAAGCCGAGCTCGGCGTATATCCCCCTGCGCAGCTGTGCGTCATTCGGTTGACACGGCGAATTCACCGACCTTGGCTATTAGCCCGCCGCACTAATCGCTCAATTAGTAACGCGCTGAAATGACTCTTAACACCCACACGATCAACTCACGTGACGTTGTTTGGTTGACTGTACGGTGACGGACCTGACGCGCGGTGGAGGTCCCCTCGCTCTCGCCGCTGATTTCGCCAGTTCGTCAACACCTCCCTTCGTCGCCGCCGTCTTCCTCGCCACCACCAACACCATGCCCTACCCCCTCTAGACACTAGCGTAGACATACTTCCTGCACTACGAAAATGTCGGACTATGACGAGTTCGACGACGGCTTCGACGCCGATGAGTCCTTCTTCGCCGCCATCGATAGTATCGAGGCGACGGCAACGGCTTCCTCGGCTTCAACCTCGACCGCCCCGACAACCGCAAGGGCTGCGCCGGCCGTGAGACCCTCAATAACATCGATTCTGGGAACAAACTCGCCGTTCAAGCCCCCAAGTGCTGCCGTTGCCAGGCAGACTGCCCGTGTTAACGACACGCACGCAGAATCTGGACCTTCTCGCCGTGCAGCTGCGCTCGGCGTGTGTCCGCCCCGTCCTCATTTACCGCCTGCGCCACCACTCGCTCCCTCTTCTGACGACTTTGACGACTTCAACTTCTCCGAGGAGGCGCTTGCGCAGATCGACGCAGCAGGTGCCCGCGGCCATCAGCGCACAGCGATCCCCAGCTCAAACCTGAACAGGGGCGGCCGCCCGTTTAACAGACAGAACAGCTTCCACCAGACGCACTTAAACTTTCACCGGGAGAATCCCTATACGAAAGGAAAGCGTTGGGATCGCACTGCATATGCTGCGAGTGGGAGGCGGCTCGACGCCGACAAAGCGAAAAAGAAGGCTAAAGGAAAGAGGAACGATGATGAGAGTGAGGACGAGGCACCGCTGCTGCCAGACGGTATTCCACCTATTGATACCTGTGAGTAGCTGGGAAGCGTTGGATCTCAGCTAATGTCAGCCAAACCATACGAACCGCAACTGCATAGCTACGATCCCGAGGCTATAAAAACATACATCTACCCAACCAACCACCCAAAGCGCAGATACCAGTATGAGATCGTCCGCAACTGCTTCACCGACAACACCCTCGTTGCCATACCGACCGGACTTGGAAAGACGTTTGTTGCGGGTGTCGTCATGCTGAATTGTAAGTTGCTTTGCGCACCGCGCAGCTGACTCCAGTCTTCCGATGGTTTCCCTCCGGAAAGATTGTTTTCATGGCACCTACCAAGCCACTGGTCAACCAGCAGATTGAGGCGTGTCAGTTGACATGTGGCATTCCTCACGACGCGGCGGCTGTCATCAACGGCTCGGTCTCTAGTGTGGAAAGGGACAGATTGGTGAGTGTCCATCCCTCAGCTAAGTAACTGACCACCAGTGGGAAGAAAAGCGCGTGTTCTACTGCACGCCCCAAACCCTGCAGAACGACTTGGAACGGGGAGCTATCGATGCGAGGGATATCGTTCTGGCCGTTGTTGGTGAGCTTTAAATTGCCGGCCACAGCTGACAGCAGATGAGGCACACCGAGCGAGCGGCAGCTACGCCTACACCACGGTCATTGCGCGCATCACAGCCGTGTCACCTTACTTCCGCGTGCTGGCACTCACTGCCACCCCCGGCAACAAGGTCGATAAGGTGCAGGGTGTGGTCGATGGCCTCCACATCAGCCGCATCGAGATCCGCGAGGCTGAGTCGCCCGAGATCACGCAGTATACGAACGAAAAGAGAGTTGAGTTGCACACAATCCCCGTCGAGGGTGTCGTCCGGGACACGATGAGACGCTGGGCGGAGCTCATGCACCCTCTCCTCAAGCGCCTAGTGGATAAGAACGTTCTCACTCCACGCGACTTAGATGCAACCCGCCTTCGACCCTTCACGGTGCAAGCGAAGCTTATGGAACTCGGCCGACATCCTCAGTTCAAGTGGATCTGGGGCCCAATGCAACAAGTTCGGCAGATGGCGGCCGCCATGCAGCACCTGGTATGTTACAAGAAACAGTTGCGGGGTGCCGAGGCCATGACTGACCCTCAGTTGGAATACTCCTTGGGAACCTTTCACGAGAAGGCTTTGCAAATGAGCGGCGCCTCCAACGACAAGGGAAAGAAGGGCAACTCACGGGGAGGCGCGAACGCTTTGCATAACAATCGAGAGTATCAAATGCTCATGACGGACGTTGAGACTGCTCTGAACGAGATCAAAGGGGGTAGAGAGGGCAAGACGAGAGCCGATCTGCATCCGAAGATGAAGAAGACGCTGGACCTCGTGAGCGTTTCCCTGTCAACGCCGCTGACAGCAGCTACTTGCGCACTTTGCCCAAAGCGAGGACGACGCCGAGGTGCACGGCACCAAGAACGACACACGCGCCATGGTGTTTACCTCCTTCCGGGACAGTGTCGCAGAGATTGTCGTGGGTGGCGAACTCTTGCTCGTTGCTGACTACCACTAGGACGCTCTGAATGACCACCCTGGTCTTCTACGACCCACGAGGTTCGTTGGCCAAAGCGACGGGAAGAAAGCGGGTGACAGGGGCCTTAGGCAGAAGGATCAGAAGCAGGCGATCGCCGACTTCAAGGAGGGCAAGTTCAACATCCTGGTTTCGACGTCAGTTGGAGAGGAAGGTCTCGACATCGGCGAGGTCGACTTCATCATCCTGTACGACATGCCGCAGCAGTCGATTAAGCAGATTCAGCGTATCGGTCGTACCGGTCGTAAGCGCGACGGCATCGTGCACGTCCTGATGACGGAAGGACGAGAGGATGGAAACTGGGAGAAGGCGCAGCAGACCCACCGGGACATTCAGCGCGAGATTCTCCTGAACGCCAACCTCGAGCTGTTCGAGGATGTCGAGCGCCTTCTGCCACCAGGAGATTTGCCGACGTGTGTCGAAAAGGAAATGCCTGTCGATGCCTGGGATCCTGGAGCTAAGGGCAAGAGGAAGCAACTCGCTGGTGCCAGTAAGCTGAAGGCAAAGCGCGCGCCTGTCATGGCCGTCCCCGAAGGAGCAGAAGGCTTCAAGAGTGTCTCCGCCTGGTTGAAGGAAGGCACAAAGGGGAAGCGGGGCAAGAATTCTGGTCTGCGCGATTACGATGACGAAGATTCGGAGGGAGACGGCGAACAGGGGTCTTCGGGCAAGACGAAGTCTGACCGGCCAAGAAAGGCTCGCAAGAGCGACAAGCCGAAGACAGCGGCTGAGCTCGCGGCGGAGGCGGCTGCCGAGAAGGCCGCTGCTGCAGAACGCGAGCGTCAAGAGCGCGAGGAGTTGGACAATGAAGCTATCGACTTCTTCAACACACAGGGTTTAGTGCGCGCGCCGCCTCCTGGCTTGTTCGACTCTCCGCCCGCGCGTTCACCTTCGCAAGCGTCCTCGAGTGGAATCGTCTGGACTCCCTCTCCCAAACGCGCAGACCACGCTCTGCCTGCTGAGTCACCCTCCAAGTCTTCACCTTTCAAATCGCCGGCGCAGCCAAATGGCAAACCGAACGGCACCCCGCTGTTCCAGCCCACCATCGACCTCAGCCTCGATGATGATGACGAGGATATCTTCAAGGAGGAGCCCCCCGCTCCGAAGGCATCAACCCTAGACAAGAGTATGCCCCCGCCACCTCTGCCGACCAAGTCTTCGCCCTATTCACCCAAGGTTGCCACACCTCTCTCTCGCCCGGCGCAGCTGGTGCCGGCGAGCACACCTATGACCGACTCGACCGAGCCGACACCCTTTCCGGTCCGTACGCGGCGCCGCATCGGCATCGTCGGCTCCAGCCCCGATATGAGCCTAGCTCAAAGTCTGCAGCGCCTCCGCCGGCGAGGTGAAGCCATTGTAGCCGCACAGGACGACAGCAGTCCCGTCGCCATGCGCCGCCGCCGCAAGCGGCTGCGTGGCGCATACGCCGACCACGAAATGGTAAGCTTCTACATAGTCTGCGGAGGAGCTAACTCCAGCTTGACCTTGATGCCGCTGTATCTGGCAGCGAGGCGTCTGGGGACGAATCCTCGGGCAGCGAGAACTCGCAGGACCGCATGTTTGCGGGCGATTTTGCTGCCACGCAAGCGCCCCGTGGGTACGACCAGCACGCAGTTTATGCAGCGGGTCTCAGTACCCAAGCATGCGCTCGTGCCGGGCTCAAGTTCGACCGCGACGGCGCGACCGAGCGTGCCGCGTTTCTCAGCAAGGCGCGCAAGGCTGTGCTGCTCAGCGACGACGAGCGCGACCGCGAGCGTGACTCGGAGGACGAGTACGAGGTCGGCAGCTTTGTGTGCGACGACGAGGACATCTCGTTTGCCAGTGAGTTGAAGGTCCGGCCAAGGAGAACTGACAGTCAGCGCAGGGAAGTGACCCGGACGGCAGCGCGATCTAGTAGGTGAGCTAACAGGCGCGAGGATCCTAGCTAACAGCAGACGTGTGCCATCGGAGCGCAATTATACGCCCGCAGCAAAGAAGCAGTAACGGAATAGGTGAGCTGCACGGGTCATCTGACAGCTGACGGCAGAGCATGTTCAGCATGTGTATACATAGGTATAGCTTGTCTAGATGTATTCATACAACTACTTGTCCTCCTCCTCATCGTCCTCCATATCAGTGGGACTCGGTGTCCACCGTTTTGTCGTGCCATTCCACACCGAGGGATCCGTAAAGTCGAGCGTGGTTCCATTCACCTCGTACGCAATGCGTAAGAAGTGGTCGCCGTCGAGCTGATCCGTACCCTGAGCAATACTAAAGTTGAGGGCAGAGTAATTGCTCGCAATGAGAATATCGTCAAACACGACGCTGTAGGCGATATTGCCCTTGATGGCAGTCGTGTTAGGCTGCGTCCAGTCGATAAACTCATAGTTGCTCTCCTGCACGACGGTGTGGTTGACAAAGGTTGGAACCCAGGTACCCGCCGCCGCGTCGCCGCGGAGATCCGACTCGTGCTCGAGAATACTCGCCCATCCCCACCTACCGACGCCATCGAGGAAGAAGGCGAGGAGGAAGCCCTGACCCGCGATAGAGACGCGGTTGGGAAGGCTGAGTACGGGCAGCCCGAGCAGACTCAGCATGTAATGGTGCAATCTGAGATGGTATCCTCTTCCAATCGTGGCGAGGAGGATGAGAATAGGTACGAGCGGCAAATACCACGCGAGATAGTACCGGACGTGTCCGAGACGGCGGTACTGGAGCACCTGTATGCCGACGACAATGACGACAAGCACGACAATGATGATGAGCGCGATGACGGCGTCGGCAGACAGAGCGCCATACCCCAGCCTGCTGATGGGGATCTTGGCGAAGAGCGTGGAACTCTCGATTCCAATCCAGAACCCTAACCCTTGCCAAAAGGCCATTTCGAGGAAGAGCTTGGCGGCATAGAACCCATTCAGGCTGCGCGCAAAGCTCACGCGCCAGATCCAGTATCCGGTGATGAGCACGGGCAGGAGACGCTGGAGGACAAGGCTCCAGTCGGGCGGCTGGGCGGGTGGGTCGGAAATGAGCGTGGTTTGGAAGAAACCCAGGACGAGCAGCGTCGAGAAAAGCACGACGGGCGGCGGCGTGAAGAGCAGCGTGTAAATGAAGAGCATCACCGCGTTGAAGGCAGTGATGGGCCAGTGGTAGTCCATGCAGTTGTTGCGGGATCCTGTCGCACTGAGCCTGTATGCGCCGGGGTACTGTGGAGAGAAGGCAGTCGATGTGAGCCCGCTGCTCTCGTAGCCTGGGAAATCCGACGTTCCCTCAGGATACGGCAGGGGCGTGACGGAGACGCACCCGCCATAGCGCGGCGACACGAGGCCGGCATGCACGCCCGACGCGCAGATCCACGAATCGGCCCTATACACCCCATGGCCGCCAATGACGAGCGGGACGCCGTTCACGCTCGTGTTCCCGATCCAGCGCGGGTTGCCGAGCGGCGTCTCGTGACATCCCCCAGGGCAGCGATACGTCGCTTGCTCGAGGTACTCGGCACACTCCTGCCCGTTGAGGCCGCACACGTCTGGCGGCCAGCTGTCGAAGAGCGACGCCGTGCAGCTAATCACTTCGGGGCCGGGCAAGTAGTACTGCGCACGCAGGAAGAGGGCGTTGCCCAGTATCCACACGAGGAGGAAGGGGAGCCAGAACCACTGCAGCTTCCACCGCCTTGAGAAGCGGTACAGCAGGTGGTCGAGCGGGTGCTCCATTGAGCGGTGCCATGCCACGCCGGCTTTGCGCAGGATCCACGCCCACATCGCCTGCAGGTGCGACTTGGGGTGCGGCGCGTCTTTGCGCTCTGTCGGCCCCAGGGCGACGCTTAACAGCGAACTCGACCTAGAGTAGCCTGGAAAGCTGGCTAGGCGTTTCGTCCACCGGTCCACGAACTCGGGCGGGGCTTGTGATTCCTCATCGTACAGCAGTGTCGGCGGACCTCCTGCCATGGCATCAGGCGGCGTGCGCGTGCCGGACCCACCGGGAGTTGAGTCGGGGTACGCGGGCGAGTAGGGGCGGTGTGGTTGCCCCTTTGGCGCCAGCGTCGAGGACGGCGAAGACGGAGACGGCGGCTCGGGGTCGTTCATGGGAAGGAGGCGGTAGCCGCTGGTCGTGGGCGAGTCGTCGACGGGAATGGTGCAGCGCTGAGCGTACCGAGGCGCTCAGCTCGTGTCTGCGTTATCTGCGCTATCGGCGGGAGAGTTGCGAGCGGCGTCCAGTTATGCTTCTCTTGATACGGTGTCGTGCCCTTTGCGAGGGGGAGTGTCCTTTTGAAGCGTCCTCTCCTGTCTGTGCAGTGATGAGAGCGTGTGGTGATGTCCGGCGGCCGAAAAAATCAGGTCGTCTGACACAGGAATGTGCCTCGCTCTCGACCTCGTTTAGGTCCAGCGGTCCAGCTTCGACGAACGTTTCGACGACAACGACGAGAGATATGACGGGTACGAACGAGTGTGAGAGGATGTTGGAGTGGAGTGGTTGACAAGCGGTTAGCGGGGATGCATGGCTGCGGTGCCAGGGAGACCGGAGACCGGAGCCCGGGGCCCTTCAGTTCTCAGCTCGGTGGTTGTCCTGAAGTTGTGAGTTTTCGGCCAGTGGGCGCGCCGAGCTTTGGAGTATGCAATGCGTTCATGGGATCATGGGTTCCGGGTTCATTCAGGATATCGGCGACCAAGATGCGCTGGGCTGGGTGTAGCATGCAGAGGACGCAATGTCTTGGCTTGCGCTAGTTGGCCCATGGTCACTTCTTAGCCCGGCCGCGCTCGGTACGCTCGGCTCACCGGGCCGTTTTCTGGACCTCGGGGCGCACGGCGCACGGCGATCCCCACGTGTTCCACCAAGCCACCCCCTAAGGCGCTTGGGACCTACGTCTCCGTTAAGCAGTTACGGTATCACTCGCTTCCAAATCCCACGTCATAATTCTACGAAAAGTCGAGCCCTCGCACCAAACTCACCCTCACTTCGCACCCGATATGTCTTCCTCGTACAAAACTTCAGACGCGTCCTTGATTTTGTCTTCCTCCATCTCCTCTTCAAGACTTATGGGCAATATGATGACGTCTCGGTGACACACCCCGCTGCGTCCGCACGCTGCCCATCCCTACTAGTGAGTCATCCACCCTCAGTCCGCCCGACCAAGGATGAGCACTACAATCCAACTCCTAAGCGGCGCGAACCATCGGTTCCACCGCGACAGCGCCGGGTAGGACCGGTATCGCTTGCGGACCTATTACACATGACCTGAGATAATACTCTTGTGCTCTGCTACTTTGCGGAATGCGTAGCTGACAAAAACAGACCTTGAACACTGACCTTGTCGTAAACCTTCCTCTTGACGCTGGGCTCGCAGAAATCTACAATGAGTGAGTATCCGCAGAACTCTGTGCGCTATGAAGAACAACCATTACCATACTTTACCTCATGCGTAACCGGCCTTCGGGCCGCGATTGCCGAGACAATTTCAGCCTTGTCTGAGCGCACACTGTTCTTTGAGCTATCTTGCGTCGATACGAGCTAACGATCAGTCATTTTCCTCTCTCTCAACCTTTGTGTGACCGGAAGTCTTGGCGGTGGATGGCGAAGGGGCGGAATGCACAGTGGGAGTTGGAAGGGATGACGGATGATGAGAGCGTCGTGTGGCGTTATCAAAGAGTGAGTACAGCCCAGCAGCTCGCGGCTTCGCGCCGCTCGCTGAGAGGATGGTCTGGGATGAAAATTTCCGATGGGCGGACAGAACCCCAAGTCCCATGGCTTCGGCCTAAACGCCCCAGTGTACAAAAGTGGGCGGGGAGGCGGAGAAGGTGATTCATCGATTTCTGAGACCTCCACAAGTGTTGAGTGAGCTTTGGCTGACGAGTAGGTTACAGCTGTGAGTTACCCAGTCTTTGTTGTAGTCGATCGAAGTGTTTGTTGTAATGATGAAGTCTTTGCTTTTTGCTGCTGCCGTGCTGCCGTGCTGCCCTGATGACATGATTCTCCTGGACTGACTATGCTGCATATATGTCTATGGGTAGATTCTACTGGACGACAATGTCCTTGATCATGAGAACGTGCGGCGCGCCGTCCTCGTCAAACTCGCCGCCCTGCACCTCGTATCCGAGCTTGCTATAGAAGCCCTTAACGGGGATCTGTCGTCAGCTCTGCCTACACGGTCTCGGCCGTTCTCGAGTCGCTCCATCCAGTCTCGCGATGTTCATCTACTTCACAGTGTGGAGTGAGCAGGAGAGCGAGCGATCCGCTGACAAGGCGAGTAAGGAAGGAAGACAAGAGACTCACCTGTGAGTGGATCTTGACCGTAGCCACCTTCTTCCCATCCACTTCGTGGATGAGGTGCTGCACGTCCTCGCCGCCGGCCGCGACATGCGCCTCCAAAGCCTGGACTAGCGTCTTGCCGAGTCCATACTTCCTGTAGTCCTTCAGGACCGCCAGCCGCGTCAGCTTGCCCTTCTTCGGCACGAGGCGGACAGTGCCGACTGGCTTGTTCGTGGTATCGTCGAGGACGAGGAAGGACACGTGCGAGTTGGTGTTGTCGACGCTGGGCGTTAGTCATGCATGAGTGAAGCAGGGATGTGTGTGCTTGATCCGGCCTAAGCCTGCTTGAGACTGGGTCGGCGAAAAAGCATAACAATCAGGATTGGGAAGCGTCCTGGTCTTCCTCGAGGAGTAACCTCCACGGTGCCCGCGCCGTCAGCAAGCGCTCATCATCACATGGGATGCGGAGCAGCTCGTTGTCTTTATGTCTCAAAACAAGCAACCCCAGAGCCTTCTGAAGACGTCCGGAACATGTGAAGGTCTAGACCATCCTCGGGCGCAAGTTATCAGATGTCACGATGATATCGAGATCAGGCCCGAGCGATTAGCTACTCACTCATCGATCTCGACGTCGGCAGCGAATTTCTGTGTACGTCAGTCTCAGAATTTCAGTCATTATGTCAGCGTGGAGGAAGCCGGTCGGCCGACGCCCAGGAAGTTCCAGGTGTTCCATGTTCCAGACTGTCAGGCTTTCAGGCTGCTTGTGCGCTCGTGCGGGTGGCTTCTCCCTGGACCTGGACGTGGTGGGCTCTCGAGTCCGGACGTACCTGCTCATCGATGAAGACGGCGAAGCGGATGTCGCGCGACTGCTGGATCTCCTCGGGCGTGCGAGCCTCTTTTGTCGTGAAGCTGGGCATTGCTGTTTTATGAGTTTGTTGTCAGCAGGGAAGAGAAGTGGGATGATTTGGGTCAGTGGAGAGCCGTGGAGAGGGAAGGTGGAGGTCCGATCGAGTCGCGCTGCGCGCCGGGAAGTCCGGGCCGGACGCTTGCCCGCCTACCGGAATGCCAGCAGCTGCAACCGGACTGCAAGTCTTCACATTCTCTTGCAGCGCTTTAAAGCACGCGACAGACACGATGAGCAGATGCTCCTTTGAGCTTGCAGGGACGTCGAGTTGCGAAAGAGTCGTCGTCGGAGAGAGGGAAGGAACGGGCGTCTGCGCTGAATTGACGAGAGCCCGGGTTGGCCGGCGCAATCTTGCTTCCACCCTGTGTCCGACGATTCACTCCGGCTCGTTCCTACGCACCCCTACACTTCCCTACTTGCCCTCGCCCAATGTCTAACTCTTCTGATGCCCCCTCCAGCTTGACGGAAACTCGCGACTTTGGCTGGCATGACGACGCTCTTTGTTCACGCAGGAGTTGCGCAGGACTTTTTCGCGCCAAACTCGTGCCGGACTCGCGCCCCTCCCTGAAGCTCTCCTGGCCACATCCTTACAACTCTTCAACCGCGCTCAAGCGACTGGGGTCAAGATACGAACAGAGGAGAAGATGTCCCGTGCGGTGGTGGCGCTGACCTGGCGTTGCGAGCCTTAGCCTGTGAGCGACGACCGAGACGCCCAGCAGACGCCCAAAGACGCCCAAAGACGCCCAGAGACGCCCGTGGACGCCTCAAGCCAGTCAGACCCTGGGAAGTCGGAAGTGTTCGTTCTTGACGACCTTCGTGCTTCACGCTGTGTCGCTGTGTCGTCCGTCATGTCGTTGTCAGATACTCCGGCCAGCGAAACCGGACCTGACGCAGCCTTGCCGCGCCTGATTCCTGCCGCCTGAGTGGAGCCCGAGTGCATGCCTTGCCAGGTGTGGGTTGCGAGCCAGTCTCAGACATAGGAGGACACAGGAGGGCAACCGCAGGAGCAGAGCACAGAGCCCACACTCGAAGGCACCTAAGCCTTCCCCCTTCCTCCGGCCCTCAGCGCAAGCCCATCCAGCAGTTTCTTGCGAGTGCTCCGGCGACTCGTGTTCCTCGTCCCTCATCCCTTCCAACTCTCGCCTCTCGCTCCCTCCTTCCTCCTTCTCACTCGCACTCACCTCACTCACATCGACGCACACAACGCGCTCGCCGCTCACACTGACATCGCCGCTATAGACGACTCGCCGCTCAGCCTTGACCTTAGCAGCTCACCATCCGCCGCACGACCGCTATCGCCCCATTCCCCTTTCTCCCCATCGACACATCGCTCCACTTGATACCCACTCGACCACCGTCGACAACGAAGAAGTAGCACCATGCCGGCCACCATGCCTGTCATCCGCGCGGCGGAGCCTCGAATCACTCCTCGTGAAGGTTACAATCTCGCCTCGCCCCAGCACCCCTCAAGCCAGTACCCCGAGCTGGTTAGTGAACACACTCTCTTGCCGCCGGTACAGTCCTGTGTCGATAGAGGCACCTGCCAGACCGAGGACAACTCTGGAATGGACATCGTGACGGACACCAGATACCGCAGCGGGACGGCGGCAGCTCGTGAAACTCCGGCAGACCGCAGCCGCGAGGAACACCGTGCTGATAGCCTCGCACCTGGTGGCCCCCGCCGAAGCTGGTGATGAACGAAGATGGTAGCTGACATTCAGCGAGAGCTCATGGAGCGCAATGCGCGCTGGGCAAAGCGTGTTAACTCTGCCGACCCGACGTTCTTCCCTCGCCACTTCCCCGGCCAGCGACCCGAAATCCTGTGGATCGGATGTAAGTGCTAGCGTGGAGCTGGGCTCCTCAGAAGACTGCTTCAAGATGTCACACGAGCGTGACGTTCGTCGCTAGCGTTCTCTTGATCGAGACGGGCGGTGGGGTTGAACGTTCAAGGGCAAGGAGACGAAGAGTCCAGACCTGGAGGAAGGCACTGACGACAGGCTCTGACGCTCGTGTCCCGGAAACGACGATCATGGGCTCGACGCCCGGCGACATCTTCGTGCACCGCGGTATTGCCAACCTCTACACGCCCGGCGACGACAGCATGAACGCCGTGCTCATGATCGCCCTCATCAACTTCAAGGTCAAACACATCATCGTTGCGGTGAGTCACCAGCTTTCCAAGGGGGAAATCTAGAAGGCAATGGAGCAAAGCGAGAAACGAGAGCGACAAGGAGCGCACTTGTGCGATGTGCAAGCAGCTTCGAACTGGCGTTGCTGCTTTAGCGCGCGGATCGGGCGATCGATTGGGTCCTTAATTCATTGAGCTCGCACCTTTCATTCATTGAGAGGATCGGCGTTGTCTCAGCTGCGAGATCTTGTGCTTCGCCTTCGACAGCAGAACAATGGAGCCTGGACCTTCGAGATCCCCAGTGTTTCGACTGATGCCTACGGCCTTGTTGATCGGTCGAGATCTCCTGATAGCAGGCGCACCTGGGCATGAGTGCTCCGATCACGTCGGAGAGATCGATATGAGAGAGCGGACGCAAGTCCTGTCTCCAAAGCTCCCTGTCGCATGGCGAGCTGCCTTCCTTCTTGATACGCTGCCTCACCTTCAATCTTCTACGGAACATCTCGCTGACCTTCCAGGGCCACTCAAACTGTGTCGGATGCCAGACTGCGCTGCGCTCCTCGATGCTCCCGCCAGTGCCCGAGACGCAGGCGATCCAGCGATACCTGAAGCCCCTCACGCAGCTCGCGCGCGCGATGACGACCGAGGACGGCCCACCCTCGCTCGATCTGCTCGTGGAGGAGAATGTCGCGCAGCAGGTCCGCAACCTCCTTGCGTCGCAGGTTGTCCAGGACGACTGGAAGCGCAGGGGGCAGTATGGCGTCACGGTGCACGGGTGGGTGTACCAGCTTGAGAATGTGAGTATCCGTTTGCTGAGGGAGGCGTAGCGGGCTTTACGCGCGAAGAGCTGTGTTGTTTCTTCACTCAGAGCTGACACGCAGGGCACGATCCGCGACCTCGGTATCTCGCAGGGCCCGCCCGACTCGAAACCGGGCAAGAAGATCCTGCCCAAGTTGTTCTAACCGCGTGCCCCTGTCTCGACATCGACCACGCTGTATCTCGCCTGATCGCTTGAGCAAACAAATCTGTGTTCCTGTGCCTCTCTCCGTCCTCCATCGGCATACTCATACCCCTGTTCCTCTCGGTCCTCATCTCGCTCTCATCTCTATCATACATCATACATTCTCGTCCGTCCTGCGACCCCCAGCTTACCTGCCCCCATCTCCCATCTCCCGCACGGCCCCGCACTACTATAAAATTGGAGCACCACCGTACCCACCCGGCCCATCAGACGTAGTTCCAATTGTCACATATGTAATACGATACTATCCCATGTCCAGTTGCGCCTCACTTCATGTGTGCGATAGACTTTCTCTAAGCCAGACTCACCATGCAAACAGACACGTTCACTCACCACCAACCTGTTACCCAAGCATCGCGCAGGAACCGCCACGAACATCGGCAAATCCCACCAGCACGCAATTGAGATCTGGCAATATCGCCTCCCTCAGCGATCGAAAGGACCCAAGGAACATGTTCGCGATGTGATTCCGGTCGATTCCGGGGTTGATTCCAAAGCACGCCCAGCAGTGATTCCAGGTGTAATCAACAATGATTCCAGTCGTAATTGAGAACCGTGCCGTTATCATCTCGAAGAGGTCCTTTGGACTAGCGCATTGCGCACCTAGGTCTCCCACCGGCTGGTAGGCGGCCGATCCAAGAGGGGACCGAGGTCCGCGCCCGGAGACCGAAGGATCAAGACCCGAATTCAACACAACACCGAAGGAAGCGAGGGTCAAGCCGCCCGTTTCAATAGAGACAATGAGAATGAAAGAGGCGGCGATGGAGACCCAAAGCCGCGGAGACCGAGAGTATGACGCGGCAACGCGGAAAGGGTTGGGCCAACGGGCTTGGCGAGACCGTTCGGGGGTGACTTGGCTCCGAGAGTGCCGTCCAAAGCGATCCGGGAGTGATCCGACATCGCGTTCCGAAGGTACGCCGAGGAACGACGAGGAACAAGCAGGGACGACGAGGGACGAAAGAATGCGAGGCGATGCATCGCGGGGACCTGGTGGAACCCGGGAGAAGACTTCGAGTCAATGGGAGGTCAATGGGGACCGGTGTCGGGGTGGTTTTGGGTCAGGTCCGCGTCGGTACCGATGTCGGAGGATGCGGGGAGTATGTTCGGGTTTCGGAAGCTGATACCTGGATGCGAGTGTGAGCTGGAGCGTGAGCGTGGGCGTGACGAGAAGCGGTGCTAATCACAATTGAGGTTGGGCCGGGATCGAGTGAGGCAGTTGGGTTAGAATCGCGGCCGCATGGCGAAGAATGCGATGCGCGCATCAGGAGAACGGAAGCGGAGTCATTCAGGTGCCATTGTGGCAAGGTCCTGAGTTCGAGCAAAGACTCACAGAGGAGGTCTCCGGAGTCACACCAAGATCCGAGAGTGTCAGTGTGGGTGAGGGAAGAAGATACAGAGGAAGGGAGAGAAAACAACAGTGCAATCGGAGTGAACGGAGGGAAAGGAGAGTCCGGAACCCAATCTGGCCGGCGCCGAAGCGAGCCGGTTGCAAATCGGTCACAAGATAGATCAAGCTGTGACCACAATCGAGGCATGTCACAGTATGTTCAGTCTGTGAGAGCAGAGCAGGGGAAGGATGAGCGATCAAAGAGGGTACGAAAGGGATGATGATAGTCCGAAACCCAATCTGATTATCGGTGCCGGTAGCGAGGGCATGCCTGTCGCTACCGCTTGTAAGATGGCACGACGATCAGCGCACGCGGTATGCGGGTGGGATTTAGCTTGACGAGCTCTTGGAGTGGGACCACTGTGGTGTGCGCTTGCCTTTTTCATGTAGTGTGGCGATTGCTGCGGGTTCGAGGCAGCTGTCAGGTCTCTACCAGTTTGGTAGAGGCATCCAAGATGGGCCAATGCAGAGACTGTAGAGACCAATCCCAGCACAGAGCGAGTGTGAAATGTAGTGATACCAACGGTGTCATCAAGGTCGAGCTTCGAGCCTGAGGGGCGGCGGCTAAAGCATGGTATTTATGGCGAGGAGGACAGCGGCAGCGGCCGACGGTGACCATCTCGGCCTGCAGGCCAGCACCGTTGAGCTGTGCGGAGCGAAAGCCGAGTCAGACAATCAGATGGAGGAGGTTCGTCAGCTCTATGACACCCGTGCCCAAGATTCAGCCGCTTCAGTGAAAGATGAAGAAAGGGCAGGCCTGGAATGTGCTCGTTATCGTGTCAGTTCAGAGGTTATGAGCGATGAATCCAGTGAGTGCAGGTCGCTATATCTCACGACAGCGCATAGTGGTTGGACAACCGCAATTCAACGTCAGCTGGAAGAGGCTCCACGTCTCAACCATGGCCTAGCGTACCAGAGTCTCGGAAGCCTGTAGCTAAGAGATGCGAATACGTCCCTCCGAGCGCGGCGTCATCTCCCGCGCCGACATTCACCATGTGGAGGCCACCTACCCATTGCTTGCCCATTGCGCACTTGCCGCAAGTCCAGATCTCCAAGGCGGAAGTCCGATCTCCATACAGTAGGCGGCTCAGATGCAGCACAGTGAATAGTGTGCCTGCCCACCCTCCTGGCGTCCACATGTGGTCCGTTACGCGGGAAAGACCCTCGATCCTGAACTCCGACGGATCCACAATCTTCGCCGATACAAGCCCAGCGCCCCAGGATCTCCTCGCCCACTGGTTTGTACTGGTGTGGGGAACTTTCGTGCTGGTGTGGGGAAGGCGATGTCGATTACAGATGATATTGAGCGCAGCGAGTTCGAGCATGCCTTGGTGCAGCTCTGAGGCTGTTGGTCCACCGCTCACACCCCAGCTTCGGTCGAAGCGATGGCTGTCGGCTTCTGCGCAGACCTCGTAACACACCAGAACTCCCTCCATCAGGCAGGTGGGCATCTTGTTAACGCCGGGAGCCACTCCCCTTCGGACCCAGAAAAGGGTGCTTCTAATGAAGAAAGACATCGGTCGTTTCGAGCCTCGACTTTGTCAGACAGGCTACTCCCGATGGCAGAAAGGCACCGGCCCCTCAGACAGTGGGAAGCCCCCGAGAGTGCGGAGTCACTTCACGCTGCGGAGCTGCGGAGTCTGGTGTCATCAATGACTGAGAGAGGAATGAGTTGATTAACCCAGGCGACGGTGAACGTCGCAAACCTTGGCCGGCTGGGCTTGGCGCCGAATCGATGGTCGACCTGATGCCCATTTGACCCAATCACCGCTAGCATATCGCTCCGTGGGAAGACGAGGGAACAGACTGAGGGCAGCAGTTGTGACACTACGCCTTCGAAGCAGACCTGCACTGCCGAGTCGCGAGCTCACCTCGAGAACGTTCCGCCCTATCCTCCAGTAACACGACTTGACTTCTGCAGCGAGGGGCGCCGCTTTGTGTGTCTCGGGTAGGCAAGTAAGCATGAAAAGGTTGACACTTGGCGCTGAATACTGTTACCCCAAACTGGGGTTCGAGGGTCATGCACGGTGGTGAACTGGTAGGATTTCAAGAATCCAGGCTCACGGTACACTAAGTTCCTCAGCTCGCCCATGTGTTCAAGCGCCACTGATTCGGGGTCGAGGGCCGTTCCTTCGATTCACGTCCTTCACCTTCCGTTCATCCGCGAGACATGCCCTCGATTTGTGTCGTGAATGTGAACGATCACTGGAGTCAGATCTGTTGGCAGTCTCCCTGCTGCAGGTAGCGCATGGTGCACAAAGGACGTCGCCAGGCATTCCCCGAAGGAAGGGCCCGATACGAGGCACTGACGTGCTGCCACTCCCATTCTTGGGGACCACGCCTTCGGTGCACCGAGCTGCGGGGCGCAGCCAGCGGATGGTGAAGCCGCGACCTCCCTCCCTACAGCAGGGTTGTCACCTTAAGGTGAGAAGGAGCATTCATCAGACGGTCAGCTGTTCAGCTTACAAACTAAATCTGCAGGCATCCGAAAAGGATCGAGTCGAGGAGTTACGTACACCAAAGATAAGCTTTACTGCGTCTTCTAGGTGACTGACCCTGCGCGGTGCGAAGATTGCCCTTAGTACGGCGCGGAAGGTCTCATGCACAGACCACGGGCGGTATGCCGTTGTTGATGCGCGGAGACACTCAGGAGGGCGCGCCGAGCAAAGGGGAGGATCGTCTCAGAGACGTCGAAATCTGCCTCGAAACGAGGCGACGATGAAAGGTTTAAAGGATGAAAATCCAGGTGTGCGACCGCCACTTCGGACACCCCTCTCGGCCGCAGTCTTGGCCGCCTTTCTATGTCAAGCGTTCAGTTTTGGGTCGCGGACCTGCCCAGTCTAGAAACCTCGGCGTCGGGAGCAACTCGCTGTGCAGAGGAAGGCACTGCGGCAGCACTTGATTGACCGCAGTCGATCGAAACGCTGCACGGTCACCGCAGCTGCTGCTACTCCGACGGCCTTTGTCGAACGGGTGCTCCGACCACAACCCCATGGTTGCGTGGAAGCTGCATGGTCAGATACTACAGTGTAACAAGTGCCAGCGGACGCGCAACGTCGGCAACTGACATGGTACCGATCTTGTTCCACTTCTGCATAGCGGTTCCTGGAGTGCGGCGCCGGTTCGCTGGCGCAGGAACGTTCGGTGCCTTTCCTCTGGTACAGGTTATCCGCGAGAAAGATTGTAATGAGCACGATCGTTGGCGCGCTAGTGCCACGAACTTCTGTAAAGGAAAGGTACTCGCGGGGGTTCATGATGGGCATTCGGCGTAACTACTTTCGGCACCCTCTTCTCTCCCCCACTCTACAGGAAAGATTAATCCAGCATTACTCGCCTGTGCGGCGTCCCCTCGCCGCTCTCTGCCCGCCGCTCGCCGAGTGCCCCGCACAAAGGGACTCGGGCCCCTGATTGCCATGTACATTAGTCCAGCCGGCATGCACCGGCACCCGGAATTGGAGCCCTAGCGAGACTGAGTCCCTACTGTTCTCGAAGCCGGAAGCGAGCTCGTGATCGAAATTAGGTGTCTTTCAGCACCATGCGGGGGGACGATCCTTGAGTGCAGTGGACTTACGAGGAGTCCATGTCGAGCGTCCAATGTAAGCCGTCCAAATCATCAGATCGGCCCGGTTATGTGTAAGCGGGTCAGGGAAGTAGGTGCTCTACATTTGACAGGGTATTGACAGGACCAGCGGGACCGAGCAGTTGAGGACGCGCATAGGACATGACCTGCATGTCGACTGTCGTGAGCACCAAGGAGGACTTCGTGCTCACGTTGACGGCTGCTGTTCTGGACGTTCACGACTCCGCTTTCGACGCTCTTGCGTTTGCTTAACTCTGCTTCGCTACTGGTACTCAATCAGAACGTGACCCACGGTCAGGCCAGCGGCAGGAGCATCCCGGCAGCAAAGTTGGTGCCGAGGCCCGCCCCGCCGTAAGCTCGGCTCGTGACAGCCCACTAGGGTAGAATGCGACATTTTGATGGCCTTGAAAATAACTGTTCGGAAACGGATTCTACCTCTAAACGTTCGCATTGGAGCAGGTTGCTCCAGACTCTCAGTCACAATGTTAAGGTTTCGGCGCACAGGGAAGCCTCTCAAAGGTGTCGAAGTGAACGTTTGTCCTGACACTGGTCTCACGTTCCGCCCCGTAAGCAGGGAGCTGCTGTTCAGGCTGATCAAAGTGCTTCTCAAGCTTGTTGGGCAGCGCCGACGTACTCCCCCCGGCCCTTGCTCGTCTGTCAGCCTATTAATTGTCGTAAACGAGCGTAGCACCCTGCCACATGTTGCCAGGCAGTCGGCTGGACCGGGCCCGTCCGTAAGATTGAAAGGAACTGGAGTGGGTTTTGGCCGATATGACGTGCAGGTGTAAACAGCGGCTGAAATGTGGCCGAGACAGCGGTCGATCACTCACAGCTCGAGATTACGGTCGGTGGTCACCTGGCCCGGCGTCGGCGGCAACTTCGCCTTTCGGTTTTACTATCAGTCCGAGGCACAACCGTGGCTGTCCTGACAACGGACACCGCGATGATCGGCGACGAGGAGAAAGAGTACTCCGTCTCTGGAATAGAGGTCATGCGATGCAACACGCAAAAGTGTATGACGCCACTTTGGTCGCATTCCTGAGTGGCCATGGTCGATGTCCTGCAGGGGTGTGCCTGAAGTTTTCCGCGAACACGTACGCAGGAAGGCCGCGGGGGAGCAGGTGGTGGAGGGGTGAAGAGGGAGGGTCGACGAGGGGATAGAGGTCCGGTAGACAATTGTTGATCGAGGACTGCTCCGACGGCCCGCTCGCCGATCCCACCTGCGACGGTGCACGACCCAGTGCAATCTGTCTAACGTCATCTGTGCAATCATTCCATCATTCCCCATCACCCCGCCCAAACCCACTCCGAATGGAACACGGTGATTAACCGTGCCCCACCCTCTGAGCACGCGCGCTCCTACGGGCCCCAATGCCGTTGCCTGCCGTAGCTTGGTCATCTTCGGTTTCGGTGGAGGTCGGTTACGCCTCATGTGTGATCTACGTCTTTGGCTCCCGCTGCCACCGGTCTGAAGTGTATCGTCGAAGCTAGCGCGTGCATGCCTGTGATCCGTTGACCTGAGACAGGTCTGAGGCGATTTTATGTTATATCCGCAAACCGCTCGTGAAACGAACAGAACGCTTTCGCTGGTACGTGAGCTGGCCGGTTGGAATGAACTGAATTGTGCCTGGACGCGTGCCGACGGGGTCGACGATTGGTGTTACCACTGATTTTTAACTCGAAGTTTAGCCAGCGTTCCGCCCGAGAAGATTCAAGGTTGAGCTCCGTGCACGCTCGGCGAGCCATGCAGTGAGCAAAGAGCGAGGCCGCGGAGCAAGTGGGAGGCATGGGATCCTGCGAGGCTGCACGGGATCAGCTTGGCGGAGCCAAAGTTGCAGTCAGTAACGTGAGGGTAACACGAACTCCAGGCTGCGTACGTAGTCTCGGCGTCGCAGTTCCATGGACACGCCGATGACGTTAGAGCAACAAGAGGAGCGGGAGAGGTCGACGAGGATGGACGACGTTCGAGCGATGAAACGCTTCAATTCACCATCCGTGGTCAGAACATCCGAGCTGTGCTTGGGCACAGAGGGAACGGCGACCCCTTGACCTCGTTCCTGTCGGCTGCACCTTGGGTCCTTTAGGTCCCTTTCATTGCAGGAAGCCCTTTGGCACAGCTTGTCGTACACCTTGCCTTCCGCCACGCGCCAGCTTTGGACCCACTCCACAAGCCCTCCTCTGTCTGCGCATACTGCCCATAATTCTCCCAGCCCTCAGCAAACCCTTGACACAAGCAAGAGGTGAAGGCTGTCAGAAACGATGCGGCGCAGTTGGCCTTTCTGCCACTGTGTCGCGAGTCCGAGCGCAGGATTTGAAGTCAGGACGCTAAACTATGCGTGCTCTGTGGAGTTCGGGATAGAGTTTAGGCATCGAAGGCGGACCTTTCCCAACGGCTCAGGCTGGAAACTCTGCAGCCTGCATGTACCATGGATATCGACTGAGACTGACAGTACTGCCTGGTCACGAGCTTGTTGACTAACACTATTGCCGACAGTCGAGAGCTCTGTTGTCGAATCATCCGAAGACAATCCTCCGCTCCTTTCTATGGTTTCGGTAACGGTGCCTCAACCATGCTCCTTCCGCCAGCCCTCCCAGAGCAGTGGTGCGTGTGGGGAAGTGCCTCGGCGTGGTTTCACTGTAGTGGTGAGGCTGGGGAAGGCACAAATTCGGAGCAATGCTAGATGTCATCCGGGTTCTACCCCAGTTGAGCACGTCAGGTCCGACAAACCGGCATGCTCCTCGTGCAGAAGCAATGCTTCTCGTTACGTGTTGCGCAAGCGACCCCAGGCGCACCTGTTCCCGACGAGCCCGATGCTGCATGATGAAACTGCCCCCAAGGGTCCTCGGCGCCCACACGCGCTATAAGGGACCAACAGGCGCCAGGGTAGGGCACAGGCGTGGGTTCATGAGCATTTCCGGGTCCCTCGGTCCTTGACATCCTGGAAGTCCTGGAAGTCCTGACAACCCTGGGACGTTGCGGTCCGTGTGACCGGTGTGCAATCAGTAATTTACTGGGACAACTGGCGCGCCTGGCCCGTGAGCGAGGGATCCGAGCAACAGCCCTCGGAGGAACGGCGAATGCGACTTGCCTGATACGACCTCGATAGCACGCCAGCGCTCAGACCCAACCTCCGCGAGGCCAGAGACGCAGCTCAAGCTCCTCAGGCTGCCCAGTCTGACCAAGCAGGCACGCAGTCGATGATCCAGCTCGTACCTGTCTGTCGTTGATGCATTCAGCCCCAAGACGTACAGACGCGGTACTCATAGCTTTACATCTACGCCAAGTTTACGTATCACTCTTTCAACCTGACGACCCCGTCATTAGTGTCCCCTGGCATTGCTCCACGTTCAAGATCCAGTACTAGTGACTGGTAGGATTCCAAGCGACATCCGTCGACAGTACGGTACGAACACGCCGATCATTTCCTCGTCTTCTCCCCTCCCCACAATAGCCGTGCCCGGGAATTACTTCACCACACTCGGGCAGGCGATCACTTGCGACAACTTATACGCAGCGAACTACCGCGGTAACTGTAACGGTTATTGCCCTATCAACGCAAAGCAATCCCAACTGTCGGCCCTTCGCCTCGCACTCTGCGCTCTTACTCGCTCTACTCGCCCTCTTGCCTTGGCACCGATTTGCTTGGGCTGATCTCGCTCGACTGAGCTATAGGCTTCAGACTCCTCTGGTTACGTTTCGCCACGCAAGGTCACGGACGTACGAACCTTTCGAAGGAGTACGCAAGTCACATAAAGATCACCCACCCACTGGACCCATCGCTCGGCCAACCTCACTGCCCAACGTCAAGCTTGCAGTACGTACTACGCACTCTGGCCAGCGTATCCCAGCATAGCGCGGACAAATCCCAGAGCCCGGACCTGAGCTCGTCTCGTCGTTGGGGACAGGAGCGTACCCAGGAGCTAACACTGACGATCAGGTTGCACACACTGTGCACGAAATAAGCACTACCGGTCGTTGTGACATCGCACTATCCTACTTCACGCGCGTTCAACGACCACCGTCTACGCCACCGCGACACACCGGCGACCTCGACGTCGAACACATTCCGACGGTAGCTCCCAAAAGGAGCTAGTCGCCCAGGTCGCCGTTGTGTCACCGATCGAGCTGTCTTTGCGGATACCGTTTGACTCAATACCACCGACGACTGAATTGAAGCCCGGCCGGCGAAATCGTTCTATCTCTTCGAAACCGGCTCACGTCCGAGTGTCCCAGACAAGAACGCAAGGCACAAGATCGACATCGTCTCTTATCAAACAAGCGTGACAGCTCTGTTCTACATTCCCAGGACGATCAGTTGCGGCGAGCTCAACATCCGACATCCGCGTCGTTCATTCCACCCTTGTTCCAAAGAAGAACAGCCCACGAACCGACCCGCTGCCATCGCTTCCATCTTGGTTGACCCGAGGTCTAGCCCTGATCAGCTGATCCGAACGGTCAGTCGCGCACTAAACAACAGCCCTCAGCCCTCGCCTCGACGTCAGTGGCGGCCCGCTGGCTCTCAGCTCAAGCTCAAGCGTAGCGCGACCCAATTCGGGGCGTAACCGAGGTGGCCGATCGTGGGCTCTGAGCCAACAGTCAGAGCCGATCAGCCGGCTCACGGACCGAAGAATAGTGCGCGCCGTTAAAAGATCAAAGCTGGCTCACCTCCCAACTCTCGAATCAACAAACGATTACAACTCACGATACACTGCTGCGTACGACGCACGAAGGGCAGCGATGTTCCTCCTACCTACTCCTCCAATAACACCGCGCAAGTTCGGAGCTGGAGGCCTCACGAACTTGCTGGCACCCCCGACCCCGCGCATCTCCGACCCGAGACCGACCACGACACGCCGTCTCAGCGACGGCGAGCTAGTCAGATACCTTCCTGCGCGCACTGAGGGGCGCGGTGACCTGTGAGTGTGCCCATGAATGAGATGGTATTGCGAGAGAAAATTGCATGCGGCAGTAGGGAGGATATTTCAGTTTTCTTCCTGGGCGAGGCCTTGCATGCCTTGCATCGATATCTGCGATGCTCCCAGAAAGCTCAGCGATAAGCTCGACGCACACTATGATCACCCGTAGTGTGTGTGAGGATGTGGCAAGGAAGGGCGCAAGGACATGTTTCAGATAGTGTCGTGGCGTTCTGCTGACCTCAGCTACGTTCACCAGGTGATCCTCGGACGGAGTTCGCTGCTCTCCCAGCCCCGAGTCCGATTAGCCTGGGCGATCTTGTTGGCCCGGCATCCACTGTTGGCAGCTCGGATCCAGGCGCGCTCCTATACGCAGACGTCGTTCCTCCACGCGTCCCCAACGTCCATCGACCTCGCCCTGGCGCGGGCAGACCAGCAACTGACCTATCTGCCGGAATGCCAGACGGATCTCGTCGACGCCTTCCTTCACGGCCCCCGGACACTAAACGCGGACACGAGCGCAGTGCTCGTCGTGCGGACGCTGCCCCGGGACGGAGAGCGATTACGAACAGGAGAGCGGATCTATGAGCTCCTGCTCTGTGCGGCGCCCTATGCGTCCACGCCCTCGGGACTGCACGCCGTCATGGCGGAGTTGCATGCTCTGCTGCGGACACGAGATCTGACGAGTTTGCTGCTGCACGAGCTCGCGCACCCGGCTCCGTTCCCGACCGCACTGGACGCAGCACCGTTGACGTCCATGCAGCTCGCGGTCGGTGCGGTGCTGTACGCGCACGACTGCTCGGGACCAGGGGGGCAGGCGTTCCCGCACAACCTCGGCCCATCACGACACTCTTCTTCTGAACCTCTCGAGCGGGAGTTCGACCAGCGGACATCAGAACGGATACATGCCCGATGTCGAGAGCAGGGAACAGAATTCGTGCACGTGCTCGTGTACCTTGCTGCCGCGGCCTTCGGATCACAAACCTACGACCGTGGCACACCGACGCGCATCGAGCTCCCGACGCCGTACACCTCCCCTCTGCCGAGCCTGAGCCCGACGCCTTCGTTGTCAAGCGACTCGAGCAGCGTCATCTCAGAGGAGGAAGTGAGCAATCCCGTGCTCGTCTCGCAGTTTGCGCCCCGGTGCGCAGAGACGATATGGCGGAAAGCGGCGGCCCTGACGAAGCGGGAAAAGAGGGAGCACACGAGTCTGCGGCAGCTGGCCAAGTTTGCTGCCGCGGCCAAGGCGGAGGTGCAGGACTGTATCCGGAGCGCGAGGCGGGAGGACGAGAGTAACCCCGGTCTCGGGTTAGTGGGATTCAGCATGCCGAACCGGCCGGCGCCGGTGCCCGAGTGTGTCGAGGATGGGAGCACGTCTCCGACCGCAGGCACCTTTGCTTCCTCAGGAAGCATGGACGCATGTCCCAGCTCCAGCTCCGCGTCGCGACAAGCGAAGCGGAGACGGCGCGCATCGCCCCTGCTCGGGATCCAGAACCTCGGCTCGCTGGACGCCCTCTACGCCCCCGACATTGAAGGGCTTGTCGATGGGCTCCAGGTTCGGAGAATGTCGACGGGGAAACGACGCAGCGGCGTGCTCCTGTATTACTTCGAGTTTGGGGGCAGGGTCACGCTCAGCGTGTCTGCTGATGAGGGATATGAGTTGAGGCGGTGGTGGGACGAACTTGGCGACTTGATTGATGACTTGTTCGCTCCGCCGGTGGAACCGCCGACCAAGCTCGAGTGGGGAGGCATGGTGGAACCGCCGGATGTGCTGGAGGCCGACTGGTGATGGTTCCCAGCTCAGCTGTTGACTTCTACACGCTCTGCAGGAGGCGGAACCCGGGTCGCATGCTAGCTCAGGATAACAATGCCACTCGCTGTGCCACAGGCGGTCCGAAGGCTTGCCCGAGCAATGTCACTATCACTGTCATTGTCATCCCGCGCACTGCGGATGCCACTCGCATCCCACTCCTCTACCCTTATATACACCCTCGCCTCCGATTCCAGCCGCCTGGTGCGGTATGCAACAGACGTAGACGGCAGAAGGTACGACTGTAACGACGCCACGAAGGACAGAACGGACTGTACGACCAACAACGACGACTCCAGCATTCAAACAAACAAACACACGGACCTTCACTCCAACACAACATAGCATTCATATAACGCTGCGGCGTTCGCGGCGAGAATCGAGCGCCATAGATACATATAGTTCTTTTTATGATGTACTGCTCTTCCTTCGCCCTATCTCACAACCCAGTACCTGCTCCGCAGACGAGGTCGAGTCACTATCAAGAAAGCCTAAGGACAATAGAGAACGGGAGCACGAGAACACCACGGGTCTCCGCTTACGCTGAGAGTCAGTCCGTCTGGGGCGGACTCGCCTAGTGCGCCTCCTCCGCGAGCGGCTTGGAAGGGATGGCACCTGGGCTTCCGGGCGAAGATCCGAACACCGGGCTCCTGGAACTGCCGAAGACGGGCGATCCGTAGCCTGAGTTCCGGCGCGAATGGAGCCACGCCTTGACGAAACCATTGCGGGCGGCAACACCACCATCGTCCTCGGGCGCCGGGGGAAGGTCGAGACCCTTCTCGCCCATGGCGCGCTTGCTCATGTCGCGGAAACCGTCAAAGGCGGCGCGAGCACCTCCAGACTCGAGCGACTCGCGGGCAATCGCGACACCGTCGCGCCACGTCGGCGCGCGGCCGGAGATGTGCAAAAGCGCCGCGGCGTTGATGAGGACGTAATCCCGGATTGCCTCGAGCGAGGGCGAGTTCTCGTCAGCCGGAGAGGCGAGGTGCGGCGGCGGAGCAGAGTTATCGAGGATCGAGTTGAAGGTGAGAGCGTTCTCATCGGGCGTTCCTCCCTTGACGCTGCTGAGGGGGTGGAGAGGAAGACCAAAGTCACGCTCGGGGTGGATCTCTCCCGGCGTGATCTTGCCGTTCTCGAGACGCCAGATCTGACGTCAGCTAACTCAAAACTCTGACAGCTAGGCAGAGATACAGAGATAGGGAGCAGAAATCGTGCAGCCACCTCATCGAGTCCCTATATCTGCACTCCTCACGCCAGGCAGTCCACTCACCCAAGTCGGTCCTGCGATTGAAATCTCATCGAGCCCCTCACAACCGCAAACAACGAGCGCACGGTCGACGCCGAGCAGGCGGAGAACCTCCGCAAAGGTGTCACCGAGCTCCCGCTTCGCGACACCGAGCACCATACGCTGCGGGCGCGCCGGGTTGATGAGCGGTCCGAGGACGTTGAAGATTGTTCGGAAGTTGAGCTGGCGACGGATCGGCGCAATGTGGGCGAGCGCCGGGTGGTAGTGGGGGGCGAACAGGAAGAGGAAGGGAGAAGCGGGGAGGAACTTCGGGACCTCCTCGACGGGGAAGGAGAGACGGCAGTCGAGCGAGATCAGCAGGTCGGCCGATCCGGAAGTCGAGGTAGCAGCTCGAGAGCCGTGCTGTTGTTAGCTTTGGGTCCGCAGCTTGCAGCCTAAGGATGAATAGAGGGGCCAAATGGGAGACGCTCTTCGCGCAGCGACAAGAAGCTCCGTGACAGTTCATGTCTTCCATGCGCCCACCTCGCTGAGCAAACTCACCTTCGCGACTCGCACACCAGCTCCGGCAACAACGACAGCCGCTGTCGTGGAGACGTTGTAGGTGTCCCAACCGTCACCTCCAGTACCGACAATGTCGACGATACCCTTGTATCCGTCGCCCTCGACGTCCGAGTCCTTATAGTCCCAGTTTCCGTGGGTGAGATCGGGAGCAGGAGTGTCCTTCTGAGGCATGTGATGCTCGACGGTGAGAGCGTGCTTCCTGAGAACAGCAGCACAGGCGGCAACAATCTCGGCACTGCTGTCCATACCGGACAGGGTCAGCGCGGTCAAGAAAGCACCGGCTTGGGCGGGAGCCGAGGCATTGAGGGCGAGGTGCTCGAAGGCTTCCCCGCAGTCATCAGCGGTGAAGTCTCGGGGGCTCTGGACGAGCTTCTTGAGGAGGTGCTTGAAGGTCTCGGGGGAGAGTCCGGTCGCCATCCTGGGAGGTTTGCGGAGAGGGATGGTGATCGTGGAGAGTGTGAAGACAAGGGGAGGACCTGAGAGTTGAGCTTGACGACGTGCTCGGTACGTGCCGACCAACCACCTCCCGATCTGGACGAAGATCCCCCGCGTAGGCCGGCCGTTCTCTGCGGAGCTCGTGTTGAGTCGAGATAAAGACCACGTGGAGGCGCACTTTGCTTCCGTCCGACATGGCTGGCCCAGGGCGCTGCAGACCTCCACCGGAGTCGACTAACCCGGACGCGCGAGGAAGGCACCTCAACAACATCGACCGTGCACTCGCCGTCGCCAACGCGTCCACCATGGCTCAGAAGAGGGCTTCTAGCGGGTCCCTCCCGCCCGCGAAGAAGAGTGAGCTCGCACGTCTTTGTCATCAGCTGATTCCAGTCCACTCGTTCTTCACACAGAACGGCGCCAACGGCTCGACGGACATGGCGAACGGATCATATCAGAAGGCGCCCCCCTCCCTGCTGCACTACCAGCACCTCGACCCGCTGAAGGAGGCGAAGGAGAAGAAGGAAAAGGTGTCTCTTGTTCTTTATGACCTCGACGGCACCCTGATCAAGCCGCGCAACAATGGTCGTTTCCCTAAGAACAGGGAGGACTGGACTTGGTGGCACACCTCGGTGCCCGCGCGTCTGAAGGAGGAAGCGGAGGCGGGCAAGCACATCATCATTCTGTCCAACCAGGGCGTTACCGATAAGAAGTAAGTACACGCTCAAGCTCATAAACCGACAAACAGAAGCTGACTTCAGACTTGTCGAGTGGAAGGCCAAGATTCCCCTCATCGCTGCAAGGGTAGCTATCTGATGACCGTGGCCTCGAGCTAATGGCAGCAGCTTCCCAATGTTCCTTTCCGCGTACTCGCTGCAACAAAACGGGACGTCTACCGCAAACCGCGCACCGGCATGTACGATTACGTCGTAGACCTGTACCGCGAACAGGGCATTGAAATTGGTGAGCTTAGTAGACCACGTCTGAGCTGACGGCAGATTTTGACGACTGCGTGTACGTTGGCGATGCGGCGGGGCGTGTCGACTCGCGCGGACGCAAGATTGATCACGCGAACACGGACTACACGATGGCATTGAACGCGGGGCTGAGGTTCGCAACGCCCGAGGAGCACTTCCTGGGGAACAAGGTTGCGTACCCGAACCCGCCGGTATCGTTTCTGCCCAACCTCGAGGACTGTGGGTGCTGAGTGGCTCTTTCAAGCTGACGCCAGTGCCCCTCGTGACGCCCGCAAACAAGCCGATCACGAGCGACAAGAAGGAGCTGATCGTGTTTGTCGGGCCACCGTGAGTTACTCGTACATTTCTGCGGCTCAACTGACTCGCAGGGCCTCGGGTAAGACGTCGTTCTACCGGCGGTACTTTCCCAAGTACGAGCACGTGAACCAGGACAAGCTGGGCAACCGCGACCGCTGTATGAAGGCGGCGCGCGAGGCTCTGCAGGCGGGCCGCTCCGTCGTCGTGGACAACACGAACCGCGACCGCAAGACTCGCAAGCTCTACGTCGACCTGGCCAAGGAGCAGGGCGTGCCGGCGAGGTAAGCTGCGAAGTATCTTTTCTAGCTAACCTCCAGGCTGTTCAACTTTGCAGTCAGCGCCGAGCTCGCGCACCACAACAATGCGTACCGCGCATTCTACGGGCCAGACGACGAGCCGAAGCGCGACATCCTGCCCGGACTCGCGATCAACAGCTTTGGGTCCGCGTACGAGGCGCCCGATGCGACAGAGGGCTTCAAGGAGATCCGCACAGTCAACTTTGTCTGGGAGGGGACGGAGGAGCAGAAGAAGAAGTGGATGAGGTACATGGACTGAGCGGTCCCGGGCCCAGCGCAGCGGCGAGTGTAGTCTGGTACTGGGCGGGGCGTGTGCGCGTGTGCGATAGAACCGAGCGTGGAATGAGATCCAGCTGTGAGTCTAGAACGTCTAGAGGCAAGCAGCCGCTTGCCGAACATGCCGAAGCCGTACAAGTGTAGAATAGTGTATGCACCATGTAGCATAGCGCAAGTGCAGGCGGATTCCGGATTCGATCCCCGGCTGCATTGGAGCATGGGTGAGTGCATGGGCCAGTGTTAGTGCCCATATAGCGCGTCTAGCGCGTCTTGGCGTGTCCGTGAACGTAGTGTTGCTCAGCTTAGCCCGCTAATGCTCCAGCTAAGCGAGAGCACGAGAGCACGAGAGCACGAGAGCACGAGAGCGCGAGCGTGTTCTCGGGCATGAGTGCGGACGTGAGGATGAGTGCGGATGAGTGCGTGTTCCATGTGTCCAGTCGAAGACTCGAGAGCAAGTTCTAGGTTTAGAAGCAGCGACGGGAGATCTAATGGGATCGACCGAGACGCCAGACGGCGCTAACAGCGCTAGTGCTTAGCAACACTAGTGAGACAGACGACGCCACCCGTCTTCATGGAACGAGGTCGTTAATGGTACGCAATCATGGATGAAACTGTGGCTTGCTGACTTGCCCGGTTTGCCCGGTTCTCATACTCTGGTCCGTTGCAGTGTCAGAGAGAAAGGTGAGCAAGGTAGCCTGTAGAGGCGGGACGAAGATGGGATGCAGTATGAACTCGGAGAGTTTACCGCCGGGCCGCCGAACAGGATGCAATGCCGCAGCGACTGCGCATGGAGTTCTGGCAGTACTTGTAGCGGGTTTGCATTTGCGGAGTGCACCATGCACGGAATGCAGAGGGACGAAGGAACAAGTCCGAAAGCAGAAGAGCAGTTCAAGCTGGATACCCCGCAGTCAAACCTCTACCCCAACTCGGGCGTGGTCTGGTCACATGCAAACGATGCCCCGCCGTCCCTTAACGTTCCTGCCCCCGCGCGCCGCTCTTATGGAACGAGTGGAGCTCATTAGCTTGGACTAATTGAGGAATTTCGATTAGGATTAGCTCCGGCCTGATTTTGGTGGGGAGTGGCCGATTGGGGACAGGGCATAGAAGCAGTGCGAGGGCAATCTCATGGGGAGCCAGGAGCCAGGACCCGGGTGGCGCGTCAACGAGCGTCCAACGACGGCGCACTACGCTGGGCCTGCACGGCTTGGTGGATCCATCTTGGGAGTTCTTGGGGTTGGGGCACGACCGGGCACAGGGGTTACTCCAACCACGCCAGTGCACAACAAACAAAGTCCATATGAACAACGGAGCAACAGCATGCATTGTCTCCACATTCTCCCTACACCATTGCGATAAGCGCTAGCCGTCCACATCACTCAGCATATAACGGCACAACCCGCGAGCACACCTCGCCTCTCGTCTCTCGGCCATCTCGATCCTGCACTCGCGCGACTCACTACACCCCAGCCTCGAGCCCGCCTCGAGATCCCCATCCGGCACAATATCAGCCCTCACCATCCTCCCCGCGCCCGTCGGCCCCGTAGCGCCCGTCGGCGTCGCGCAGCCCCTCCGCCCCGTCTCGCCACTCGGCAAATTGAAGCCATTCACATTTGAGCCGCTCGAGCCATTATCCTTTGAAGTAGACCTGGACTCGGACCCGACGACCTCGACGTCGACGTCGTTCGACTCGCTGTCCCTCGACCCGGCGCCGTTCCTCTCCTCCTCCCCCGGGTCTGAAGTGTCATTGAGCGGGATGAGCGGGATGGCGCTCAGCGCGCCGATCCTCGCCCTGGGCGAGATTGGAAGTCTGGGCGAGTTGGAGAGTATCTCTGTCGGCGTCGGGATACGGGGACTGCATAAGAAGCCGACGCGATTACTCGTAAGTCTGACTTCTGACGCGGTGCGCACTCCGCCTCGCGCTTAGGAGGAGTGGAGTGCTAAAGGAATGATGGAACGATGAAGGACGTAGACTGACAGCCAGTTACTCGGGAGCATCTCCGCCGCCCTTGGAACCGCATTCCTCCTCGCGCGTGTGCCGATTCAGAGCGTTGAGGAACTCTGGGCCGTGCCGTGGTAGAGTCTAGAGTGCCGGCGACGGACGATGGGATTGTCACGCGAGTGACTTGAGTGACTTGCCCAATGCTCTTTTGCCGCCGCGGACCATTCTCGGCATCCCAGGTTTCGTGACGGCACAGCCCAGACTTGCATCGAGACGATCAGAAGTTGATTGAGTGGCGAACAGTTCATCAGAAGTAGATCCAAGCAGACGGAGGCGGAGAGAGAGAGATTGATAGAGAGGGAGTAGAGAGAGAAAAGGAGAGCGCCGCGCGCTCAAGCAGACAAGCAGATCCCCAATAGCAATTGTACTTGGACCAACTGTGTGTGTCCACCCGTATTCCTAGTTTTAGTTCATGTAGCATATATTCTTCATGCGTTGTTGACACTATTGTATGCAGCTTGCACAGATCTGCACAGATGCGCTGCAACTTTGTTCCGCACACCCCACTGAGACTCGGCCACCTCGACTACAACCACAGACCTCCACAAAAATCAACCTCCACTCTCGTGTACATGTCAACAAGAAGGACCGCGATATCGGCGTAGATCATCAGCCCACCTTGAGTCTCGGCCCCGATTGAGACGAGCGCACAAGTCGCCGATGGACTGGCTGGCATGACGATGGTCGGCGGGCAGCTCTGCGCTCTGCGGGGCCACGGCGGTTATGTCCGGTGCGCTGATACCACAGTTGGGCAGACAGGGCGTGCCTAGTCCGGGCCGGAGATGCGGCTACTCTCACATGACACTGATGTTGCTCTCACCTGTCGTGTGCGCATGTACTACTTGGTGCAGGTGGGCATGACGATGTCCCGTTCCCAGCCGCTGCACCCCGCTGCAGCCGCTGCAGCCGCTGCAGCCGCACCGGGGCATGTCCGGCTCAGCACGGCTAGAGCTGGGCATACCTCATATGTAGCCGTGAAGGAGGGAGGTAGCAAGCGCCCTCCCACATCTCACATCTCGATCTCGACTCACCTAACCGTCCGTTGACAGAGCTCACATCTCCCAGCGGTTCTCAGCACGATCCCAAGCCAGCTTTCTGCCCCACTCGATCTTAGCTCTTGCTCAGCTCCAGGCTACTCTAGACCCGACGCTCACCGCCCCCCTCCCTGCTCGGTGCTAGCTACGTCCTCGCTTCGCTCGGACTCCGCAAGATGGACCGCCACTTCTTCAACGACCACACGACGCTCGTCGCCCGCTCCCTCCGCGGCCTCGTGGCCAGTAATCCGCGCTTGAACCTGATCCCGTCTCAGAAGGTGAGTAGAGAGCGGCGAGCAGCGAGCAGCGAGCGGAGCGAGCTCGCGAGTTCTCCAGGTGTCTGCTGCGCGCGACTGTTGGGAGTGTTGCTGCGCGCGACTGTTGGGAGTGTTCGTCGACCCAGCTTTGCCAGTATACAGGGAGCCGAGCGACCTGCGCGCCGTTGATTCTGGACTCGATACTCTGGGCACGTTCTTCTCATGAGAGTTGCAATGTCCCCCTATCGCCACTGCGCAGTAGAGTGGCACCCGCAGCTCCCCTCCCCCTCCCCTTCTCTCTTCACCCAGTCATAGCTGACATTTAGGTGGTCTACCGCGCAGACGCGGACCGCAGCCGCGTCTCCCTCCTCTGCGGCGGCGGCAGCGGGCACGAGCCCGGCACAGTCGGCTTCGTGGGCAGCGGGCTCCTCACGGCCAGCGTGGCAGGGGACGTCTTCGCGTCCCCGAGTGCGAAGCAGGTGCTTGCTGGCATTCGCGCCGTGCCGTCGGACAAGGGCACGATTCTGATTATCACGAACTGTAAGTTTGACGGGGGCCGAGGGCTGCAGGGGGCTGCAGGCCCGAGGCCCGGGGTGGCCCGGGGTGGCCCGGGGCGCAAGACGTATGGTAGGAGTTGCCCCTGCTCTGGTGTCTTCCTGCTGAATACTGGGCTTGGGCACAGAAGAATGGGAGCACTGGGTGGACTGGTTGGACTGGGTGGAGCAGGGGAGAGCACTCCGGCTCACCCTGCTCCCCCTTCGCCCATGCTCGCTCCGCTCGCCCCTGGTCCTCACTCACTCGCTGCGCTCGCTTCGCTCGCGCGCTCGTGCTAACCCCAGACACCGGCGACAACCTCCACTTCGGGCTTGCGCGCCTCATGGCGCAGTCACAGGGGATTCCGAACGTCGAGCTCGTCGTTGTCGGGGACGACGTGTCCGTCCCGCGCTCGCGGGGCAAGATGGTCGGCCGCCGCTGTCTCGCGGGCATCACTATGGGTACGTTGTCTCCTTGGACTTCCCTCCGGCGCTCCGGACGCTCGCTAACAACCAGTGTGCAAGATCATGGGCGCGGCCAGTGAGGAGGACGCCTCCTTCGAAGATCTGCTCAAGCTCGGCCGCTCTCTCGCCTCCAACATCGGCTCAGTGTGCACGGCGCTCGAACACTGCCACGTCCCCGGGCGCTCTGAATTCGCCTCTATCCCAGAGGGCCGGATCGAGATCGGCCTCGGCCTGCACAACGAGACGGGCGTCATGAACGTGCCCCTGCCCTCGCCCGAGTCTCTCATCGAGACCATGCTCGACCTGATTCTGAACCAGGACGACCCGGAACGTGCCTTCGTCCCCTTCGCCCCGGAGGACGTGACAGTCCTCATGGTGAATAACCAGGGCGGCCTGTCCCCCCTCGAGTTGGGAGCGGTGGTGGACGAGACGCTGAAGCAGCTCGACGAGCGGGGCATGCACCCACAGCGCGTCCTCAGCGGCGTCTTCATGGGCAGCATGAACATGCCCGGCATGAGTCTCAGTGTCATGAATGTCTCCAATGTGGCGCGCGACACGGGGCTCAGTGTCGACAAGATCATAAGCTTGCTCGACGCACCACACACCGCGCCCGCGTGGCCGGCCACGGCGGGCGTGTACCCCCTGCCCGAGAAACTGCGCAACCGCCCGCTTTCCGAGCGCCTGACGGAGATCTCGCCCGAGGAAACGAAGGAGTCTGCGCCGAAAGGTCCCGCTCTGAAGGCCGACCCGGAGCTCATACGCCAGATCCTGCGCAAGGCGGCCGAAGACGTGGTCGCGCTCGAGCCAGAGCTGACACACTGGGACACGCTGGTGGGCGACGGCGACTGCGGCGAGACGTGTGCGGCGGGCGCGCGCGGCGTGCTGTCCCACCTCGACACGCTGTGTGCGTCCGACCTCGTCAGTCTCTTCCGGGAGCTCACCGAGGTCATCGACGACGCGATGGGGGGCACGCTCGGCGCCATCTTCTCCATCTTCCTCGCTGGGCTCACGACGAGCACCATGGCCGCGGCCCGCCAGTCGCCCCAGCCCGCTGTGACGCCGCAGCTCCTCGGCCAGCTCGCCATGGGCGGGCTCGAGACGCTGCAGGCCCGCACGGCCGCAAGGGTCGGCCACCGTACCGTTATGGACAGCCTTATTCCTTTTGCTGAAACCCTCGCGAATTCCGGCGACGTCAAGGCTGCCGCTCAAGCTGCTAGGGATGGGGGAGAGGGCACCGCGCGCCTCACGGCCAAACTCGGCCGCGCGGCTTATGTCGGCGACCGCGAGGATGTCGACATGCCCCCTGACCCGGGCGCCATGGCTTTTGTCGCCGTCGCGGAGGCTATTGCGGCGTGCTCCCAGTAGATTAGTAGGAAGAAGTAATTTGATGGATACCATGTTAGTGCTGTGACCGCCACCATTTCTCCTGTCCTATCGTCCAGCACTGCCTCGGCCCCTCCGGCCGCCGCCACGCGTGATCTATGCAATTCATACTCTATGCCATGTCCTCACCTTCTGACCCCTCTGCCGCGGCCCGCGCCGCGCCCTTGGAGAGGTTCCGCATGATGAGCTCGTACGTGAGCATCGTCACTGCCGACGCCGGCACCGTTCGCACCAGGTTGATGCTGAGGCCGCGGTAGAAGCCCCTCCATCCGTCCTGGCGGTAGATCTTGATGAAGACGTCAATGATGCCGCCCTTGCGCGGCCAGGTGCGTTTCGGCGGATCAGATGTGTACGGACGCAGCGTGTTTGCGCGCGCTTCGCGGGTCGCTTCTGTCAACTCCGCCTCGGCTGCAAAGGCGGCGCCGCGCGCATCGCGGGGGACTGTCGGGGGAGAGACCCGCGTGACTCGCTCCTTGCTCGGCTCGCCCGGGGTGGTGAACGGGGGCTCGGCACGCGCGGCCGGAACGGCTTTCGCGGCAGGCATCGGCGCGTGTCCTGTTGAGGGACGCGGGGCGGCTTCTGGTCGCATCTCGTGTACCGTAGCCTCGGACAGGGATGAAGGAATCGTCGGCGGGATGATGCCTCTCCGCCCGCCCTTCTTCGGCACCTTGCCTTCCTCCAACGGCGGCTGCGATCCAGCAAGCAGCGGCGAGTACGTGTGTGGCGTCGGCTCAATGTGAGGCTGCACCGGCGGCTTGGGGAGCTGGCGCGGCTTCTTCTGCATTTGGATACGGGTGCGCAACACCTCGTGCGGGTACGTCGCGAGCGAGGCAATCATCTTGGACAGCGCGGAGCAGAGCAGGATTGCGCTCGGCGTCAATGGGTCCGGGCTACCGTGCGCCGCCCATGCCTTTGCCTTCTCATACAGCGTAAACTGGACTGCAACGTGCGAAATGCCGAACAGCGACGGAATCAGCCCCTTGTAGAACGCCGCGAGACCCTCGTTTCGGAAGATTGTCCGGAAGCCGTCAAATGTCGACCTGTACTTCGGTGCGTCGGGAGGAAGAATCGCTTGCGCCTGACGTTAGCTTGGTAAACGACACTGAAGCTACGCGCGGATATGGCATGCAAAGGCACCACGACCCCCACCACCAGAAGCAAGCGCTCGGGCTATCGGAACGCCAGACGCGCCGTGCACCGTGATAAGTCGGAGACCGGGTGACTCATCTCTGCCATAGCCGACGGCAATCGACTTACCATGAAACGTGTCTTGACGACCCACAGCGGGTTTGTCAGGATCGTGCCGCTTGCTCCAGCGAGCATCGCCGAGATGATATGCGCGAGATCGGGGTGGCCTGATGTCAGCTCGTCGTCTAGTATCACAGCAGGGGGGACTTCAGACATTCCGACCCGCACCTCGCACCAAACCCACGGGCCCAGCGCTACACAAACACAAAGACGCCGTGCCTCCCGTCCCGGAGTACTGGGCGGGGAAATGTTCGCGGTGTTCTCTGCGATGGTGGTTGAGGTGTTGGAGCGGTTGTTGCTCGCGTAATGGGTCGGAGGCTCCAAGCCAGTTCGGGGTACCGCACCCTCAGCCCGCTCCGCATGCCTTACTCACTAGCCATGGCCGCGTTGTTCTTCATTCTGTCCTTGACAAAGTCGTACACGGTAAAGTAGATGCCCCATGTCGGGAGGTATCCAGCGATTGTCGGTCCGAGGCCGCGATAGAAGCCCTTGAGGCCGTTCTGGCGGTATATCCTAAGGCAGGTCTTGGTGACGCCCTCGTAGCCGGGATCGCCGCGCGGCGCGCTCTGCGCCTGGAGCGTGGTCTTGACGACGTCGAGCGGGCAGGTCGCTATACTGCTCACGAGCCCGGCGCCCATGCCCGCAATCATGGAGTGCATGCCGTGCGGGATCAACTGGCCGAGGTTGATGTGGTGGATGTTGTGGATCCGCTCCGAGATCGAGGCGACATAGTACGCGCTCACCGGGTCAGAGAGTGTTTCGGAGGAGAGAGATGAGGAAGACGGAGAGGGGGAGGGAAGGAAAGCACCCCGCCGGCGAGAGCGCGAGCGCGAGCTGCTCGCCTCGGAACTCGCGCCGGCGGTCGCGCTGGTCGCGCCAGTCGCGGCATCGCCGAGCATGGCAGGACGGCGGTCCTGCGGCCGGGGCGGGTGCGTAAAGGGGAAGGTCGGAGGCCTGGAGCCAGCCGAGGACGTGGGGCCGATAGCGAGGCCGGGTGGTAGTGTCGAGGCGAGGGGCTGTTAATCAATTGCCGTCCGGTGTGTCCCGTTTTGGTTTCCGGTCTGTCTGGGCGTGTAGTGGGCAGGTAGGGTGGGGAAGGCGGAAATTCAGTCGTGGAGTTTTCGTCCCAGAAAGTCTTAAAAGAGTCGTCGATCAAGAAATGTGTAGGTAGTGCTTGGGCAAGAGAAGAAGGAGAGCAACACGCAGCAATGGGCGACGACGGGCTGCGTGTGCGGCGAGACTGGGGTAACAGGCGATAGCAAGTGGTGGGTGAGCGTGATCGGGTGAGTGAACGCCTGCGCTCCGTGACTGGCGGGCCCGTGCCGGAGGATTACCACCACTCGGCTCACGTGGGCCGCGGCCACCACTGTGTCCAACCGGCACGGCACAACACCGGGCAGTCACCGACCAAGATATGCCTGTTCCGATGAGTGCAAGCCTCGCCTTTGCATAACCCCGCCGCATGTCTCTGCATCGGCTTGCATCCTCTGATGCGACTGCTACTCGAATCTATTGAATGACATGCTGCTCTCGGCTCTCGTCATCGTCGGACTGCTTCCTGATCTGCTCCCTCCTCGCTTCCTTCATTGCTCTGCTCTCCGTCACGCTCCTGTCTACGAATGTCACATGTCTATAGCGCTACCGCCTACACCCGGGACAGGATGAACATCCACAGACCCTGCGCCATCGCCACAATGAACAGGAACTGCACGCGCCGCGAGCGCTGCGCGTGCGTCATTGTTCCGTGCATCTCCGTCGTCGGATCGGGAAGCAGAACGTATTTGAGCGAGCGGAGCTGGTTCGTCAGCTTAAATATGCAAGCAAAAGAACAGCTGGATCATCTACTCACAAGGAAGAATGCGTTGGCGAAGAAAGTGTAGAAGAAGGTCGTGTACGTGAGCACCGTGCCAAAGTTGAGTAAGCCCATGACGACCGTCGCAATGATGCCGATGAACTTGTATCCTCCGTAAGCCAGGAGCTCGACGCTGCTAGCGCCGCCGCCCCGCACGTCGAGGAAGTAGCATCCGAGCTTGATCGCGAGGAACTCGAGGATGACGACCGCGAGCGATTTGCTCAGCGAGTAGCCGAGTACTTCGGGGTGGAAGCGCTCCTGGATACCAGACGCGAACGCCGACAGCAGCGTGTACGTGACGAGCGCCATTGCTGAGGTCAGCTTAAGAGATTGTTTGCCAGCTAGGCGATAGCCACTCACAGGGAATGTAGAGATCGGGGGCGTTAATGTCTTCGCGGGGCGGGGCGTAGGACTCGACACCGCCGCCGTCCGCCTGCCGCACGACCTTGCGGTTCCACGGCCGGTGCCGCCAGGGGAACAGCACGAGTCGGAGTTTACGCAGCACATAGCTGTTCGTCACCGAGAAGCACGTCTTGACCATTCCGAGCGGGATGTACCGCGTAAACTGGGGTCAGCTACCGCAGCGTCGACAGGCGCCGCTCCCTCCCTCAAGACGTCGCAAACTCACGTTCTTCTCGACATAGTCCTGGCCGGCCGAGATGGCGCTCTTGCCAAACTGCATGCCCATCTGCGCCGTCGCGTCGTTCATCCCTCCCCATCCTCCAAAGCCTGCGGGCTGCGCGCCATATCCGACCGGCGCGTTGGGACCGGCAGGCGCAAACCCAGCCCGCTGGTGGGGGTGCTGACCCCCTTGCTGGGGCGTGTACGCCGACCCGCTCCCCTGCATGTTGCCCATGTTGCCCATGTTGCCCATGGCGCCTCCTGCGTCGCCGAACGACCCGCCGACAGGCGGCGAGCTGTACCGCGCATAGCCGTCCGCGTCCTGTGACAGCCTGGCCGAGTAGGGAGAGGACTGGGACGAGCGGCCGGGGGTCTGGGGCGGCTCCGGGGGCGGGTAGGCCGGATGCGTCGGCTTGGGATGCTGGAGGGGCGGGGGCGAGTGCGAGTTGGTATACGGCGGGACGGCCATGGTGTCGTTGGTGGAACAAAGCAAGCAGATGAAGAGCTGGAACGTAGATTATGACGCGTGGCCAGCGATGTTCAACCACCCTGACGAGGCGGACGACGACCTCCACCGCTTGAAGCACCAGGTGTGCGCTGGCTGGCACTTGCACTAAATGGTCTGGCCCAGCGTTGTGCAGTTGTAGGAGGCATGTCACGTGGTAATAAATCCACGCCCAATTTCTGACGCATTGATCCGAAAAAGTCGGTTTCACGAAGTCCTGCGCCCAGCCTGGGCTGCAGTCTGATGAAGTCATGCGAGCTGCCCGGTGTAAATAATGCATCAACGGATTGGGACTGTCCTTGATTGACTACATACAACCGATCGACGCCATGTCCGAGGACAAGAAGGAGAAGAAGAAGTCCGGCCGCACACCCGAGCAGCAGGCTGCCCGTGACGCGCGCAAGGCCGCCAAGAAGGCCGCTCTCGCCGCCGCCGCCGCCGAGGCGACCACCTCCACCGAGGAGGGTTCGACGACGACGCCGAAGAAGCGCCGCGCCTCGACTGACGGAACCAAGCTCGAGATCGACCTGTCTGCCTCAGCGCCGCTGTCCAAGGCCGAGGCGCGTGCGGCCCGCAAGCGCGCCAAGCGGGGCGAGGAGCCCCTGCCGCCCAAGCAGACCGAGGACGGGAGCGAGAAGCCCCTCAAGGCAGCGAGCAAGAAGAAGGAGCCCAAGCCGAAGCAGGAGAAGGGCCAGTTCAGCGTGTGGATCGGCAACCTCTCGTTCCGCACGAGCGAGCAGGCTCTGCGCGAGTTCATCGAGACGGGCATCACGGAGCTCGGCGGCGAGGCGGGATGCGTGACCCGGTTGAACCTCCCGAAGAAGGCGGGTCATGGACAGTTTGCGGAGAACAAGGGGTGAGTTTGCGCCGCCGGTATGAGCGCGAAGCACGAAGCACGAAGCACGAAGAGACTCAGCAGCTGGAATGTCTAGGACCGAGCTGACGAACAGATTCGCGTATTGCGACTTTACAAACGAGGCGATGATGCTCCTCGCGCTAGGCCTTTCGGAGCGGCCGCTCGAGGGCCGCCGCCTGCTCATCAAGCGCGGCGACGACCACCGCGCCAACCCCGACGCGAGGACGCCCAAGACTCTCCCCTCTGGACCGGGAACGGCGCCGAGCATCCTCCAGCGGCAGAAGAACCCGGAGAGCGCGACGCTCTTTGTCGGCAACCTCCCCTTCGACGTTACGGAGGAAGAGCTCCGCGATCTCGTGGAGGGTAATGCGACTGACGCCTTGTCGTTCCCGACGCTGAGGTGGGGGAGAATGGCGAGAGCGGCGAGGGCGACGAGGACGAGGAGAAGGAGCTCGAGGAGGAGAAGAACGACGATGACGTCGAGGATGAGGACAGCGAGGGCGAGGGCGAGGGCGAGGGCGAGGAAAAGTCTTCGCGTTGCGGCAAGCGTTCCGGCCTCATCAAGACGCGCGTCGCCCAGTTCGAGGATACGGGGCGCTGCAAGGGGTTCGCCTTCTGGGACTTCAAGTCGAGTGCGCACGCCAAGGCCGCGCTCATGAACAGGCGGAACCACTTCCTGCGCGGCCAGAAGCTGAATGTGCAGTTTGCGTCTGAGAGCGCCACCTCGCGCGCGGGACGGGGGAAGAAGGCCGCCGCGGGCGGAGGTGGGAAGAAGGTGCGGCCCGGGAAGCAGGAGCGCGATAGGCAGAAGGGGAGGTACTTCAACGCGGAAGGTGCTGGGGAGGCAGCTGGGGAAAGCACGGCGGAGAAGAAGGGAGACGTCCGAGGGAAGAAGTGGGAGGCATCGGGACGGCCCCGGCCTGGTGCTGCGCTCGCCATGGCGCAGCGCGAGAAGGTTGGCATTGTCGAGAGCCAGGGCAACAAGATCACCTTCGATTAGGAGGCATAGAGAGTTCCGTTTTTGCATGCATTTCTGTACCATACGTTCCTAGCTGGGCGCGCAGTCGTATCCGTCATTCATCGCTCTGATACTGACTGCACTGCTCTGTACATGAATTAGGTGCACAGCAGGGAGAGCGACACACCTCAAAGCGTTCGAGGAGCCACTTGGCCACCCGCATCTCATGCATAAGGGATGGAGGGATAGGACTCGTTGGTAGGTGATGGCTGGCCCAGGTCGTGTGCCACACGCGCTATCTCCCATCGCCCTCAATCGCATCGCACAAATTGCTCCCGTCTCACCAGTCTTCGCCCCTCCGCTCGCAGAGGATACACAAAACTTCAAATCTCACTTCGTTCTTTCCTCGCCAAGCACCAAGAACCGCTGTCGCAGCACACGAACGGGCCATCAAAGTCCCAAATTAAGCTGTGGGTAAAGTCCCCGGAGCGCCCTTCCGTCCGTGTTCACTCCGTCTTCTCCTCTACCTCAGAAGGGTTGACGGATGGAGAGCATGCGCCTCCAAGTCGGCGTACACCGTTCCCAACATGGGACGCACGGTTGTTGTCATTTTAGCCATGGGGAATCACGGCGAAGATACGAGCCGCCCCTTTGGCTACTTGGCCTCGGATCACTTGCTCATTAGAAGATAGGTATGCGGTTGCCCCTTGTTACTTTTCTCTGCTGGCTTTCGAGAGAAGCTGGCAAGAAGGGGTGAACAGGGGGTTACTCGATGGGGCTTACTCTGATGCTTGGCCACACTCCTTTCTCGTATGGCGTGCTGGTTTGTCTTTACAACGGCTCTGGTCTCCGCCTTCCCTTCGCTCTCGACATCCTTCGATGCCACGCGCTTCGCCGGCCTCGCCGGCCTTGCCGGCCTCGCCGAGGGTCCCGTTGTTCGTTGGAGGGAGAAGCGGAAGGCGAGGAGCAGGGTCAGTTGTCAAGACAGCCGCAAGTCATGCGAGAATTGTACACCGACCCAATGATGGTTTGAATTTCTTCAGCGCTAGCCCAGCACCGCCAGGCGCCGGGTGACACCGTGTGCTGCATATCGGAGCTGGGCGTGGAGCGACAGATTGACACTGAGGGTATAACTTTCATAGATATGCATGTTTTGTTTGTGGCTATCGTGTGTGAGCAAATACAGAGAGGAGAGGAGTTGATGTCGAGAGGAGGGATGCGCCAAATGTTGGATCGAGGACGCAAGGGGAGGGGCGAGAGGGGCCGATGGACGGGGAAGATGCTGTGCGGGCAGCGCGGCAGCGGACAACAAGCGTTCTGCAGCTCAAGATCGTATCGGTCTCTCGATCGTATCGCATTGGCGCTCCGCATGCCATCATCAATAGGACAAGATAGATAGGGGTGAGCTGGTCGAGCTGAGGCCGCACAATGACTAGAACGACTAGAGCGGACGTAAGGTCCGACGCCCGGATCCGAACTCGCAGCTTTGAGCAGGGGCCACCGCGTCTTTCTCGTTGTGCACTTCGCACTTGGCAGACCGCGCAGACAGCGCAGCGCGTCGCGCGTAGCATCGAGCTGCGTTTGATTGACCGTGGATCGCACTCTGTCGTCAAGCTGGCTACACATGCTGCGAGCTCTGTTCTCGAAGGGCCCATCGATGGCCGCGGTGACCCTGTTTGGTGTGTAAGCGGTGCAGCTCCGCCGCCAAACAAAGCAGCACTACGGCTGCCAGTGTTGATTGTTGGGGCTGCACTGCAGTTAGTCCTCTCCTCCGGAACTGTCAGTCCGCGGCGGTTGGCTGGTCGATACTTGTGAGTCTGCTCAGTTACTCGCCCAGTGCGGGCTCGGCCTCGCTCGGCACTCGCGCACTCGCTCGCACTGCTTGATATGTACATGCCAGCCTGCCGTGGCCTACTACTTCTACACACACCACAGATCACTTCTCTGTCGGGCTTGGCTTTTAACGGCTGCGTGTTAGCTGATGCTACGTTGGAGATAACGGTCCAGCTGGGGAGGCTGCGGAGGGTGGCAAGCCAAAGGAGCTGATGGGCGATCGATCGACGCCCCTCGCCCCCGACTGCGCTCCACAGTCGCCACGCGGACGCTGATGTGTTCGTGTCGCACGTTCACAGAGAACATTGTGGAAGCGTGCAGGAAGGAAGGAGACTGCTGATGGTCGTCCAGGACAATGATGCTCGCTACGCTCGCGTGATACTTACTCCTCGGCCCACTCGTTCTCCTTGCGGATCTGCTCCTCCTCCTCGGGAGTGAAGTCGTTGACGATGTTGAAGAGCTTGCGGATCTCCTCGGGCGTCTTGCCCTTGATCATGTTGGCGACAGTCTTGCATCCGACGTCACTGGGGGTCAGCTAAGTCCCAGTTAGAGGCAGCTAAACGCACAGGAGGGGCTTGATGTCGAGGTAGTTGGCGGCGAGGATGATCTCGAAGAGCATCTCCTGGTCGACCTGTTGTCAGAACTGCGAAAGGAAGGGGTGGAGACACTCACCTGGATGAACTTGGCGTCCCACTCGGAGATCTCGGTAGCCTTGCGGCGGGCGTCGTCGGCGTCATTCGAGTCCGAGGGCGGCAGGGGGTCGTTCTGGTGGTGGTCGCAGTACTCGAGGACCTTGACGAGGACGCTCGAGCTGACGTTGGGGAGGGGGATGGCCTCGTCCGAGGGACCGGCGAGGTCTTGTCGTCAGCTCTACCTGGCACGCAGTGAACTCACCCTCAATCATCTGCTTGATGAGGTTGGAGCGCTCGGCAACCTTCTTGTCGACGTTGAACGTCTCCTCGTCCGAGGTCACGAGGGTGATCTGGTCCTTCTTGTCAGACATTGTTGATGGTGGGTTGGGGAGTGTGGTGTTGATGAAAGTGTTGAAGGTGAGTGTCAGCGGCAATGATGAACGCGTTCGGGTGAGGTGTGCACGCCATGCCGCTGGCCGCTTGGCCAAGGCATGCCGTCAGGCATGCAGGACGCTGATGACAACAGGAAGCTGGGCGCTGAGATAGGCATGAGGAAACACGTGGCGTGGCGTATTGTCAAGATCTGACTCGGGGCTGATAGGCATGCAACAGCGGTACTGCTTTGCCACCCAACCTGTCCGAGGATTGTGCTTCCGCTTTCGTGCTGGATGCTCGTAGCTTAGGCTGAACTCTATGATGTGTGGTGAGCAGTGTACGTCGGTGTCAGATTGCAGTGTTCGGCGTGCATTATCTCTGCATAGCTCTTCCAGAGCCAGCATCGCTCTCGCTTACGAAAGGCCGTTGTTCTTCTCAAGCCCATCAACATTCAGCCTTGATGCCACTTGCTGCGTCGGGCGCCGCCGGCAGACCTGCGGCAGTTGGCACCACGAATAGTGTGTGCACCGCCGAGGTAGCAAGCTGCACACGCATGCCACGGCTGCTGTCTGCTGCGCTGCCGCTGCGTAGCGGGCAAGTACACTATTAGCATGGGAAGAAGATCAGCTGCGAGCATTCAGTCATTGAGTTAGCCTGACCTTGGCGTTGGCAGAAATTCGGCATCGGTTGACATTGAAGACCGGCGGCAGAAGTCAGACGCAGCTTTCGCAGACGTGTGCACCACTATCCATCCATGACATTGAGCAAGCAAGAGTTAAACACGCTAGACACGGTTATGGACGAGAAGCCTGTCATCCGTGTACCCCCTCGTCTCAGCTGTGTACCTGTGCCTTGTGAGGCGTGAGGGGGTGTGGACAAATTGTGCGGAGCGCGGAGCAGCGTGTCGCATCGGGTGGACCAGTGTGCCAGCAAAGGTTTTATTCAAGTCACTTCTGGCCGTGAAGGCGTGCAGGGCAGCGATTCGGGCCGAGAAGGAGGGCAAGGCACTGGCGCAGTGTCTGGCAATTGCTTCATTCTCACCCACACTTGATAGGCCACAGGTCCGAAGGAGGGGTGCAGGGGTGGGAGCGAATCATGCATGTTGGGTGCTCCCACTATGCTATTCCGGGATTCGGATCCCGGATAGCAGGCATAGCAGGGATGAGAACATTGGGAGGAAAACGCCTGAGGCGTTCAGTCCCGTGTACGCCTCAGTGGCCCAGTGGGATGGGATGGGTGGGATGGGTATGAGGCATTTCTGCACGGAGATGTCTCATGATCTGCAGGTGGCCGGATCTCGCTCCGCCCGTTGCCGTATGTGCCCAGATCCTTGTCTCGTCCAGAAAGCCAGAATGCTGAACAGAGCGCGGTGCCGAACAACGGCGCGCGTGGCCTGGCCGCGGCATGGCACCGCTCTATGCTTCTGCCGGGGGCACATGACTCATGGGCACGAGACCATCCACGGATTCCCCTGGTGAAGTTTCGGTCAGCAGGTCTTTGACTGCCATAACGCTGTGTGTTCTGCGATGATGACAGAGTGCAGAAGAGTAGTGTGTGTAGTAATGGATTCCGGCACGACGGACCGTGCAAGGTTACCTCGATCCGGGCACATTCCTCGCTACAGTCCGAGTTGACGACGCCAAAAGCCATTGCGGTAATCGCGGTACTGGCATCTTTGGATGCGGGGAGAGGAAGGCTTGGCGGCAGGGTCCGCAAGCGTGCGCTCCACGGTAGTGGGCCCTGGTGTCGATCCTTTTATGCTCACTTGTTAATCTGCGCCATGCACGGCATGTCAATACACCATTGCGATGCACCCCGATGTCCGAAACGAGATGGTCTCCGGTATGTGCGTTATGAGTGCTGCAACAGTGATGACGACGAGGGCGCGTGAGCATGAGGCATAGGCAGAGCAGACAGGCCCGCAGCGTAATCCCGATGGCCTGGACTTGCCGCATCTGCCGGACCTGCCCCGTGCCCCGTCGCCCCGTTGCCCCGCACTCCGATAAGACAGTGACGCAACGAGACCGCTTGACTGCCGACTGCCGGGCGTGCCCCGTCATCCATAGCCCAAGGAGTTCTAGAAGCTCTAGACACGCAGACGCACTCCAGATGCTCCAAGAATCAGAGTCGAAGCTGGGAGGCTGGGGCCGCCTTCACATTCGAGGCACTGGGGCAGCACGCTTCCGGCGGCATTGCGGCAGTGCGGCAGTGGCCGTTGTCGGGCCGATGGGTGCGCGTGTGCGTCAGGAGTCCTGTTCTGATGAGTCACTGCCGCAAATTGACCCGCTCCGATGAAGCGAGGGCCGGGGTCTGCATAATGACTGGGGGTATGGGGCAGCTGCGTGCTGGCAGGTTGTAATTGCATGATCGCAATGGCAAGAGTGGATGGGTAGTGTAATGGTCGCAAGGACGCCAGGGTCCGAGTCAGTGGACTAGTGCAGGTGATGAAGGGCCAAAGTGGAAAGTGGGGTTGTAGGGTGAGCAAGGGAACAGGGAGCCCTCTCAGCCCGGTGAACGGCAGCGGACCATGTGCCGCTGGCCCCGCTCATGCGCTCAGCAGACACCCAGGGAAAGGCGAATATACACAGCTGGCCGTTGCCGGTCAAAGGTCCTTGCCGTGTCTGTCTCTAGCTCGTGTCCATGGACTGCTGCATGCTGCAGTCAGACCTCTGTAGCTCCTCCTCACTCCTCACTCCTCACTCCAGCAAACGTTACACCGCGCTCGGCACTCGGCACCCCTCCTTCATCATTACTTCTTCTTTCTCTTTTTCGCTCATCCATCCGCTCTTCACCACCAGTGTGCATGTGCCCCGGCCCCGCCCCCCTCCATCTCATCTCACACCCCACGCCTGCGTCATCCTCATTTCCTGATCCGCCGCTCCGGTTCCCCGGTCCCCGGCCCCCGCATCACCACCACCAACCACCACGCCCTTGCCGCTTAGCTATTAGCTCCTCTGCCGTTACACCTCTAGCCCATCACGAGCCGGACATCAAGCGCTGTTTGTCTCTCTCTCTCCATCGCCCCCCGCCGAACTCTGCCGAACCACTCCTTCTCAGCGTTCCCCACAATTTTCCGATAACCCATTCCCGTTTCAACATCGCCGCCGGTTCGCCGCTCACCTGAATCTCGGTCACCGTCACCGAATTACCCGGCCGCAGCGCATCTTTGCATCACCACACCCCGACTCCGTCGCCTGGCATACCATCTACCCTCGAACCGCAACCCCGCATCTATTGCCTCCTTCTCCCCGCAAGCCACTTGCCCCCGTGTCCTGCACGGTAGCATCTCTGGCATCTCTGCCTCGGCATCTGGACTATTGACACGCCCTCGCGCCGTTCGCTCGTCGCCGCGGCCCATCTCTGAGTTGCCGCTCTAGTCTCTACCGAGGTCGGCATCTCTGCTTCGGCGCCCACGCCCGTTCTCTAGCGCGCGCCAGCTCTGGCAGAAGTCTGCCTGCGATCCGGGGCTTAAGCGCCAACACTAAGGGATATACACTGGGACCATCCTTGCCCCGACCAGAGTTGAGGTATTGAGCTACTGACTAGTACGCTAGAGCGCTGCAATTGCGCTAAGCTCCCATCTCACGCCGCCGTTCTCGACGGCGATCACGTTTTCTCTGTCGCTCACTGTCAAGTTGGATGTCGTAGCGGCGACAACGTTCCGTGTTCCACTGTCAACCACAGCACATCTCCGCAACGATTCCGATTCCGATCCCCGCCGACGTGTCTTCTGCTGCGACGGGGAATGCAGTGAAGAGCCTCGAACACATGACGCCCGAGTACTACAACCACTGGGCGGGCAGCGGCGTCGGACGCCCGGTAGCTCAGACGCTTCCAGGTGTCGGGACGCCGCAGGCGACCCCGCCGTCCTACCGCCCGATATACTCCCCGGCCGGTGCTCCGCCGCCAGTCGCCGAGGGCACCTCCCCGACTGGCAGCGACCCAAAGAAGAAGCGCCGACGACGAGCAGATGGCAGCCCCGGAGCCGAAGAAAAGCGCACCAAGACCGGCCGCGCCTGCGACGCCTGTGTGAGTTGATGCCTCCCCGGCCCCTGTCTGACTGCGGCGTTTTTGCTGACGAGTCCCCAGCGATCGAAGAAGATCCGCTGCGACATTCTGCCGAGCGACGGCAGCGACGCGCAGCCGATCTGCGCACACTGCAAGCAGTACAACATTGAGTGCACTTTCTTCCTGCCGATTACCGAGACTCGGTTTAAGAAGCGGCGTGCTGCGAACGACGACCAAAACAGCGCAAAGACGAATGGCCAGACGCCGCCGAGCGCAGGACCAGGCCGACCACCAGGACCGGGCTCGATCCTGTCTCTTGTGCATCCGACGGCGCCGACGCGGTCGTTTGAGGCGTACGACATCGCCAACCACCAAAATTGGGAGGTGTCCCAGGATGACGAGGGCAAGATCAAGGTGCGGGCGTTCGCGACGGGCGATGAAGAGAACAGCGAGAAGCGCAGGCGGCTCGCGAACCACGGGCTCGACGAGAACATCATGACAAACCTCATCAACAGCTACTACGAGTACGACCACCAGTTCCTCCCGATCATCCCGCGGGATGAGTTCATCGCATCCGGCAAGCCGCACCCGTTCCTGCTCTACTGCATGTGTGCGGTTGCGTCGTGCAAGAGCGACTTCCCCCGCAGCGTCTTCACGCGCATGCGCGGCATGGTGAACGGCCTCCTGCGCGCAAACGAGATCATGTCCAACCCCACGATAGAGCACATCCAGGGCCTGCTCATCATCTCGCCCGTTGGGGATCTGCACGCTCAGCCGGCCGCCGGTACGGCGACCGCCGCCGCGATGCGCCTCGGATGCGCTGTGCGCATGGCGCAGGAGCTTGGACTTCACCGCGAGACAAAGCCGCCATCAAACCCCACGGCAGCCGACATTACCCAGCTCGAGCTGAAGCGGCGCATCTGGGCGGCCTGCGTGTACATGGACAAGTGGTACGCGGCCCATCTGGGGACGATGCAGCAGGTCGACGTGCACGACTGCGACGTGCTTGTGCCGTCACCGTACAAGATTGACCCGTCTGTCGAGTCGTCCAAGTGGGAGATTGACCCGCCCCTCGCCCACATAGGGGAGAGCATGAAGCTGGCATTACTCGTCGGCCGCGTTCTCAAGCTCGTCTATGGCCCGGCGGGGATGCACCACTGTACGGACGAGCAGCTGAAGGCTCTGAACACGGATCTGCGACAGTGGGCGATCGACCTCCCGCAAGTGCTGCGGTTCAAGGGTCGGGAGAGCTCTGCGCTTGCCGGCCTGCTGCACTTCCAGTACCTCTCTGCCATGTTCCTCTTTTGGCGACCGTTCCTCCGCGTCGTGCACCCGCCACCAGCACACATCAAGACGATACTCGACCTGCGCTCGTGGCACGAGCTGGTGCGCGGGTCCAAGACGGCGCTCGAGTGGCTCGACAGCCATACGCACGCGCTCGACACGATCTACTTTTACGCGTACAGCGCGACCTCGTGCGCGCTGATCCAGTACCACCGCTGGGCGCGGAAACGCGAACAGGAGGCACTCGACACGCTCAAGCTCGTGCGCGACCTAGTGCGCAGGTGGGAGGAAGCCTTCAACCCGGACCAGATGAGCATGCGGCGCAAGTCGTGCGAGACGATGAACCTGCTGTACGAGGCGGCATTGAAGACGAACCCGGTGGAGAACGACACACGTTCCGAGGCCTCGGGCACCGGCTCCAGCGGGGCCGTGACGACGACGAGTGTCGAGCGCCCCGCCTTCGGCCACCGGCGGGGCACGTCCAACATCAACCCCAACATCGAGGACCTGGGCAATGTCGAGGGCGAAGGGCCGACGCAGGTCAGTTACCGCGCCGCGGCGGAACGGGCGTCGGTGTTTGACGACGCGGGCGACTTTGACTTTTCCTTCCTCGACGCTATCCCCGATAGCAACTTTGACTGGAGCGGGTGGGGCCAGTACTTTGACACGGTCGACAAGATGTTCCCCACGCCCCCGAGCGCGCCGAGCAACGCGGACGCCTAGCGGGCGGATGTGTGGGGCGCATGACGAGCCAGTGTCTACAATATCAAGTCTGCCAGCTCCGAGCAGCTTGCGGGATACACGGCGAGGTGTATAGGGAAGGCGCGGTGTAGTGACATATTCATTTCTTCTCTTGGGTTATGGGTTATTCATGGGATATCGTAGGAAAGTAGGGCATGTACGAGTGTGGTCTTGCTAGTAGCACGAGCAGCACGAGCGAAGCGAGTGCGTCGAGAGCCACGAAACTACGTTCGCAGCATAGGACTCGGTCAGACGTCGGATTGACACGAATCCGCGGCAACTGCGAAACACTAGCGATGCCCGTTATCGCGGCCCCGAGGTCGGCAACTCAGCCGCTGGAGCGTCCCATGCGTTCCACTCGTCCGTACACCGGAAGAGACCGCTCGGTGACCAAGAGGTCCAAGAGATCCGGGCCGGGCATCCGACAGTTAAGAGGAAGAGCAGTGGGCAAGGTCCGTGCTGGAGATATCGGTGGTGGAGGGGAAGGGGAGTGGGCACGTGCCGTTCTAAACCGGCAGATGCCGGGTGGGCAGGTACGTCACCGACATCTGACGGAGATGCCGCGCTATGTCAACCGCGGGCCTCATATGCTACTTCTCTCAACATTCTTCTCCTCTCTCCATCCTCAGAGTCGACTCACATCCACGTCTGGATCTATCTCATTACCTGCACACACTTGCTTGTGGAGGTTACGACAGTAGTTTCGACTCTCCCCCAGTCCTCCTTCCCCCACTCCATCACTCGATCCCATCCCATCCGACGTCCGAGAAGACAAGAGCAATGTCCGGCCTAACCTCCAACCGCACCCTGCAAATTCTGAAGAAGGCGCAAGAAGGCGGATACGCCGTCAACGCGCAAGTCGTGTACGACGCAGGCCAGGCAAGGGCCTACGTCGATGCGTGTGAGCGTAAGCGATCCCCTGGGATTCTGATGCTCTTCCCGATCAGCGTGCAGCAGCAGGGCGGTGCGTTCCTCCGTTATTGTCTCGACATTGCGCACAACGCCTCGGTCCCCATCTCCGTGCACCTGGACCACGCCACCTCCGCCGAGCAACTGGAACTCGTGCTCGGCCTCGCAGACAAGGGCACAAAGTTTGACAGCATCATGGTCGACGCAAGCCACGCGGACACGGACGAGGAGAACATTGCCATCGCGCGGCCGTGGATTGAGCGCTGTAACCGGCTCGGCATCGCGACCGAGGTTGAGCTGGGACGGCTCGAGGGTGGCGAAGCGGGCTTGAGGGAGATTACGGGCGCTATGCTGACTGATCCGGCAAAGGCGGAGGAGTTTGTTAAGAAGTGAGTATTTCTGATTGAGATGATGGGGGTTTGCATGGGAGCATGGGGGTTGCGCAGGGATCGCTCAAGGTTGAAGGGGCGGTCGGTTGCTCCGAGAATCATTGCTCTGAGAATTCGAGGCTCCGAGGATGCGTGGCTCCGATAATCGAGCGCCGAGGATGACAACGCCGAGAACACTGGCTCCGAGAACGCTACCTTCGAGAGCTACGGCCCCGAGATTCAGTGACTATCGGGAGGGCATCCTTGATGCACTCGTGTCCGAGGACGCCGTCAAGGGCGACGTACTTCTGAGCGACTCGGAGTACAGGTCACCAAGAACTTCTCTCTCCGATTCTCCGCTCCGAGATTGTGTCTCCGAGAGTCATGCCTCCGAGAATCATGTTTCCGAGAATCGCTACCTCCGAAACTCGTGATACGGCTGGCAGCTGGTCGTGGTCTGAACGCGATCTGTTACGAGTCATACGGACTCCAAGAATGCCTTTCCCGAGAATGCCTCTCCCGAAACTCCCATCGCCGAGAATACCAGCGCCGAGAACGGCGTACTTCTAGGTGGAACTCGGCCCTCCCTCCCTCACCGCTACCCCCGCACTCATAACATATCAGCTGACCAGCAGGACCGGCGCGGACATTCTCGCCCCCTCGATCGGCAACCTGCACGGCAGCTACAAGTTCCTGCCCGGCGGCCCGCAGTTTGACTGGTCGATCCTCGAGGACCTGCACGCGCGTTTCGGCTCCTCGCCCACCGGCCCCTACCTCTGCATGCACGGGACGGACGAGCTCAGCGACGAGTTCTTCCGCCGCATCGTCAAGTGCGGCGTGAGCAAGATCAACGTCAACTCGTGGCTGCGCGAGCCGTACGTCTCCACGCTGAGCAAGGCCCTCCAGACCAAGACTATGCCCGAGGCCATTGACGATGCGCACGAGGCCATGGTCAAGGAGGCGGAGCGCTTCTGCGACCTGCTCGGCAGCACGGGTAAGGCGTAGGTTCTGTAGTTGTATGCAATTGGGTCATCTCGGTGTCTTGGGCTTGTTAGCCTTCATTCTTGTTAGCAGTTGCAGAACCCGCGCCAGCCACCCCCACGCTCGGAAACAGACGATACATGTACAAGATACATTCACCTGAAAGACTCCTAAGCGACCTGCGGTGCATGCTCGATATGCTCAATGTGCTGCACGTCGACCTTGGTCCTCTTCCTACTGTCCTCCTCCTCCCTGTGCTCATTCTCATACTGTCCGATGACAGCGACCTTCTTCGCGCTGGCGGACCCAGAGTCAAACTCGTACCCGAGCCAATCGCGCGCGAGCTTGCGTGCGAGCTCGAGCCCAATCACGCGCGCGCCGAGACACAGCACCTGCGCGTCGTTGGAGAGGATCGCGCGCTCGACGCTGAACGGGTCGTGCGCTGTTACGGCGCGGATGCCGGGCACCTTGTTAGCCGCAATGGCGACGCCGAGGCCTGGGCGTTAGCGGGGGTTCATTCGTGTGGGAGTGTCTCTACGCCAGTCTACGCCAGTCTACGCCAGTCTACGCCGGTCTGGTGGACAGGTGACCGCCCAGCCCCCTCTTCCTTTTCATCCTTCTGAGACTTGGGGACTTGGGACCGGACGGGGCTCGTTTCACTCGCTTCACTCGCTTCACCGCCAGTCCGGCTGCTTGCGCCCGCACTCCGCGCTTCGCGCAGACTGCAGACTCACCCGTGCCACAAATAAGCAGGGCGCGGTCCGCCTCGCCCTTGGCCACCTTGCGCGCCGCATCGACCGCGACGTGTGGGTACGCGGTCTTGTCCCCGTCGTGCGGGACGCCTACGTCGATGACGCGCGCCACGCGCGGGTCCTTCTCCAGGTCGGCCTTGAGCTGGTCCTTGTACGCGACGCCTGCGTCGTCGCACCCGACCACGATCGTCCACTTGCCCTCGTTCGTCATGATGCTGGATTGGCTGGCGAGGTGCTTGTTGGGCGGCGGTTTCGGCTGGGGTGAGGAAGTCGTGTGAGGTGGGCTAGTGTAGTGGTTGCAGTGGCGATAGCCTCGCTATTCTTTACTGCTGGGTGTAGCTATTGCTGAGAAAGAACGAAAGAACTTTATAGTGGCGAGATATGTCAAGCCAAGGCGCATCACATGCTTGCCCATATGTATCTGCTGCCCACGCGCAGGTGGGAAAGAGACGCTGCCGCATACCGTGCGGAGCCCTGCTGAGCCCGACAACAACAACCCCGTCATGTGCCGCCTGCCCAGTCGTTCCAGCTTGCCCAGCTTACCGCCACTGTAAGCCCCGGACCGGAGATGCCGCACCCAGCCGGCTCTGGCCGGCTCTCCACGGTGAAGCGCATGCCACCGCGTGCCTTTGCCCGCATACAGCTTTTGCCCACCGTTATCTCCGGCCTGGAGTTGCACCTCCTGCACCATGCCTGCATGCCTGCATGCGGTACCGACAAAGCGGACGTGGACGCGTGCTCGCGTGCGCAAAGCCGGGAGCGTGCGTAGATCGACCCGGAGAGCCTGGCACGCAGCTTGGCGGGCTGGGGATGTCGCCGATCGCTGGAATCGGTTCACATGTCCACTTCTGTGGCTGGAGGGACGGAATAGAAAGAAGAGGACGGGCTATGAATACACTGTGCTAGTCTGCATATGGAGCACACCTCTATGAATGTCTAACACTTAGCGCCCGCCGCGCTCACGCTCACGATCGCGCCAATCGGCCCTGTACCTTTCTCTCTCGCGGTCGCGATCCCGCCTGTCGTCCCTGTCACGGTCGCGGCGGTCACGGTCGCTTCGGTCGCGGTCGCGGTCTCGTCGGTCATCGCGATCACGGTCCCGCCGGTCGTCGCGGCGATCCCTGTCCCGCCTGTCGTTTCGGTCTCGGTCGCGTCGGTCCCGTTCGTCGCGGCGGTCACGATCCCTCCGCTCGTCCCGCTCACGATCTCGTCTGTCGTAGTCGCGGTCCCGCTCACGCTCACGCGCTTTTCGGCGGGCTCGCTCCTCGTCCGTCTCGTACCTCCGCCCGTCCCTGTCTCTGTCGCGGCGGTCCTCGATACGTCTCGGACTCGCATCTCTCCGCCTGTCGTCGCGATCCTCAACCCTCCTCGGAGAAGCATCGCGGCTCACATCGCGGCTCACGCCACGGCTCGATGTTGGTGTCTCGCTCTCCCTCTTCACGAGGAGGTTTGCAGCATTGAAACCCCTCCCTCCCCTCGTGGCCGGATCCTGTCGCTTCTTCTTCTTGTGGCTGGCTGGCGGAAGCTCCGACGACAGCGCCTTGGCGCCGAGACCGAGGAGAGCAGGTCGGCTCTTCGGGACGTGGATCTCCGTGTCGTTCTTCGGATCGTAGCCCATGCCGCGGAGGATGGCGGCGCCGAACGCCTCGACGGGCACCGCGGCGTAGTCCTCGAGTGTCGCTTCATCAGGCAATCCGCCCAGGTCGCGCTGCAGAGCGTCCGCCTCGTTTTGCGCTTGCCACGTGTTGCTGTTCAGGCCAATGACCATGCTATCGTCGACATCAGGCTTCTCCTCGTTCTCGCCCGCGATCAGGGCCGTGAGCGCGCGCTCGTCGAGAGTCATCTCCTTCTCCTCCTTCACCGGCTGTTCGTCGCCCGCGGCAGGTGTTGAGACTGATGTTGATGCGGCGGTGTCGGCTGCCTCGAGATCCGAAGCAGACGGCTTGGTATCCGGGGGCGGGGTGAGCTTGCGCAGTCCACGGCGCTGCGGCCCATCACCCACTCGTTCGTGGGTCACGACCTCTTCCTCCCGCTTCACTTCAGGACGGTAGCTCGGCGCAGCACGAGCGGCAGCACGCCAATCCTTGTTCGGCTGTGGTGCAATGACGAGCGGCTTCTCCTTCTTCGTGCCGACTTGTCGGCCATTCGCGAAACCGTCAATCCTCTCCTCGCGGCCGCGCCGAGAGCTGGAAGAGCTAGCACGCCCAAAGTCGCCCTCGTCGTCCGAGTCGTCCTGGAACATGCGCTGAGAGGGAGCTCCGCGCCCTTTTGGGGGCCGGACAGTGAGCGACACGGGGGCCATTGTCGCTCGTTTTGGGGTGGGTGGGTGGGTGGATGAAGTGCAAGGGGAGTCCCAGGTGATCGATATTTACCCCGTGGGTGGCGATGATCTGCGGTGAAGGTTGCCGGTGGAGGCTTATTCCGCCCCCACACTTAGTCCCGTGTTACGTAGGAGCGGATGCGATGCCAGTCGTCACCAGCTGTCACCGACGCACCGACGCACCGACGCCGACCTCTTTGACGTCCCTAGCTCTCCCTCCGAGCACAACAACGTCAGCTGCAATCATGGCGGTCGCAGCGATCCCGCCCTCCTTCTACTCCCCCTATCTCGACGACCAGCTCAGCAAGCTCGCCGCCAAGCAGATCCCATGGGAGGTGAGTTGCTCTCGGAGCTGCAACCACTGACAACATAGGGGTACCAGCGTGCGAAGCTCCTGTCGCAGGAGGAGTGCACTCTGCTGCGCTCTCTTGAGAAGATCGTGAGTGCATCTAGGATTCGACCAGCTTACAGAGAGTATTGCAAGCTAACGCCAGCCTGTCCAGCAGCGCGGCTCCGTGTTCGCGAAGCAGGGTGCCGAGTACGCCAAGCTGTACATCGACTTATTGCGCAAGCTGCAGCGCGTCGACACGGTGCAGGCCGTTCTCGCGAGCATTTCCAACATGCTCGCCGACCCCGACACGCTGCACTACTTCCACGACCTCTCCAAGGACGACCCGCTCGACCCCTACCAGCCGATCGTCAAATGTCTCACTATGGACACTGAGGAGGAATTCGTCCACCTCGAGAGCCTCAGGATACTGGCCCTTCTCATTGCGTGAGCTTCCAGCACTTGCAACGTAGCTAACATCAGGACCGACAAGCGCGACTTCCCCGAGCAGCTTCTGCCGACCGTCCTCTCCACGATCTCTACGCTACTGAATGGTGGGTGTTGGAGTGCTGACAGACGCTAACTTGACTCAGGAAGCCGTAACCAGCCCCGCGACATCGCTGCTCAAGCGCTGAATGCCGTTCTTATCAAGAAGCAGTTCAGGACCGCCGTCTGGAAGGAGGGAGGATGCATCTCTGGGTGAGCTTCCCTGTGTTGTTTGTAGCTGACAACAGTCTTGTCAAGTGGCTCAAGACGAACCCCCCACCTCAGCAGCAGTACGCCGCGATCTGCTGCATTTGGCAGCTGTCGTTTGAGAAGGAGGCCGCCGAGGGCCTGGACAAGTGAGTTTCTAAGATCCTCCTCGAACTGACAGCCAGGAAGTACGACATTGTCAACCTCTTCCTCGAGCTGGCGAAGAGCGCCGTCAAGGAGAAGGTCACCCGTGTCATCGTCGCTACATGGCGCGTGAGTCGAGCTTACATAGTCTCAAGTCCGACATAGCTGACGTCAGAACCTCCTCGAGATTGCGCCCAAGGAGAACGTTCCGTCCATGTTCGTTGTGCGCCTTCTTCCCTTCATCCAGTCGCTCAGTGACCGCAAGTGGTCCGACGAGGACATTGTTGAGGACATCGGCTACCTGAAGGAGGAGCTGTCGACACGCCTTGAGGGTCTGACTACGTTTGATGAGTACGTCTCGGAGCTGGAGACGGGACATCTTGTGTGGTCACCGGCACACGAGTCGGATGACTTCTGGCGCCTGAACGCTTCGCGCATCGGTAACGAGGACGACGGCAAGCTTGTGAAGCGACTCGTCGAGCTGCTGAAGACGAGCACGGACCCGCTTGTTCTGGCTGTCGCCGCGAACGACGTCGGCAAGTTTGTCAAGCACGGCGGCGACCGCGCAAAGAACATGATCGGCGAGCTCGGCGGCAAGACGCGCGTCATGGAGCTCATGGCCAACGAGAACCCCGACGTCCGGTACTACGCGCTCATGGCCGTGCAGCAGCTCATGAGCATGCACTAAGCCTCGTTCCCAACGTATATAGTGTAAATTTTAGAGATATGTGATTCCTGAACCCGTTCTCGTCGTGTGATCTGAGAGTGTGCATGCCTATGAGAAAGTTATATTGAGTGGGATGATTAGACGGAGGGGACGTCAGCGGTCTCGGGAGTCTCCTTCGGCCAGCCGCGGAAGACGCGATCCCGTCCAACCGCCTCCTCGTCGCGGGGTAGCCTCTCCTCCTTGGTGCGGACGATGCCGACGTATTGGCGCATGCCGCGGGGCTTCTTGACATCGGCGTTTCCACGGTTACGCGCCGCGATGGCAGAGGTGATCTTGCCGCTCATGCCGGCGCCGGCGGCCGCCATCTCCCGAAGCGCCTCGTGGTACTCGGCCGCCTCGCCGCGGTGCGGGTAGTGCGTGCGCGCAGTGTAGTACTTGACGTATCCCGGCTCGAGGGCGTAGAGAGTGTGGTCTCGTCCGATACCGATGTGCTGGCCCGGGTGCACCTTGGTGCCGCGCTGACGGACAATGATCTGTCCGGGAAGAACGTACTCCTCTGCCAGTCAGCTAAAAGCAAGGCAGGGCTAGCTCAGGATGCAAGTGTACTCACGGGAGAACTTCTTCAGACCTAACCTCTTTCCGCTCGAGTCACGACCGTTTCGCGACGAACCACCACCACGCTTCGTCGAGGTACGGATCTGGGGAGCTGCCTGTTAGCTCGAACACGCGAAACTGAGCTGCGAAGAGAAGAGTCCGGCCGTCGTCCGAGATCATTCTCAAACCAACGAGAGTCAAAGAGGTCGACGTCGGAATCGGGTTGCGGTGTCGAGACGCCGAACCTCGTCTCTGTTGTCGAGCGTCTCGCTCGTCGCCGGACTTTTTCCCTGCCTCGCCGAGAGTCGACTAACCGTTGCCGTTGAAGAGCATCTGGCGGATCTCTCCACCGAGAGCCGTCTGCTGGAGAGCGCGGGATCGCGAGAGGTGCGCGCCGATGCCGATCATGGTGTGCTGGTGCTGTGCGTTCAATGTCACCGAGACCGACTTTTGCTCGTCCTCGTTCAGGCCGCTTGCAACAAAGTCGGAAACCAGGATCGGCGGGAGCAAAAAGGTCCTAAGCCTCGACGGAGAGGGGGGGATACTCCGCACCTCCACCTCTGGTGCCCCCTATGTCATCGAGGAAGGCTGAGGTGACTCTTGTCATGCATAAGCTAGTGGAACGAGCGCGAAAGCCGGCAGCAATACTTGTGAACAGGTGAGCTAGGGAATGGTTTCATGAGCTGACGAACAGAGAAGGAAAGTCGCCCGAGCCATCGCTCGATCTACAGCACCAGCCATGGACATGGAGGAAGACCCGATGCAGGAGTTGCGCTCGATCGCGTCTACGGTGGACGCACCGCGCCGACCGCTAGGGTTGGACAAGATGTTTCTTCGAGCAAAGAATTGGAAGACGTCTGGACCAAGCGCCCCAGTTCGTCCACCGACGCCGGAGATCATCCCGTTACCACCACCCATGCCGCTACCGGAAGTCGACGCCAACGGCGTGTCACCGATGTCGCAGGTGTTCGAGTACGCAGACCTCGCACCGCTTGTGCTCGAAGAGATCACGAACCCAAAGGATATGGCGCGCATGTGCCGAGTCTGCAAGGAGTGGAACCACATGCTGAGGCGGAGACTATACCGCGACGTGTGGGTGCGGCCATGTGAGTTGATAGTCGGCATGATAAACTGACGAGTCAGGGGAGGAGGCTCCGAAGCCGAAGGTGGGCTGTCGTGCGCTCGGAACCCAGCTGACAACAGCTTCTGGGGCTGTTTGAGACACTGGCGAATGACCCAGAACTGTGCAAGCAGGTGCGCTCGCTTGGTGAGCTGCCGTGATCTGGTCTTCAGCTGATCCTAGATATTCGCTTCTTCCCTCTCGACATTCAGGGCGAGCAGCGTGTCCTCCTTGAGGACAAGATTGAGAAGGCACTCGGGGACATGGAGGGTCTCGAGCGGCTAGTATGGACAGTGAGCTTCGGGAATTGGGCTTCTAGCTGATGGCAGCGCGATCGCTCTCTCACCTCAGCGCTGTTCCGAACAATCACAAACCTACCGGCACTGCGCTCCCTTGAGCTCTCTGGTCACTCGCAGATGCACTTTGACCCGAATATGATTGGCCGCATGCGTTCGCTTCGCGAACTGAGAGTCATGATGCCCGACCAGCAGTTCCGCTTGGCGCTGCTCGAGATTGCAGCGGCGCTGGACCAACGTCCGATCGGCGGCCTCGGTGGGCTGGGCATCATTTGCAAGGTAGCTTTGAGTCAGGAGCTCGTATAGCTGACCGCAGAGCGTGCCCTTCTTAAACGACGAGTGGATGGCTCGGATAGCGCCGTATATGCGATTGCTGAAGAAGTTCACCCTCATCGGCCGCACACGGATAACGAGAACGGGCGTGTTTCACCTTCTCGACGCTGCACCGGGTCTGGAGGAGCTCGTTCTAGATGCGCCTCCACATTCTGTGAGCTCACAGAGTGTGGTTTCCGTAGCTGACGCACAGGGTCTCACCGACCTGTCTGCAGCGCCGGATCTCGAGCACCTGCACACGTTCTCACTGTCGTTTGAAGGAAAGCATGACCCCCGGCATCCAACACGACGCATCGTAATCGAGCCGGCTGACCTGCCAGTGCTCCGACACACGGAGTCGCTGCGGGCGCTTGAGCTCACGATATCGGCGTCGCGAGACGCCATTCAACGCCAGCACCTTCTTCCGCCTCACTCACTTGACTCGCTCATGGCGCAGGTCAACTTTGGAGCACTGACGAGACTCGCCCTCTTGAATATCGTGGTGTCGACTGAGGTTTTGACCGCCATCCTCGAAAACACAACACTGAACGAGCTGTACATCAGTGTAGCGCGGCATGAGACACTGACGGAGTGCGATGCTCTTCTGAGGGCCCCTTTGCATGTGCTTCATGCAAACGCACCGGCTCAGTTCGGCCCTGATCGGACGCACCTGGGCCTCCTTGCCGCCTCGATGCCGCTGGTCGAGGAGATCGGGTCGCTCAATCGTGTGTACGAGGTGCACCGCCGCTGGCTGGGCGAGGAGCGTGTTGTCGAACTCGTGCGCTGGAGTCAAGTGTATACGCCGCGTTACTTCCAGGTCTGGCGGCCGTGATTGTATCTTCATCTGTTGTCCCAATGCATCATCATTGTCTTGTATCGCCTCCTCTCTGCCTCATTGCATTGTGCTGGGTGAAGAGGCTGTTTACGTAAAGATCGCCACCAAGGGACGCTTAGCTGGGACGCGAAGGCACGCCAGTAGAAGCACGAGGCATTGGAAAATAGGCCCGCCCGCACATCGTCAATAGCGCCCTTGGTGCAGGCAGGTGCTGGTGCAGTCATCTTCGCCGCAATCCATCCATCGTCCTTTGTCCACATCGCCCACCATGTCTGACGACGAGCGCTCAGACGTCTCCGTCAAGTCCGAGGACGAGGTTCGCATCAGGAAAAGGGTGAGTTTCTGACATTCGCAAGCAGCGAGCTGTTCAACCCCTTGCCGATCGAGGATGAGATCACCGTTCCGCTGCAACAACAACTTCGAGAGGAGCAGAGCTGACAAGTAGCCAAGGGTTGTCGACCCTGACGGTAAGAATTGAGAAAGGAGTTTCACTGACGGCTTCAGAGGAGGACGAGGAGGAGGAGCAGCAGGAGACGCACCACCGACGCCATCGTCCGGACCCGGATGAGGAAGATGAGGACGAGGAAGATGAGGATGGAGAGGGCGGTGGCCACGACGACGATGATGACGAGGAGGATGAGGAAGACGAAGACGACGATGAAGGAGGTAAGCTTTCCTAGGCGTCGACCGTAGCTGACCACGCAGACCGGAGACCGAAGAAGCGCTCCAAGCAGCGACGAGGCAACCGCTTCCTCGATGTCGAAGCCGTGGTCGACGATGACGACGAGGAAGAGGATGACGAGGACAACTATGCTGATGGTGAGTTTTACGTTCGGGGACCACAACTGACAGGCAGTCGCCGAGTTCATCGAGGAGGGTGCCGGCGACGACTCGACGCCCGCCGACCGCATGCGCCATCGTAACCTCGAGCGCGAGATGCGTCGCGACGAGGAGGAGAACATCGATGAGATTCTCCAGGGCATCAAGGAGCGACACAGGCGCCAGGTCAGGTACAACACCGAGGGTGACCAGGTTCCCCAGCGTCTTCTCATGCCCGGTGTCGAGGACCCGAGCCTGTGGCAGGTGCGCGTGAAGCTCGGCCGTGAGCGTGCGATCACTGCGTCCATCTTCCGCAAGGTGTTCAAGTCTGGCATCCCCGTCATCTCCGTCTTCTACCGCGACTCGCTCCCGGGTCTGATCTACCTCGAAGCCCGGCAGTCTGCCGATGTCAACTCGGCGTTGCAGGGCATTGTCGGTGTGTACCTCTCCCGAGGCATCCAGCTCGTGCCGATCGAGGAGATGGCCCCTCTTCTTCGCATCAAGAAGAAGGAGATCGACCTTGTTCCCGGCATGTGGGTCCGTCTCAAGCGCGGAAAGCACACTGGCGACTTGGCACAGGTCATCGACATCGACCAGCTCACCTCTGGTGTTGTTGGTGTCAAGTTTGTGCCCCGTATCGACATGACGCCGAGAGAGAAGAAGACGGAGCGTCTCGGCAACGGCAAGGGCGGTCTTGGTGGCAACTTCCGGCCACCGCAAAAGCTGTTCAACTACGAGGAGGTCCGCCGCGTGTATGGCAAGCAGAATGTGCGACACGGGCAGGGCAATAGCCACATTTTCGACGGCGACGAGTACATTGATGGCTTCTGTTACAAGGACATGAAGATTGCTCTCCTCACGACCGAGGACGTTCAGCCCACGCTCGAGGAGGTCTCGACCTTTAGCGGCGAGGATGCGACGGGCCGCATTGACCTGTCGACCATTGCTGATGCGAACCGCAGCATCAGCGCCTCGTTCCTCACCCCGGGTGACCAGGTTGAGGTGTTTGAGGGAGAGCTCACGGGCATCCTCGGCAAGGTCGAGACGATTGAGGGCGATACGATCTCGATCAAGGCTATCGGCGGCGAGATCCACGGACAGACTGTTGAAGTCCCGGCCCGCTCGGTGCGCAAGAAGTTCGACGTTGGTGAGCACGTCAAGATCACGAACGGCAAGAACGCGAACGTGTCGGGTATGATCGTCGATGTCAATGGCGAGGTCGTGACCCTCATGTCGGACCAGGGCCAGCAGGAGATCAAGGTGTTCTCGAAGGATGTGCGCAAGGCGGCGGACGTCGCTAGCGGCGACTCCGCCACTGTCACCCAGCAGCAGGGTCTGTACGAGCCCCATGAGCTGGTCATGCTCGACTCGACCACGGCTGGTGTCATTACCAAGGTTGAGGGCAGTATGCTACGCGTCCTGGACCAGAACGGTATGCACCGTACGGTCAGCACGAACGAGGTCACGCTGCGACGAGACAATGCCCGCTACGCCGTTGCGACGGACTCGACCGGCGCCGAACTCCGCTGCGGAGACAAGATGAAGGAGACCGATGGCGAGAACCGCCGCGGAGAGGTCATCAACATCTCGCGCTCCATTTTCGTCTTCCTGCACAACCGCGAGTACTCCGAGAACAATGGTGTTTTCGTTGCGCGTGCGACGTCGCTCGTCTCGCTCACGCCCAAGGCGAGCACCGACCTCACGAAGCAGAACCCGGCTTTGAATGCTCAGCTCCACCAGATGAACCTGATGCCCCCGCCTCAGTCGGTAGGTAACCGTAGGATTATCAACACTCCGGTTGTCGTTACCCGTGGAACGTACAAGGGTCTCCTTGGTACAATCAAGGACGTTGTCGGAGCTGCGGAGGCACGTGTCGAACTGGCCACGAACAACAAGACGATCACGATCCAGACTGCCTTCCTGAAGCGCAAGGACCCCAAGACGGGTGCTACATACCCGCTCGACACCGGTAACTTCGGTGCTGGTGGTGGTGGTGGCGGCCGCGGCGGCTACGGAGGCGGCGGTGGTGGCTACGACACGTACAATGGTGGCGGCCGCACTGTCAACCCGTACGGGGGCGCCACTCCGGGTGGTCAGTTTGGCCGGACGCCGAACCCATACTCGTCCGGTTACGGCAAGACCCCCAACCCGTACGCCTCCAGCGGAGGCAAGACTCCGGGATGGGGAGCGGGCGGTGGCAAGACTCCCGCACCCGGATGGAGTGGCGGTGGTGGCAAGACGCCTGGATGGGCCGGAGGTGGTGGCAAGACGCCTGCCTGGGGAGGAGCCGGTGGCAGGACGCCTGCCCCGCAGTATGGCGGAGACGGTGGTCGCACCCCTGCGCCGTCGTGGTCTGGAGGCGGTGGCGGCAAGACGCCCAACCCGTACGCTTCGGCTCCCACGCCGGCTGCCTACAACGACCCGGGAACATCACGACCCATCTCTGCTCCTACGCCAGGCGCTTACGGCGGAGCTGCGTTCAGCGCCCCCACACCTGGCGCCGCTCTCAGCGCCCCGACCCCAGCTCCTGCTGGCGGCTTCAGCGCTCCCACGCCCTACTCTGCGCCGACACCTGGTGCTGGTCTTAGCGCGCCCACCCCGGGTGTTTTCGCTGCTCCGACGCCGGGCGCCGGCCTGTCGGCCCCTACGCCCGCTGTCTTTGGTGCGCCGACGCCGTTCGCCCCCGCACCCGCTGGTGTGCCGAACGCTTCGGGCATCCCGTGGGATTGGGCGCTCGATTTCCGCAACGTGCTCGTCACGGTCGGACCTTCGCAGCGTCCCGGCTCGCGCAACCCGCGACACTTCCAGCGTGGCTTCTACGACGGACAGCAGATGGGTATCGAGAGCACGGTCAACGAGAGCGTCGTGTGCCGCGTGCTCGACGGCGGCAGCAGCGAGACGCTCGAGATCCCCGCCGAGTATCTGCAGCCTGTCCGGCCCGACGGCGAGGGCCAGGAGGTCATCGTTATCAGCGGCGACCCCGCGATGAAGGGCCAGCAGCGCCGCACGGCGTACCGCAACGACCAGCAGTGGATGATGGAGCAGGCGCCGTCGGACATGATGGCGCTGGTCATGGACGAGAACGACCTGGCGCGTATCTGGCACACGGAGTAGACGTCAAAACAACAACGTGCGAAGCAGCGCGTGTATTCAGTAGTAGTAGTTGCAGATAGGACAGGACAGGCATGGCGAGCATGTTTTTCGAGATTCCGATGCATTCATTAGATCCGCATGTGCAAGTGGTCAAATGTTCGAACTGATGCATATATCTAAGAGGGAGAGAAAGTTGGTGTATATAACGTGTAACGTGTGACGTTGGTGCTAAAGTCTAGATGGGGTTGACGAAGGGGAGGTCGCGGTGGTGCTTGATCTCAACAGCCTCGGGCGTGGTCGAGATGGGGCTCTGCGGCTCCCAGATGGGGTCCACGTCCGGCCCGTCAAGGTCACCAGCCCCATCCCATCCCCAACACCAGACATACTCGGGCCCAGGCTGGAAGGCGAGCTCCTCGGCCTCCTCGGGGGCGAAGAGCCGGTCATGAGGCCCGTACCAGGTGCGGTCCTGGGGGTCGTTCTTGGGATCGTCGGGGCGTCCGCCGAGCCGCTTGTATCCGCGAATGTTGGTGAGATTCTTGCGCGGGGGGTGGATAATGTCGTACACCTTCTGGTCGTACGCGAGCTTGACACGCGGCACCATGATGATGCGCCCGTACCCCTTGGCCCAGTAGTCGTTGCAGATGAGCGAGCATTCCGACGCGGAGCACTCTTTCTTCAGTAAGTCTGCCATGCGGAAACGCGTATGAGGTTGCTCGTAGAAGGGCGCCGGGTCCAGGATCGCGACGCCGTTCCAGCAGCTCTGCACCTGGATGGGCAGGTGCCGCTGGAACCGGCTGTTGGACTCGGGGTGGTGGAAGACCTGCTCGAAGGGCGCGTTCTCGAGCGCCGTGCCGTTCAGGTCGCGCGCGACCCAGTTGTCGTAGAAGACCGGCGCGCCGATCTCGTCGTGGTACATGTAGTCTGCGGCGCAGGTGATGCCTGCGTTCTGCCGCCGCGACTGCCAGATGAGCTCGAGCAGGTCGTCGACGCAGGGCAGAATGTCGTTCATGAACACGATCGTGTCAAACACTTCGCCCTCGTTCTCGCGCAGCTCGTGCAAGGGCGTCATCGCCGCGTTACGCACCTCGGCCAGGTACTCGATACGGTGGTTGAAGGCGCCGCGCGTACGCATCGACTGGCGGATCGTGACGCGGAGCCCGACGGTGCGCGCGAGCGCGTCAAACAGGCGCAGCAGAGCCTTGGTCTGGTCTTTGGAACCGTTCTCGTAGATCGAAACAAACACGTTGTGGTAGCCCAATACGGCGGCCGTCTTGAACAGCGTCGAGAACAGGTCGGGAATAACGTCAAACGAGTTGTACAGGTTGATCGCAATGAAGTATTTGTGCTGGTCGCGCGGGCCTGGCATCAGGTCGCGCCGGATCATCTCGCGCTTCGAGTCGCCAGTGCCGATGCTGAGGTCATCCTTTGCGCCGCCGCCCAGCATGCGGCTCATCCATCCCGATCCGCTCCAGCCGCTTCGGTGCCCCCGGAGCGGGAGGTAGCGCCGCTTCGCCTGGTCGACGTACATCGGCTGCGCATCTCGCGTGCACTCCGTCGTGTAGTGTCCGTTCAGCGTACCGAGGAGCTCAAGAATGCGCAACCGCTTGTTCGCGCTCGGGAGCTGGATACTCGCCCGCGACAGGCGGTTGCCCGTGACGTGGTTCGGTCGCAGTTTCGTCCCGCTCGGCCCGCGCCATTCTGTCTGCGTGTCGTTACTCCGAAGGAACTGGGGTTAGCTACATCCTACAGCACTGTTTCAGCAATGGGAGCCCGCATTCCGCATAGCGCTGAGCGCCTGGAAAGTTTGGAGACGAGCGATGACCGTCGGGTGACGCGCGTGGCGTAACATGAGGTGCACGAGCACGCGCGCCACTCCTTAAACACTCACCGATGCGACGAGGAGGCCGACGAGAATGCCGAGCAGCAGGGAGCCGGCACTGGGCATGCGCCGGAGGATGCCCGAGGAAGACAGCGGCTTCATGATGGGCGAGTGTGAGGAAGGAGAAGGGGGAAACGAGTGTGGTAAAAGTCGGAGGGGGGAGAATGTGCTGAATTACAGTTCGGGGGTGGCTTCCTGGCCAGCCAGGCTGGGCTGGGATGGAGGGATGGCCGAGATGAGGTGAGAAGAGGAGGAAGGCGTGCGAGCGGGGAAGGCCACAACGGGAGGCCCAGGTGTGAGGAGGGGCTGGTGCTGGCGTGTGTGTGCTAGCCTGTGTCGTGGGTGGAAAGAGATGGGGGATGTCAAAATGTTGGAGGGAGATGGATGATTTTGGGCACGCTGCAGCCAGCACATCAGCAATCGATCTCCAGTCCCTCCTTTCCCTCGATCCCGCACACCGCGGGAACCCTGAATGCATGCTCCTGGTCTACACGGTCTGCGGCACGGGGTGGAGGCGGAAGTAAATCCCCCTCACCCAGGCAGGCAGGCAGGCAGGCAGGGCGCGATCCTAAACCTTGTCCGGCACGCTTTCGCTGGTATACAGGCACGCGTACTACACTGGACTTGGCTGGAGCAGGTGGAGGCCATCATCACTAAGGCGCAATCTCCGTCATGGTCTCTGTCAACCACACACCGTCACTTGTCACTCCTACTCACCCCTCTCCACTACAGCATCCACCGGCTCGCATCCCCCTCGAATCAGCGACTCGCTTGCTTCGCTGATCACCCTCATCGCGCAGCTCGTATCACTGGATGCTACCTTCCTCCTCTCTCGACCATTGTTGTTTGCATCATCGAGACTTAGCCCTGTAATCCGAAATGACCACACAGGTATGTCATGCCTACCTCGTCCGACTTCTAGCCGATAGCCATCTCTTAGCTCTTCCACTGACGCAACTAAGCAGTATGTCAACGGCCTGATTCCGCGCATCCGGAGAATTCTGGAGCAGTCTGACTTATCCACCGTGTAAGCTGCTTTTGTGACAGCTGAGCTGACATGACAGCTCGGCCAAGGCCGTTCGCAAGCAGCTGATAGCTGGCGGAGAGGATGCGGATACGATCAAGGAGCACAGAGGGCTGATTGACGAGCGGGTACGTGGCTTTTGGATTCATAAACTCCGACTGTCTCCTCGCCCACCGCCGATCGAACTGACGACAGATCGGCGAAATCTACGAGGAGTTAACAGCGGACAATGAAGAGGAAGACGAGTCCGAGGATGATCGGAAACCGACGGCCAAGTCCGAGTCGGCCGAGCCCGCGAGCAGTCAACCAGAGCCGCTGTCGGCCAAGCATGAGCAGACGGATGCGGCGATGGCCGCGCAGCTGCAGGCCGAGTACGACGCTGCCATGCGCGGGTCACGGGGACGGAGAGCGGCTGCGCCCCCGAAGAAGACACCTAAGAAGAAGGTGTCGAAGAAGCGGGTCGCGTCAGACTCGGATGAGGAGCAGCCGAAGAAGAAGCGCGGCGGCGGTGGAGGCGCGTTCAACAAGGAGCTGCTGCTGAGGTGCGTCACCATGTTGGTGGAATGACGAAGGCTAACATATCTCAGTGACACGCTCTCCGCGTTTGTGAACGAGACAAAGCTCTCGCGGCCGCAGACGGTGAAGCGGATCTGGGATTACATCAAGGCGAACGATCTGCAGGACCCGAACGACAAGCGGTACATTCTGTGCGACGACAAGATGAAGACTGTGTTTCACACGGACAAGCTGCACATGTTCACGTGAGTGCTGGGAATAGTTCAGCTTGGAGCACAAGTGCTAACCGCGCGCAGGATGAACAAGCTTCTGGCGGAGCACTTCCGCGACCCGGACCACGTCCTTCCGCCGAAGAAGGAGGAGCATTAATAATGCTCTCATCATCTCCAGTCTTTACCGCGCCCCTTCCTGTGACCATACCTCGTAACACTGTTGATTTCCTGTCCACCTCCACCGCCCCTTGGCGATTTTGGTCCCTCATCTCCCGATCCTAATTAGTCTTGTCATGTATCAGCAATGCTTCACCAGCGAATCTAAGAACGGTGCATATGCGAATGATGCTGTGAACTGTGGGGCTCCTACGCCTACTTCTTGCTCCTCTTCTGCTTCATCGAGAGCCTCTGCTTCATCTTGGTCGAGATCTTCTCCGCCTTGGCGCCCTCGGACATCCACGCAAGGTCCGAGTCCTGGAAGCTCTGCTTCTCCTTCGCCCGTCCCTCTGCGGGGCTGTCTCCGTCCTCGACCTTGGAGTCCTTCTCAGGATCGGCATTGTTGGCAGCAAAGCGGCGGTGGAACTTGCCAATACGCCCCTCCATGATACCGTCGCGCGACGTCGCCTCCATGCCCGGGAACCAGAGGGGGTTGTTGGTAATGTCGCGCGTGAGGCGGTTGATCTGCGGCGTCGGCGCCGTCGTCCACTGCATGAACGTCGAGCCGTCGGAGAGCACGACCTTCTGAGGGAAGATGGCGGGGAGAGGGTTCGGGATCTTGGGCGCCTTCTTCGTGTGCGTCTTGCTCGCCCACGGGACGGGCGGGACGGGGTGCGCCGACGAGGCAGCGCGCGTCTGCGCGACAGTGGCCGTTCGTCGCACAGCGGGGCGGGCAGAGTGGAAGGCCGACATGCTGGGTATCGGGGTGTTGGTCTGTTGAGAGAGGAGAGGAGGGAGGGCGGAGGTTCGAAACGATCGGGCGATCAGATGCTCGAGATGTGGTCAAGGATGCAAGGGTGGTATTATGTGCAAGTCAAGATGGAGAGAGCAATTCCAGTGTCCTGCGCTGCGATGCTTGGTGTCGTAGTCGTCGTCGCCGTCGAGCTGGGTCGTGGTCCGAGATGTGGTCGCAAGCAAGGCCAAATAATCGAAATAATCAGTCCCAGTTTTCCGCGCACCCCCTGGCTGCCAGCCGACTTTTACCTCGACCGTCCTCCGAAGTGGCCACCGTGGGAGAAAACTCCACGTGGGTGATATCATGACTGTCTGGTCGCTGTCCAAATATTTGGATCCCGATCGACTCCGGCCAATCTACACCTGCTATCGACCTTCCTTACGCTGGATATACGCTCCGCACATCGCCCGGCAAGCTTGCGACGTCGAAGAGGAACTTGGGAAGAGACCGACAGAGGGACATCGACAACCATGGCCAAGTCTCGCTTCGAATACGTCAAGAGCTACGAGCTCCCGGACCCGCTCATGCCGAACGCATACATTATCGTACGCGTCGATGGGCGCGGGTTCCACAAGTGAGTCGTCGTGTCTTCCTTGCCTTCCCCGTAGCCTGCCTTTCGCCGTCGTCACCAATTCTCCTCCTGACATCCCCTCTCTTTCTCCCAAGTCGCTTCAAACCCCTTCACCTCGGCTCCTTCTGGAGTCGCCCTGGAGGTTGACGATCAACCCCCTCGATTGTACGAGCACTTCCACTTCGAGCTGTCCGTCCGTCTCATCGGAAGCTGACGACAGATTCTCCGATGTGCAGGAGTTCGAGAAGCCGAACGACCGTCGCGCGCTCGACCTCATGAACCGCGCCGCCAAGGCCGTCATGGACGAGTTTGAGGAGGTCGTGCTTGGTTTCGGCGAGAGTGATGAGTTCTCGTGAGTACACTGAGTTCAGGTGTCTTCCCTCTGGACACGAGGAAAGTTTCAGATCTCTCCTACCACGATATGATCGGCAGGCACACACCCACCACATTCTGCCCGTCGCAATGAGGAGAGGTACCTGCCAGCTTCTGAGACTGCGAGCAGAAGCTGACCCCAGATTCCTCATGCGGAGACAAGCAGGCGTCTACGGTCGGAGAAGAAGGTGAGCTGGCGAGCTCCCGAAGTAGCTGACATCCAGCAAGATCAACTCGGCCATCTGCTCCGTGTTCACGTCCGCGTACGTGTTCTACTGGCCCGAGTACTTCCCGAACGACCGGCTGCGATACCCCCCGACATTCGACAGCCGCGTCGTGCTGTACCCTGGCGAGAAGGAGATTCGGGACTACTTTGCCTGGCGACAGGCTGACAGTGAGTGTGCCCTGGTGTGCCGCTGCTCCCTGCATGTTGTAGGGGGGCATGGCGCAGCAGCTACAAGTTGGGCCCCGTAGCTAACGTCCAGCGCACATCAACAACCTGTACAACACGTGCTTCTGGGCGCTCGTCAAGGCTGGTCGGACACCTAGGGAGGCGAACAAAGAGCTGCAGGTGGGTCGATATGAGCTGTTATATTCGCACAGAACAGCTAACCCCAGGGAACGAACTCGAAGGATAAGAACGAGATGCTCTTCTCCGAGTTTGGGATCAACTACAACGACATCGACCCGTTCTACCGCAAGGGCAGCGTGCTCGTGCGCATTGACCCGAGTTCGCTGCCGAAGGCGAAGTGCGGTGTCGCCACGGCGACGGCTGACGCTGACTCTGATGCCCCGAGTACGCCAGCAGACACAGAAGGTGGCGAAGGAGAAGCCGAACTCAGTGTCGAGGAAGCCCGGCGGCAACGCAAGCTTGAGAAGAAGGCCAAGAAGGCAGAGAAGTACGAGGGCATGACTGGTCCAGTCGTGTACCTGAACGACGACATCATCAAGGACGCCTTCTGGAACGAGCGCCCGTGGCTTCTTGAGTAAGCAGCGGCGCCGCATGCTGTGTCGTGTGGCCCATTCCATCCGCAATGACGGCGACGCACATCGAGCTCGCGCCGACGCGAAAGACGCACGCGACGACACACATTACGCGATCATCGCTCATGTCCGACGATGAGCGCCTCCGCGCTCGGTGACCCCGGCCGGACCATCTTAGCATAAGCATATGCATGGGCTCTGCCTACCTTATCAGCAGCCCACCATGCGTCGGTGATGCTCTGTGCGGCGCATTGCCTCGGCGCACGCGAAGATCTGCGTCTGCGTCTGCGCAGGTGCAGACCTTGGGCAGACACTCCGACTCGCAGAGGCGCAGACGCGCAGCGCAGTGTCGCCCCGATGTCCGTCCTCCAGCCGCGGATTGTGACTGACCGGGTCTCTATAAACTGGGGCTTGATAGGCCCAGCGCTACTCTGGACAGGGACCGATATCTATTTACGCGAGTCGAACTTTGGTCCCGCCCCTGAAACTGACGCCCAGCGCTCAGCCGATCCTCACCCCCGCATGCCCGCACCCCCGGCCCGGTACGTCTAGGTCCGGCCAAAAGTAGTGGTCGTGCCTGCTCCTCCACCACCTTTGGGCTGACTTTGCGCAACACTGGTGACTTCTCCGTTCCACCTTCTTCCTCTCTCTCACCTCTCTCCCTGTACCTATATCCCAAAAAAGGCGCGCCACCTGCGACCCCCCCGACCGACAGACACGGCGGCGACACGATCACACCAGATTCAATATCCTCCATTTAGAATACTAGACCACCCACGGACGACGACCGACACGATGAGCGGAACCCCACCAGCTGCCAAGGCTGAGCAGATGGCCGCGGGCCAGCCTCGTATCCCACTCACACTCCCCGAGAGCTTCATGATTGGTGGTCTCGCGGGATGTGCGGCCGTCACTGTCAGTGAGTACGAGGAGCGCTGACGTGCTCCGCCCACCGCTTGTGTATGGGGAGAGGTTCGCGTGACTGAGGCTTGCCGTCCACCTCTCCTTTCCACTCCCGGACTCGGCGGACTGAGCTCTGGAAAGCTCTGCGGGAGACAGGCAGTATCAGCTTCAACGAGCACACTGCTGTGATCGGGCTCGGAGCCCGTCGCCGGTCCCCAACAACTCAAGCTGCTCAGATAGTGGCAGAGCTAACATCCCAGCCAACGTCGCCGAGACGATGAAGACGAGACTGCAGCTGCAGGGCGAGCTGGTCAAGGCGGACGCGAATGTGGAGAAGGTGTACAAGAACGTCTTTGACGTGTTCAAGAAGACGTGGAAGAACGAGGGTATCCGCGGCCTGCAGCGTGGCCTGTTCCCGGCTTATGGATACCAGATCCTGCTGAATGGATCGCGTCTTGGTGAGTCTCGTTGAACGACCGAGCGAGCGGGCGAAGCGGTTGAGAAGGGTTGGGTGGGTATGGCGGACGCGATACTGCTCGCAATGGGCGACGGGAAGCGCTAGACGAGGAAGACGACCCGGCGAGCTTCCAAGACCAGCAGCAACAAGTCCTAGTGACTCTGGGTTCTCCGAAGCTTCGTCGAGTCGTTAAGTCCTTGCTTATCCGCTCCCTGTGCGCTCTCTGAACCGGTCGCCACTGTCTGCTTTGTCCAGCCTCCGCCTCACTTCCCGAGCTTCGCTCGCTCGCGTGCAGCTGATTTTTGCCGCGTTCGTCCAGCTAACACCCAGGCTTCTACGAGCCGGTGCGTCACGTCTTGAACCGAGCGATCGGCCGCAACCCCGACGACGTCATTTTCGGCACTGCCATCACGGCCGGCGCCATCACGGGCTGTATCGGGGCGTGTCTCGGCAGCCCGCTGTTCCTGATCAAGGCGCGGATGCAGGCCTACTCGCCCGCGCTGCCGGTGGGCACGCAGCACTACTACCGCAACAGCTACGACGCGATGCAGAAGATTGTGGCGACGGACGGCGTGCGCGGGCTCTGGCGCGGCGTATCCGCCGCCATCCTGCGCACGTGCTGTGGATCCGCCGTCCAGCTCCCTTCCTACAACTACACCAAGACGGTGCTCTCCAACTATGGCATCATCGATCCGAACAGCTTTTGGATGTACATGGCCGCGTCGTCTGTCAGTGGCGTCGTCGTGTGCGCCGCCATGCAGCCTGCCGACACGGTGCTCACGCGCATGTACAACCAGCCCATCATCGTCGACCCCGTCACGGGCAAGAGGAGGGGGGCGCTGTACACCAACCCCTTCGACTGTCTCTGGAAGACGGCAAAGACAGAGGGCGTCCTCGGATGGTACAAGGGCACGACGGCGCACTTCCTCCGCATCGCGCCGCATACCATCATCACCCTCGTCGCCAACGAGCTCATTGGAAAGGAGTACAAGAAGTGGACTGGAAGGGGATAAGACTAGACTGGCGCATGGGCTCCATGGGCTTCAGCTTTAGAATATAGTTAGCAGTTGACTGTAAGATTGCCTCCTTTCATCTCCTTCATCTTCCATCTTCCGGACCTAGATAGATCAGTATACCCCCAATCCGCATGGCATTTCTTGCAACCTGAACAATTTGCCCAGAACCGAGGCATGCATGTGCATCTAATAAGCAGGGGCGCGCGCGGCGCCCCAGATGTATAACCTAGTTGCCTACTGTCTGGCCGCGCTCTACTCACAGCGCAACGCCGACCTCTGTAGGCAGGCCGATGCTGATGTGGCCGTGCCCGAATCATGCTGATTCGGGCTACTCCCGGCCACACCTCTGGCTCGGTTCGCATGTACGCCGGCAGCTTTCCAGTTCATACGTTGGAAACTGTGCCAGCGCCAGGAAGGCGTGCGGTTAGAACTCGGTGACGCCAGCCTGGCTGGGAGCAATGGACTGCGTGTCGTCGTCACCTGCCTTGTATCCGTACGAGGAGACGGCGTCCGACGGCGTGATCGAGCCGATGGACAGGCGGCGCTGGCCGAGGCCGGCCGGCTTCTTGTCGAGCGCTGGTCCGGGAGGCAGACGGTCGAACTGGGAGTACGCAATACTGGACGCGCGCGAGGACATGGGAGCCAGCGCGTGGCCGGTGCCGAGTGGGTCGGGCGCGCCGTCGGCCGGCTGCTGCGAGATGACCGACGACGCGTAGCCGGTGTACGTCGACTTGCGTCCGCTGGGTCCGGCGCCGGGGTACGGGTGAGCGGCGAGCGGGAAGCTCTGCGTGAGAGCCTGCGACACCACGCTCTGCGCATCGGCAGGAACGTAGGAGATCGCGTCGTGCGTGCGGTAGTATGCCGGGTCGAAGCGGCTGGGAGCGGGGCCTCCGCGGGCGTCTGATGTCAGTTAGACAAGCAAGGATAGGAGAACTCACTCTTCTCGGCGTAGTCGTTGGCGGGAGGCTCGAAACGGCGGAACGACTCCATGGCGCGCGACAGCGTCTTGCGCGGCTTGCTGAACTGCATCATGCTCGGCTGCAGGTTCGTGAGCGGGCCCTCAACGAAGCACGACTTCTCCTTGTAGTGCGTCAGAAGGTAGAGCCAGAGAGGGTGCTGATGTCAGTTTGGAACGACCTAGTGGCAACTTACCTTGCTGAGAACCTTCGGGTTGCCGAGGATGACGACACCGTACTTGGCACGGGTGAGCGCGACGTTGAGACGGCGAGGGTCGTTCAGGAAACCGATACCCTGGTGCTCGTTCGAACGTACACACGACAGGATAATGTAGTCCTTCTCTCGTCCCTGGAACGCGTCGACGCTCGCAACCTCGACTTCCTTGTACAGATCCTTCTTGAGCGCGCCGTGCAGCTGCATGTAAGAGACGATGAACGAACGCTGGCCCTCGTATGGCGTGATAACACCGATCTGCGAGGGAAGGACGCCCGACTTGAAGAACTTGGTCACCATCTTCTCAACATTGGCGGCTTCAGTGCGGTTCACGAACGAGGTACCGCTCGACGAGATCTCCTCAGTGCCAGTGTTCTGGTGGAACATCATCGGCGTGTCGGCAACGGGCCAGGGGAAATCGACGTTCTTGCGCAGGCGCTCCGGCGCCGTGACACCGTTCTGCAGAGTACCCTCGTAGAACATGTTCGAGGGGAACTCCGACAGACACGGGTGCATACGGTACTGCACCTGCAGACGGATTGGACGGTTGCCGAGGATGACAAGACGCTCGAAGAGCGACTGCGAGAGACCAGCACGGGCAGCCTTCTTGTTCATGATGACGGGGCCAAGCTGCTGGTGGTCTCCGACGAGAACGGCCTGCTTGCATCCCATGACGAGCGGGATCATGGCCTCGGGCTCGGCGGCCTGGGTTGCCTCGTCGACAAGCACGGTCCTGAACTTGAACTTGGCCAGGCGGGGGTCACCAGCACCCACACAGGTCGTGCAGATGACGTCGGCGGCGTTGAGGATGTCCTTCTCGCAAGCACGGACCAGCGACTTGTACTTCCTCTCGTCGCTCTGGCTCAGCTCTCCAAGCTCGTTGCGGAGCTGGATAAGCTTCTGGAGTTCACGTCGAGTGTCGTTCTTAGCGACCTGCTCGTGAAGGGTCAGGTAGCTGACAGGCGAGTCGACGGCCTCACGCGACTTGGCAGTGAGACGCACAACCTTGAGACCGGTCATGTGAATCTTCTCGGCGAGATGGTCGACGGCGACGTTGGACGGGGCACAAACAAGCACCTGTCCCGGGTTCATCTTCGAGAGGTGGTACACGATCGACGCCGACGTGACAGTCTTACCGGTACCAGGCGGACCTTGGATCAGACTGAGCGGCTTCTGCAGGACAGCCTTGACGGCAGCCATCTGAGAGTGGTTGAGCTCGGGCAGGCCAGGTGCAGTGAAGCGCTTCGGCATCTGTGTGCGCAAGACCTGCGGGTCCACCTCATGACCAAGCAGCTTATGGTACTGGGATTGGTTAGCAACTGCTCAACGCGAAAACCTACAATGTAGCCCGAAACACTCTTTTCGTCGATAGCGAAAGTCTTCATGGCCTGCTGCATACGGTCGAAGCTGGTCGCCTTCCAGACAAAGTCAACGGCGAAGCCTTCCCTGCAGTCGGTGGGCACGTTGTCTGATCGTCTCATCTCCAGAACAATCCAGTCATCGACATCTGCTGTCAGCTAAACCTTCCAGTTTGCGCAGCTCACTGTCTGGAACTTTGATGACGCTGCCAACGCCCTCCCATAAGTTGTCAGAGCTGTTGCCCATGTTCGCCCACCCCTTCATGCTGGCGCCCACGAGTTTGAGGCGCAGCTCGTCACCGACCGCCAAGCGCACTTCTCCGCTCTCGAGTTTCGGCATGGTGAACCACGCAGTGCGCTTCTGATTCAGACCCATGTCCCAGCGCACACTGATATCGCTCTCTCCCTGCGACTCCTTCATGCGCTTGTCGTAGTCGGCCTCGATCTTGACCAGCGGTCCAAGGATGTTCTGATATTGGTACGCATCCTCATATCTGGTGTCAGTTCAAACGGAGGAGCATTCAACTCACTTGAGTTGGATTGGGTGCATCTCTTCCTCCGGCACCTGAGCTTCAGCATCCTCGAGCTTCGCGTTGGGGTTGTCGCGCCACATCTCCTCGAGCTTGGCAATCTGCGCCATCGAGATCTGTCGAGCGCGCAGCTGCTCCGCCTCAGAGGGGACCTTGACGAGCCAGCTGAGGAAGGAGCGGTCGTGGATAATGGCGGACCACTCTGACGGATCCCAGTTGATGTCGCGCGAAGTCGTCGTGGAGGCGCACGGGTGGCGACACAGAATCACGACGACAGCCTCGTTCTTCGCCGCAATGAAGCCGAGCATGAAGACGTTCTTGTTCGTGCAGTTGTAGCCTTAGATGTCAGCTAGTCTCATGGAAGAGGAGCTTACATTCAAGAATGGTGTCTCCAAGAGGACTGTCCTTGTGTAGGACAACTTCCTTGTGCTTCGCCTTGACGAGGTGACTGACGATGTGCGACGCACTCGTATTGCCTCTTGAGTTGCAGAACCACTTGTTGCAAGCGACGCACTATCCGTTAGGTCAACCTCCATCGCAACTTACCTTGACCACACTCTGGGGACTGTGGATTCCACAGTAGCTGTGCCCGTCAGTCTTGCCTCAACCTGTGGTAACTCACCTGCACGCGTGCTCAACGCCGTGGCCAAGTGGTGGCTCATCATCACGGTCGTACTCCTCTCCGAAGTTGTTCACGGGGCGGGAAGTGAGGGAGATCTCGTCGATCCCGCGCTCTAGTCCAGTGGTACGCTGAGGGACAATGATTTGCTCTGTGAGGTTGCTCGGGGTAGCGCTGTACATGGACGTCGTGTCATCCTGATCGACGCCGTACTGAATCATCAGCTGATGGTTCGAAGTGGAGCAACCAGGCAGCTCTCGTGGTCGACGTACCTGGGACGCACCCTCGAAGGTGGTGAACGGGTCCATAGTCCCTGTCGTCCTCCTTCGTTCTGGGGTATCTAGGTGCGGGGAAGGTGAACGTTGAGTGAAGGTCGAGCAAGCGAGATAAGACGGAGCTCTGGATTTTGTGTTGTTCTGTCACTCGATGCGCTGGGCGTAGTCATTTAGAGCCATTAGGCGAAGCGCCGCCGGAATCTGCTTCCGCTAATGACCAGATTATCAGATGAGATTAGGCCACGGCGGCGGCGTGCGGAGCTGCTGACTGAGCCGGAAAGTTGAAACGAAAGTGGAGGTCGCGGCAAAGTACTGAGATCCAGGCGGAGGGGATAGAGAAAGTGACGGAACTTCGAGTCTAGAGCCGTTCTTCAGTCGCATATCTCACAAAACATGGCTTCTCTCAGCCGCTCGCTCCTGCGTCAGGCCGTTGCCGGTCCCGCGCGCCTCTCCGCTCCCCGGGTGCGCCTGTCCGCCCGCGCGCTCTCCACCACCCCGGCCTTCCGCGCCGAGAACACCCCCGGCCCCGCCGTGACGCCGACGAACCGTAAGCTACAGTTGGACTTGGCGAAAGCTAACATGCGCAGGTGCCGAGGCGACTCTTCGCCGTTTCTGGAAGCACGCCGGCGTCAAGCCCGAGGACGACGGTGAGCTGTTCCATTCCAGCCAAAGCTAACGAGCAGGCATCACGGTCACGCTCGACCACCGCAACCTCAAGACGCCTGAGGGCGCCAAGATGGTGATTCCGAAGGAGAGGCAGCTTCTCGCGATGATGATTGCGGCCGAGTGGGAGAACCAGGACCAGGTGCTGAAGCAGTACGCTCTTCCTCTTGTGAGTTGCCCTCGCTATACTCATTCGTCCACAACTGACGACCTCAGACTTCGCTTGCCTCCCGAGCGCTCGACGGCATGAAGGACCCGAAGATCAAGGAGGGAGTCATCGACGCTCTCCTCGCCTACCTTGACACTGACACCATCTGGTGAGCTTCCTACTAGATCCGCGTAGCTGACAACCAGCTACCCCGACGACCACCCGGCTGCCCTCGTGCGGCTACAGGAGGAGCACTGGGCGCCGCTCGTCAAGTGGCTCAAGGACGAGTACGGAATCACGCTGAAGGAGGCCGAGGGCTTCAGTGTCGCGGAGCAGACGCCCGAGACGATCGCCAAGTTCCGCAACATCCTCGAGGACATGGACCCGTTCCAGCTCGCCGCCATGGAGCGTGCCGTGTACGCCACGAAGAGCTTTGTGATCGGTCTCGCGCTCGTTGAGGGCCGTATCACCGCCCACGAGGCCGCGCTCGCGAGCCACGTCGAGGTCGCGTCCCAGATTGAGCGCTGGGGAGAGGTCGAGGACTGTGAGTTGCTTGAGTCTAACGCGAAACTGACACGCAGCCCACGACGTCGACTACCAGGACATCCGCCGGGCGCTCGGCTCGGCCGCCGTCGCGCTGCACAAGCTGCACTAGAATGCATGAAATAGAGATCGCAGGGGTCCAAAAAAGGTGCATAAGAAGGCTACAGGGACAAGGAGCGTCAAAGGTTGGCAGGTATAAGTGCGCAGAGCATCTAGAGTCTACAAAGGAAGGTCAAAATCAGAGTTGGCAGAGTTAGAGGTCGGCAATCTTCGCAATGAGGTCGAGCGTGCCCTCGGCCCAACCGATCTTGTTGTGTCCGCCCGAGTCGGCCTCGAGGTAGATCATGGGCAGGCCGTCGCGGGTCGCGGTCTTGACAACGCCCCAGCCGGGATACTCGACAATGTCGACCTTGCTGAAGGCGGCATCGGAGGCCTCGGCAGTCGCGTTCGGCGCCACGAGTTGGCGGAACATGCGCTGCGAGTGCGACGGAGGGATGATCTCGTCAATAAGCGAGTGCAGGATCAGCGTCGGCGAGCGGGTGCGCTGTGGTTAGCTAATCCTGGGGACGACGTTAGCTTACGCTGATGGCCTCGTATGAGTTGAACGGCGTTCGGTTACGGCTCTTGAAGTATTCTGCTGTCAGCTCTTCGTGACCCACCGACGAGCTTACCGGCAACGGGCGGGATAGCGCGAATCGGCGACAGCAGCGGAATCACGCCAAAGAGCCAGTACCTGCTGTCAGCTCCGACCAGAGGCTCATAGCTTACGAAGCGAGCAGCTCCGAGATAGACGTGAAGGGCGCGATGAGTGTCAGCGCGCGCGGGTAGATGCCTGGTCGTCAGTTCTCCCGATTCCATCCGTAACTCACCCTCATCAGCCAGCTGGCCGGCGAGCGCAGACGTGACGCCCGTACCAAGGCTGTGTCCGACGACGACGATATTGTCCTCCGCCTTGCCGTTCTTGCCAGCGCGCTCCGCGACCCAGTCCCATGCCGTGCGCGCGTCCGTAATCAGGCCTGCTTGGGACGGCACACCGGTCGAGTCCGCGTAGCCCCTGTAGTCGATCGCGACAACGTTACTGCTGTCAGCTACAACAAGCCAAACAGCTCACCAGTCAAGACGCGAAGACATCTCGATGTAGCCCCTGATGCGCGGGCTGGCGGCGCGCGTCGCAGCCTGGTGGTCAGCTTCAGCAGGCCAATGAAGCTAGCTCACATTTCCGTGGTAGTAGATGATCGTTGGACGCTTCGTCATCGCCTCGTCGAACTGAGCTTCGGACAGAGGACCGCGAGGTGGGAACGGCTCCTGCTCGCTGTACACCGATTGCGGGCTTGAATTAGCTTGACCTGGTAAACCAGCTAGCTCACAGAACGTGCCAGACGCCGATACGCTCTCCGTCCGGCGTGTCGAGGTAGACGTTGCGGGTCTTGAACGCTGCCGTCAGATGCCACACAGCTGGATATCTCACGAGCAAGTCCGTACAGCTGCGGGCTGTCGAACTTCGCGTTCAGGGGCCACTTGACGTTGTTCAAGAAGGTGAACCTGCGCGTCAGTTCGCGGAGAGTTTGTCAACTCACTCGCGCTGAATCCACGGCACCGTCAGGCAGTACATGACGATACTGTACAGGCCGAGCGCCAGAAGCGGGATATAGTGCGCCTTGCGCAGCAAGGCTTGGGCGGACGCCATCGCTGCTGTCTCTCTCCTGTTGGTTGTTGAATGTCGAGGGACCGAAAGTGAGAACGCCGAGAATCAGGATGCGGTTAAGTACGGGCGGTGGACGCCGTCGGCTTCTATGTTTTCGTCCGTGCCCGGCCCGGCAAGTGGTTGCCGAGTCGGTGCGATTGGCACGGTGCGGGCTACCATCAACGTCTCAGGCGCGGATCGTGACCGTCCACAACGCACTATGCGCTAGGCTGTTCTGGCGGCCGCCGAAAGAGAGGATGTTGGTCGTCGTGGTGTCTGCATGGAGCGGGCCGTGCATTCAGCATGGATTGACGATGACGATGCGCCGGTGTTTCGTGGCACAATCGTAGCTTGCAGAGTGCTATGAAGCCCGCGACGCACGTGCACGTTTCACACTGGATACGGTACTCAAAGAGCTGCATAGCTGCCAGCTGCTTCTGGAGAACTTCGAGTCAGTCGTGGATCATCACGACAGGTGAAGGTTGCGATCGCAAGGAGGAGATAACGGCGACAGATGCTAATCATCGCACCATCTCTACCACAGCGACCTGCGCGGATTAACTTTCGCTCTTTGCCTGCGTGGTGCTGTATGTCTTAGTTGTAGAATATGACTGAAGGTCAGCTAAGACGGTAGACTCTCAAAGCTCACAGCGGTAGCTGTAGAGCGACTACAGTCGAAAATTGCGGGGGACCACGCTGCAAGACGCTGCAACACTGTAAGCAATCTCCTCGGTGTCGACAAACGGTAAGAAACAATGAGTGAGACCGAACTTACTGAGAACACAGAGAATGAAGCACGCAAAGCCAGTATAGAAGAGCTTTAGACGGCTCCGGGTGGCAACCACGTCGACTCGACACTCTTTGATGGTTGCCTCCACGGTTGATCCCGTGCGCCCCTACGCCTGTTCCCGTTTCCTGGAAGATCGACAGGAGACAAGGAGTTCACACACTTAACTGACGCCAAGCATGCTGCAGAAGACATTTGAAGGCGTGGGCGTAAACGGGAGTGTCTTTCGATCTTCACGATGTGGCGACCGAGGCTGTGGCACTAGCCATGCCGCTCACTTCAGGAACAGACCCGACCTGTAAAAGTCAAGCGGTATCGTATGCTCTTGCAGGTGCCTCTTACACTGACGGTTTAAACTGTGCCAAATAATGCCGCAGGTGGTGGGCCCCTTCCAGAGATTGCCGCCCTTGCTGTTTCCTCGCCGCAGCCCCAATGAATATCCAGGAGCCTTACGCGACTTCATTCCTCGAAAATCTGGGCACTGTCTCTTGGAGCGGAAGTCCAGGCCGAAGCAAGAGCTCGGCATATCTGTCCTACCTTGTCCGCTGTTCCCTGGTGCGCTGCCCGATAAAGCCAACAGCCGATCAGAGTACCCCACACTTGCCTTCGGGATGATGCTGACCTTCCCCGACCCCGCATCGGTGATCGAGCAATCCCTGCCCCAGTGAAAGTACTACATTCCTGGAGAGTGGTTCAGTCTCTCAGAGAGAGACTCGGTGAGGTTTGGAGCTGAGCTTCTCACATCTTTCGACCGAAGCTCGGATTGCGCTGCCCAACCAAGGTGGCTAAAAATACCCCAAATTGACATTGTACTCACTAGCGCGGCTGTGGATCTCACTTTTCCAGGAGTTGGGGCTCCTCCACAACTTGGGTTCGGGAGCGACGCCTAGCGCTGCGGCGGCACTTAGCAGCAAGTGAAGATCATCTAACCAGAGTTTCCACAGATATGGTGCTGACTAACGAGACCTCTTCGTGATTGGAGAGGCTTCCGCTATGAGAAGCAGTATGGCTACATGACATGCGGAGGCCTTCCAGCAGGATTTCTTCGGACCGATTACCGATGGCTCTTTCGGTACCCTCGGTAAGCGTTCTTGTTCGTCTCCGCTCACGTCCGCTCACATGTACGGTCCAGCGGCTTCTTTACGCCAATCACGGTGCTCTCGACGGCCTGCAGAGCGGCAACGTCCGCTCCTCCCCATCTTTTCATGTTCGATACCTTGACTGCGGAGAACCGGACCGGCACCGGACCAGGGAACGTCATCGGTAACTTGACTTGATTTTCGAATAACAACGCTGTTCGCCAACCTCCACAACAAGGGACGATAGGGCATGTCGCGCTGCAGCCGTCCGCTCTATGCCGTTTAGCAGCGCAGCAACCGGTGCTTGCCGCCGATAGCCGCTCTGCCCTATCAGTTCTGCTCCGTAACGGCCGCAAGAGGGCAGAGAACACTAGCACGGGGTCACACGAGGCCCACACGAGACCGCAAAAGACCACACGAGGCCCCACCTGTCCCGCTTGATCGGCTTCTATTTTGAGACCTGCTCGCCGAACTCCCCTCCACCTCCTCGCCAGGATCGGGAGGAGAGCCGTAGCTACTGCGTTAATGGCGCAGTGTGCCATGCAGACTCTGTGGATGGAAATAGCTCTCCACTTCTCCCTCGGCACCGTCGGCAACCTATGCGCCTGCCTGACGCTTCCTCTGCACCGAGGCTGGGGTGTTTTCTTTCCAATCATGTGAGAACATCCCGACGCGGGCAGTGGGCAACACGGCTGTGGAGCCTTTGTTATCTCGTGTCGGGGAGGCGGGTCCTGAGCGCTGGACTTCCCGGCGGCTGTGTTATCGCCCTGCTTGGTTATATAAAGCTCTCCTGGAAGAAGAAGCAGTCCCGACCCCATCACAATGCCCAACATGACCAAACATGTCCAGATGACCGAGCCTGAACCGGTGGATGAGAAGGAGCTGCAGCAGGTGCAGCACTTTGACCTCCAACCTACCGGCACCAATGTGACGGACACCGACAAGGGCTCCTTCGCGCACTCGACCGAGGGTGACGCCTTCAAGGCTGGTCACTCCGCCGCTGAGCGCAAGCTGCTCTGGAAGATGGGTGCGTCCGCTCCATTGTCCTCTCGCTGACTCCCAGACCTCGGCATCCTCCCCTTCGCCGTGCTCCTGTACCTCTCAGCCTACCTGGACCGTGGAAACTTGGCGAACGCCAAGCTGGCCGCTTCTGACAACTCTCCCGGCCTACTCGAGGACGTTCTTGCAGGCAAGGACCAGAACTACTCGATTGCGCTCTCCTGTTTCTTCATCACGTACATCGTGCTCTCGATCCCGGGAACACTGATGGCGAAGCACTTCCTCCCCTCGCGCACAATCGCGTGCGGCTCAGCCATCTGGGCCATCGCCGCGACATGCCAGGCGGCAACGAAGAACCCCGCCGGCCTGTACGTGTGTCGCCTGTTTGTTGGTGTCGGCGAGTCCCACTTCGGCCAGGCTATGGCGCTCCACCTGTCATACTGGTACACGAAGCGCGATCTCGCCCGACGTATCGGATTCTTCATCTCGGCCGGTGCCGTGTCGGGCGCCTTTGGTGGTCTCATCTCTTTCGGCGTCACGAGCATCAAGCACGCCAAGATTGCAAACTGGCGCATCTTATTCCTCATCGAGGGCTGCCCCTCTGTCATTCTCGCGATCTGTGTCGCGCTCTTCATGCCGACGCGTCCGGAGACGTCCAAGTTCCTCACTGAGGACGAGCGCACGCTCTGCCTCACCCGCCTCAATGCTCAGAACTCGCCCGATGCCAAGCTCGGTATTCAGAAGGCGGGAGTCATCCGCTGTTTGACCGACTGGAAGACCTACGTCGTGTCCATCATGTACTCGTGCATGAACCTGACTCTTGGATCGGTCGGTGGATTCCTGCCTACCATCATCAGTGAGTATTCGCACAGTAGATGTAGAGGACGGTCGCTCATAACGCAGAGAACTTCGGATACACCAACGCCCGCGCTCAGCTGATGACTGTGCCTCCGTACGCGGTTGCGCTCGTCTTCATGCTCCTGCTCACGACCTTCTCTGACCGCCGCCAGACCCGCGGTATTCCGGTCATGGTCCCGTTCGCCCTGGGCATTATCGGATGGGCGGTCCTCCTTACCGTCCCGCCGACACACGGCACCCAGGCGATGTGGTCTGGACGCTACTTCGCGTGCTGCTGCATCGTGACCGCGGGGTACACGAACATTCCCCTGATCATGGCATGGCAGTCCGCCAACACCGGCAACGAGAGCCAGCGCGCGACCTCGCTCGGCATGCTGAACACGATCGGCCAGTGCCTCTCTGTCCTCGCCGCGTTCCTCTTCCCCAAGGACGAGAGTCCCAAGTTTACCAAGGGCTGTATCGTGAACCTCTCGTTCCAGTGTCTCGGCCTCGTCATTGCACTCTGCATGACGTGCTGGTACCGTTACGAGAACAAGGTGCGCGATCGCGCCGAGGGTGGTCGCCCGCCCGCGGGAACCCCCCTCGAGACGCTCGAGTACCACGACCTCGCCGCTGGTTTCCGCTACACTCCTTAATCATTCTATAATCAGTGTATCGTCCCGTGAGAATGTATCAGTATCACTACCACATTTGCTGGGAATTTCTTGACAGGTCGCATTCTTCTATAGGCGCCGGCGCTCTAAGCCTTCAGGTACTTGGCGTGGAACTGGACGTGCTCCGGGGAGAAGGTCGAGATCTGAGGGTCAGATATCGGAGAGCTGCTTACAACTCACAAAGTAGTAGCTGTGGTCGTAGCCGTCCTGCATCCGCAGGTCGAGCTCCTCGGGAGCACCGCGGTCCTTGGCCGCGCGCTCGAGCGCCTGCGGCTCAAGCTGGCCGTCCTTCAGGAACTTGTCGGCGGTTCCGACGTCGACGAGCATGTGCAGCGAGCCCTTCGGCGCCTGGCTCGCCTGCAGGAGGTGCGAGGCATCGTGCTCGAGCCACTCAGCTGGCGGGTTCGAGCGCGTGCGCGTGTTCAGGTACGCACCGAAGGCGCCCTTGCCCCAGGGAACGACGGCGGGGTTGCTGTTGTCAGCTTAGGCGACCACTACCCTAGCTCAAGCAGTGTTAGGGGTTGCCCGGACTTACCAGATCGGCGCGAAGGCGGAGCAGCTCTTGAAACGAGTGGGGTCCTTCAGGTAGATCGTGAGCGCACCGTGGCCGCCCATGCTGTGACCGGTGATCGACCAGCGCTTGAAGTCCAAGCCGAGCGGAGCCAGGACCTCGGGAAGCTCCTTGGTGATGAAGGAGTACATGTTGTAGTGCTTCCACTTCTCGTTGGTAGCATCGATGTAGAATCCAGCACCTGAGAGTTAGCTAGTTTGACTTTTCCAAGCCCTGGCTCAATCCCATCATATGAACTCATAGACTTGAGGGTTCTGATAGGTACTCACCGGTGCCGAGCTGCCAGTCGTCATCCTCCCCCTCGACGCCAGCGCCACGAGGGGAGGTGTCCGGGAACACGAGGGCAATTCCCTCCTTGGCAGCAGTGTTGAAGAAGCCACCCTTCTGCGCTCCCGTGTCCTCAGTGCAGGTCAGACCGGCAAGGTAGAAGAGGACGGGGGCGGGCTTGTCAGGTCCAAAGCCAGGAGGGATGAAGACGTTGACGGGCGAGTCAAGACCGAGCGTCTTCGACGGCACGGTATACTTGGTCAGCGTGCCATTGGCGACGCGGTTCTCGGCGGTGGACTTGAGCGACGACATGATGCCGGTGTTCAGTGTGAGAGTTTGGGAGTGTGGGCAGTTGCAAGTTGCCTGTTGTCACCGGTGGAGGTGCGACCAGCTACCGCGGCCTGGCTGCGGCGAATTACCAGCGAGCCTGGGTTGCGTCATATACCGGAGAATGCCGAGCATCCGACTCTGTGCCGACGTTCTCCAGACTGCACATAAAGGGAGACCAGTGCTCGAATATTCTTGTAACCATGAAAACCTTTGCATCTCAGAGTCCAGTCTGAGCTACAAGTATAACCTGATTGTTCTATGATGGGCGTCAAGGACCTGCTTGACGATGTCCGTGTTCGTCTTAGACGAACCTCCACTTGAAGCTGTCGGGCTTCTCGTAGTCGCTGCTAGGGTTGTGCGTGCCGATCTCGCCGAGGCCAAGACCAGCACCAACAGCCTGGAAGGCGCCCTTGGAGAGATCGATGTGGTCGGCGCTGCAGGACATGCAGGCGTCGATGACCTGGGCGCGGACGGGAGGGCGGTCGTTCCACTGGAGCTCAACCCACTGACCACACTTGTCGTAGTTCTGGGGCTGGTTGGGGTTCCCGCCCCAGAGCTCCCAGCTGATGGCCACGACCATGTCATAGTCGCCGTTGGTCAGGCTGCTGCCGACACCCGGAGCGGTGCGGCACCAGTAGTCCTCGCCGGCGGTGTTCCAGTGGGTAGCCTTTCCACCAGGGAAGTCCCAGTTACCGCCGCCGCCACCACCGTTGTTGTTGTTGTTCTGCTCGGGCTCAGGGGTAGGCTCATGAGCGGGCTCGGAAGTAGGCTCGGGCTCAGGAGCGACCCATGTGGAGGTCTCGGGCTCAGGAGCAACCCAGGTGGAAGTCTCGGGCTCAGGAGCAGCGGTAGAGGTAGGCTTGGGGGCGGCAGACCAGGTGGGCTCGGGAGCAGCAGAGGAGGTAGTCTCGGGCTCCTGAGCGTGGAAGTCGTGGCCCGGGTTGTCGTTCGACGCCTGAGTTGTGGAGGAAGGCACCTCGATCCAAGCGTTCTCCGACTGAGCGGCGGAGGACTGGGCGGGGGCCGCCGCAGAGGGCGAAGCCTCCTCAGACGACGCCGGGGTCTCGGTCCAGGCAGGGGCGGCAGCGGCCTCCGTCCAAGCGGGAGCAGCATCCTGCTGGGCAGGCGAGGGGGCGGCAGAGGCGGGCTGCTCCTGCCACGAGTTCTGGCCATCATTGCCACCCTCGTGGTTGTGCCATGACTTGCCGTCGCCGTGGTGGCCGCGGTGCTTGGACTTGTCCGCGTTGGGGTCGTAGTTGGAGCTGGCGGGGTCGTGCTTGCCCTTCCAGTCCGCCTTGCGGTGGCCCTTGGGGGTGCACTTGTTGTCGTTACCGTCGCCACCCCAGTTATCACGCTTGCGCATGCGGTAAACGGCGGGGTGGTTGTTCTTGCCGAGAGTGGCGGAGTCGCGGGGCATGACGGCGCCGGACTCGATCTTGATCGGGGCCGCGAAGGCGGCAGCGGGGAGGAAAGCCGCAAGGGCGAAGGTGGAGAGACGCATTTTTTCTTTGTTTAGGTTATGAGGAGTACCGTAGGAGGCTTTGAAGGTTAAAAGGTGGTCGACAGAAGCGGGCCAGCCGTGGTGTAGACCTTGAAGGGGAGAAGGTGATGGACAAAAGAGGATGGGGAGCAAGATATGGACAACGACGAGGGCAAGCTCTTATACCTGGCGAAAGCGTCCTACATGCCTTGTCCACCACAGCCTCGAGCCCTTGCTCCCTGTGCACCCTCGCCGTACCCTTAGCGCACAGCGCGCAAAAGTCTCCGGAACTCGCATCGTTGTGACGTCTCCCTGCGAATATACACGAGGCGAGAGTGCAAAGTGTGCAGGTACCAGGAGCGTGCACAGACCGTGGCGGAGAAGCCACACTCCTCAGCACTCGCACGCACGTACCCGGGCATCTCATCCAGATTTTGGGGTGCTGCTGGAGCCTGCTTGGTGGCTTGCCTTTGTTCTGCTGTGAGCTGTCTCGGAGGGTGTCAACGAGAGCGAAGTCATGCTCGTGAGAGTTTCTGAGAGCAGAAGATGAGGCTCGAGAACAGCCGTACAAGCCACGCATGCACGCAGGCATTGATCTTCAGCCTGCGTAAGCAGTTGTTTTCTACGCTCGAAGCATTCCTGGCGTTGCCCTCAAAGACCCCAGATTCCTCGAGGTGCTCCCATTGTCACATCAGGACGATCCAGACTCTTGGTCAGAGGAACAGTGCAACACATCCTGTGTCAGCTGAGATCGCCTCGGAGCCGGTTAGAGCGGCGAGAGGGGCGAGAGATAGTCCGAGAGGCAGTCAGTGCGTAGCGCGCAGGAACGCGAGTCCATTCGAGACGGCGGCTCGATCCGCTAGGTAAGGGTGCGATGATGAACAGGCCGCTCCTCACATAGCAGCAACAACACAGCTGAATGGCGCTAAGTGCCACATCCGCGCACGTGGTGTCGGGAATCAGCGGCGATATCTTGCCGTCCATCGAAATTCTTCCCCCTCCACCAAGATCGTCCCTCTCAGCCAGCGCAACCTATCGAAATTTGCTCCCGTTGCACCCCCCTCCGTTTGCAGCACCCAGTCAAGCCCCTACGAACGAGCCCGCCAGGCGTTTGCTTCTCTTTCAACCAGCAAGCACCAAAAAACGACCAAAAATGCCTTCCCAGAAGTCTTTGTTAGTACCACCCCCGGCGATGTTGTCGTCGTCGTACAGGATGGCGTGCTGACCCCCGACTAGCATCGTTAAGCAGAAGCTTGCCAAGAAGGCTCGCCAGAACCGCCCCATCCCCCAGTGGTTCCGTCTTAAGACCGACAGTGAGTCGTGAACGAGGAGGAGGGTTTGGCTTGGGATTTGGACTGGAATCGGACACGAACGACACGGATACGGACTGCGATCGCGACGACGGTACGATGGACGACGGATACAGGACTGTACACGACACGAGGAAGGGTCGTCTGGCTGGCACCTGGAGAAAGTCTGAGTGCGGCGTTGGGTCGTCTGCGCGGCCGATCTTTCGACACTCTGATGCGTGTGAAGATTTTGTCGCTGCACTCCAGTCCTCAATACTCTCTCCAGCCGCTAGCCCGTGCGCTATCGTTGATCTCTTCGATCCGCTTCTCGACATCCATTCAGCTGTACGACCATCTGCATTTGCACAAATCTGCGCGACACGCTATCTTTCTCTCAACTTTACCGACTGCTCGTGCGCTGCTCGTGCGAATGAACGAACGAAACCATGTCCGAATGTTCATCGCAGTCTCGTCCCGTGTCGCCGTTGCTGTCCCAGTATCCCGTCCCCAAGCCAAACCCTCGTCTCCAAGCTATCAAGTTCCGAGTACCGCCAGCTAACATCCGCAGCCAAGATCCAGTACAACGCCAAGCGCCGCCACTGGCGCCGCACCAAGCTCAACCTCTAAGCGTCTCGACATGGACGCGTAGTGGACGTAGACCCGGGCTCGGCGTGTACAGTAGAGACATGGATTTGTCGCACAATCACACCACAAAGCACAGTTACGCACTATGCCCGCAGACATCAGTGCGGGTCGGAACTTGCGGAGCATGGAACTGAGCAGACATTACGGAGCAGAGTGGGGAGCACGGAGCATGGACTGGAGGCAGTTGGAAAGCGTGTCAGAGAGGCAACGTGAGAAGGGAGAGGAGAGGGTGTTAGCGTCAGAGTGTAGAGAGAGCGTTCGCAAGCGATCGTGCAGAGAGTCTGGAGCAGGTTCCGAACAGGAGTGAGAGGTCCGCTGCGGGGAGTCTACTGGTCAGGCAATTCCAACGGAGCAGAGTAGGCCGGAGCTTGGCATTGTGATCACTGACGGTTCCTGGTCCTACTTCGGTTTTTATCTGAGCTGCAGAAGTTGCGGGTCGTTGGGTTGGGTGGCAAAAGCGTCACGTACGACTTGTGGCATTGCAACTTTTCCGAACTTGTGTGCCCCCCTGATTTCCACAGTGCGCCGGTCATTGCATCGCAGCAGCGCAAACTTGACATCGAGATAGAGAGGGCTTTAGGAATACATGTAATTATCATTTACAAACAGATACAAGACCCTCGATCCTCACATCTAGATAAATCCTCCCTCCTCGTACAAGACTAGATCGACTCCTAGCTTCCTAGTGCATGCCCATCTGCTGCATTTGCTGCGCGAGGTTGGGCTGGCCCGGCTGGCTCGGGTGGCCAAAGGGCTGCTGCTGGATCGGCTGCAGCTGGGGCGCTTGCTGCTGCATGATGGGCTGCTGCACGACCGGCTGCTCGGGAGGGATGGGCAGGGTGACGGCCTGCGGCGTGTCGCCGGGCGGACCCGAGGACTGCGACCGCTGGCTCTGCAGCTCGAGCGGGAGGCGCTTCGCGGCGTCGACGGCCGCCTTTACCTCGCGGGCCATCATGTCGATGCCGTCCCACATCACGCCGTAAGCCTCGAGACCGGCAGCGAGAATCTGCACGTTCGTGAGAAGCGACTCGATCTCCTCTTCGCGGTTGTCCGTGTCGCCGAACGCCGTCTCGGCCTGGACCGCCAGGACCAGGAGAAGGAACGCATAGGCACCCGAGACGAGACCACAGGAGCAGAACGGAAGCCAGCGGGGAACACCCGCGTCCATCGCCAGGGCGGCGGAACGGTGCAGCACCTGCAGGCGGACGATTGCGTGCGCGGCCATGGCACAACGGGCGAGACTGATGCCAGGCGGGAAGGCAGTGGCCATCTCGGCTCGCTTGACATCGTCATTGGCCACAACCTCACCCTCCTCGTTGACACCCCAAGCCTTGTGCTTCTTGCCAGTGGCAACGGTGCCGTCTTGCCCGTTGAGTTTCGTGTCGTTCGGAGTGTCCGAATGGTACGGCGTCGTGTTATTAGAGATCTGCTGTGCGTTGTTCTGGGGCTGGCCGAATTGCTGCTGAGGCATCGGTTGGAAGTCCGGAATCGGAACGAAGGCGCCGCCTTCCCTGGCCTGGCTGATCATATTCGCAGCGCCACCGTCCTCGGCAAACCATGGCTTCGGCAGGGATGACGGGTAGGCGTCGGGCACCCACATGTCGTCCGTCATGCCATCCCAGCGTTGCAGCTCGTAGTTCCACTGCTGCATCAGCTGCGAGTCGAACGCTTCGGCGGCGGGGTACATGGCCGAGAAGTCCATGTTGCTAACGTCGAAGCCGGACGCGCCGAGTTGAACCATGGGGTCCACGGGCTGCTGGGGCTGCTGTCGGAGCTGACCGGGGTTTGACACGTTCATCATCGACGAGCCTCGCGGCGGCGGTTGCTGTGCCGGAGCCATCTGGCCGGGTAACGGAGGTAAGGGCTTGTGCAGATCGATGGGAGGGCGGTTCATCATGCCGTTGGTCGCAAAGTTCTGCAAGGTCTGTTGAGGGGCCTGGAACTGCTGCTGTTGTTGCTGCTGCAGGCCCTGAGGAGACTGGAACTGCTGCCTCTGCTGCTGTTGCGACGGGGGCGTCTGGAACTGCTGCTGCTGGGCATTCGTCTGCTGCTGTCGAGGCTGGATGAACGCAGTCTGCTGCGCTTGGTGCGCCCATTGGGCCAGATTGGTCGGCGGCTGGTTGAAGCTGGGGAAGCCCGCTTGCTGGGGCGCACCATCCTGGGCGACCATCATCTGCTGCTGTTGCTGCATCAGAGACTGTTGCGTCAACGGCTGTGATTGCGACTGAGGGGACGCCGATTCCACCTTGGGCTCCGGCGAGTTGACCGCGCTGTTGGACGGCTGGCTCGCGCTGGACTGCATGCCATACGAGTCGTCCTCGTCGTCGGACTGCTCGACGGGCTGCGGGAAACCACAAATCTTCTTGCTGAACAACGACACCTCGGGGAAGGCCTGGAGACGGTGGATTTGGATGTGCGTGACGGCCAGAGCGAGACCGGTGTTGATCTGCTGATTCTTCGCGACATCTTCCTCGCCACCCGGAACGTGTTGAATTTTACTCCCACGCTCCGTTTCCTTGATCAGCTCGATGACATGCCGGTCGAGATTGATCATCTTCTGTCCGTCGCCCTGGTTCGGGGACATGGCCATCTGTCGGACCATCATGCAGATGTTCAGACACTGTCGGATGCAGTTCACCCAGGTCGCCCATGTTCGATCCTTGTCCGAACAAACGGGGAAGTCAACGTGCACCTTTTCGGTGCTCATGATCGGCGGCGCCTGCCCCGAGACCATGGCGTTCGAAATCTGGAACACATAGAGGCACCACCACGTCCGTCGCAGCATGTCTCGCCGCCAGTTGATGCCCTCGAGTGAGCCGCGCTCGCCGTAGGGCTTGTCGATCTCGTTAAGACCCATCAGGTAAGCGACCTGGATCGCCCTCGTTATCCGCGCCATAGCGATATCCGAATTGTTGGTAGAGCCCCACTCCCAGACACTGAGCATGATGAGAGCTTGGACATTCTCGATCGAATGCTCCCCGCGCGAAAGCTTGTAATCGATCAGGTCCAAGGTTTCCTTGCCAATTTGTGCTGAGGCCGCTGAGCGAAGACGCTTCGACAACGGGTCACGAGGGTCACGGTCGAGCGGGTGTGGGGCCAACGTCAGAATCGTCTGTGTGGCCATCAGAAGCGGCGAAACGGGCAACAGCTCGGGCAGAACATCGACAAGGTAGTGGCGAGGGGGGAGCATGGGCAGGTACGGGTGGATCTCGCTGTAGTAGCATCGGAGACTAAGGCTGTCAGTTTCAAAGGGAACGGCTGAAACGGCGAAAGACGCATCGCGTCACTTACATCTCTTCCCTCGATTCAAACACTCGGACGCGGTTGCTGGCATCCTCGCCGCTCTGGGGACCCGGGTGAGGAAGGGTGAACTTGGGCGGCACGATCAGCTCATCGAGCTTCTTGAGGAACTCGACAAGTGGTGGGGGTTGGCCGGCTGCCGACATCAGCAATTTGCAGAGTAGGACATAGCCGAAGTGCGATGGTAATACTCACGGACTTTCTTCTTGCGTGCACCACCGCGCTTGGACTTGATGTAGATGCATTCGAGGTTCTTGCGGATGCACTGTTGGCTCTGTCAGCACTCGATGCATGTCAGTGGCGAGGAAGGCTTGGGTCGCGATGACCATCGGCGCCGCCGACAGCTGGACGTATGACCGAATCAAATATTAATTGACCCTGTGGTGGTCGTGACAGCCGAACCTGGCGCTGACGCCCAAGCTCGCTTCGACAACGAGGCGTGAGGGCGAGTTGGCGAGTTACTCACCTGTCCACAGACGGGTCTTCCACCATCACACTTTGCCTTCTTGGTTCGGCAGCTGAGGCATGCCGACTTGACTGGGCCTTCCTTGTCCTTGTTGTGGGATTTTTCGACCCACTTGCCCGTATTACACGATACGGGTTGCTGCATCGTGCCGAGGCAAGGGTGGCATCAAGCGCGGGGTGTTGGGAGGGGTCGGAGCGCGCGTGCCGGTCGGGTTTGGTGTGTGGATGCTGCGGACTGTGTGGAGTAGCTGTGGGTAGCTTAGATTGGAGAGCGACGAATGAGCGGATCGAGTGGAGGGAAGGCGATTGAATGGACCACTCTGTGATCGGAGGGTCGGAGGAAGAACAGAAAAGTGGAGGTTTGAGTTCGGCGGGGACGGGGGAAGGCAGATTATCAGTCTGACTAAGCGAAGCACAGGCCGGTAGTTGCGGTCGAGCCTGAGTGTGTATTCGGAGTGCGTCGACTGCTCAAGGTGGTGGAAGCGGTCGAAGGGCTGGTGGAGTATGCAGTGTGAAAGAGGATTGAGTGGTTGGGATGGAGCAAAGGACACGATGGTTAGATGGCTGCTGCATGGCTGGCTGGTGGCCTAAGACGGCCTGACTAGGGGGCGTCGGCAGGCAGGCAGGATTAGCCAGCAATAGCAGAGCTGCAGTGGCCAGTGGTCTGGTATGGAGCGCTCCTAGCCGGGGCCATGCAGCCATGCAGCTGGGAGGGCGGGTGCGGGCGGCGGGCCTCGTAACCGTCGTTTCTCGGAGGTCAGCCCTTCACCGCGTTCCTTGGTCATTTCTGCCCTAAAGCCCTGCCCGTCATCCCCGTCATCTGTCTCTCTCCTCCCTACCTCATGCGCACAAAGGCGCCAGCTCGTCAGGCCGTCAGGCTTTTTCGCGCGCCCAACGCATTCAGTGGCGCCAACTCAAATCTGCACAACCAATCGCTAATTGCATTCACATCCTCGTCTATGCGAGCAAACGGGACAGACGGGCTCCGCCGGCGCCGTACAACTCTGACGTCCAGTATAACCGTGCACTGAACCATGCACCTGACCTCTTGTGCTATTATCGTCCCAAATCTGACCCCAGCAAAGCTTACAAGCTCTGACCACCCCCTACTACCCTGCATCTTTTTGGCGTGTGCGACGCTTCTGTGCGTTCCAGAGGTAATCAGATACAAGTATCCTGGCCGGAATGGGTGGAAGCAGATCGCAGATCTCGTAAACCAAAAGCAAGGGTTCGCTGACACTTTGCCGTGCCGGGTGCGGGGTACTGCATGCCGGGCAGGTACGGCCCTGCAAGGTGGGGAGATGGGATGCGTTGATGAACACCGGGCGTCCAAGCAGAGCACGCACAGCGAGAGATGCAGCGGCGACATCGCCGCTGCCCGCCTGGCGGATGCTCTGGCCACTGAGGAACCACGAAGGACACGAGTTGGTACCCCCGTCGCATCGCTGAAACAATACACACGCAACACACAGGTGGGCTGTGGACCGTATCCATGGGCCGCAAGTGTATGCTTCACACACACCTGCTCACGCAAGATGGTACCATGCTTGTCGGTGTACATTCGGATAACGAAAGATCTGGAGCCTGGCATATCCCCCCAGTTGCGGTAGTGGTTTGCGGCAACGGCACCACCTGACCGCATCTGTGACCGCAGCTGACCGATGATATCAGATAGACGCATGCGGATTACGCTATCCCTCCGACTTTCGTTTCGGGAATAACTTGCCATGCCGGTATCACGCCGTCGCTGGGTGCTGGGCGTGCCTGTGCTACGTACTACACCTCGTGCATCCTTGTCCTGCATCTCGTTCTTGGGTCCGGTGGGCTTGGCCAGCTTGGCAGCGACGATCTCTCGTGCACCCCGGAGTCTCCGTGTCAACGATGAGCTTCGCTGCTGCGGATTAAGGTGCACCTGCGCCTGTCCGGAGCTACGGCTACAGGATGATTGCTAGCTCTGTCCAGACCTATGGCTACATGATGGTTGCGCGCTGCCATCTCCCCTACTATGAACCTCCAGCAAGTCAATACTCAGGCTGCGGCCGTCTCTATACGACTGTACACATGCATACTCTATCTAATGTCCTATGCCCGGTTTATCCCTTGTTCATGGTGTTACCAGCTCCCTTGCGGTTATCGTCCGTGTACTGCGCCCACTTCTCGTCCTTCTGCCTCTTCTTCTCCTGCGCCTCCTCCGCCTTGTAATTGTCCATCTCGCCCTCGAGCTCCATGAGCTCGCTCTCGGTCGGCTTGTCGTAGCTGGCCTGTCCGCCGCCCGTAATGATGTTCCCCCGCCTCTGTTCTTCGGCCAGGTACTCGTCAATCGTCATGGTGGGGAGGCGATGGGAGGCGCGGAACACCTCGCTGTTCAGTCGCTCGCGCTCGGACAGGTTGCCCATGGACGGCATGATGGTGAAGGGACGCAGGACGCGGCCGCCACCACTGATCAGGTCCTTCGGCTTCGCGGCCGAGGGGGGTGCCCGGTCAAGACGCCAGGCGGCGTCCTCGTCCTCCTGTCGCTTCGCGCGCGGGTCCTCCAGCGGGCCCTGTTCCGGCTCTGGCGGAGCGTGGCGGAGGAGCTCCAGCTCCATCGCCGTGTTGGCCTGTGCGCCCGTCGTCAGGGCCGAGAGGAGGGAGAGCAGCGCGAGCGTGGCCGAGCGCACATCCTTCTCCTCCGCGTTCACGCTGACGGAGCCCGAATCCTCCTCGGTCAGGAGGGCGAGGATGAAGACCGTCGGGTTCGAGGACGATGGCGGGTGCGAAGGCAGGACGGACTGATGTGTCAGCTTCCAGACTGGGGGGTATACGCAGCTGAGACTCACAGTAATCTTCTCCCTCGACTCCTTCTCGCGCTTGTACGCCGCAATCTTGGCCTCACGTCTCCGTCCCGGATCGGCGGGGACTGCACCTGCTCCCTCCTCGGATGTTTCAATGCCGTAGCTGTTCAGCAGCTGCTTGAACGCTCCGTAAGCCGTCTCGCTCCGCTTCAGCGCCTCTGTCCGGGGCACGGGGCCGCCGATGCCGCCCCGCTGCTCCGCCTCGCCGAGCACCCAGGGAACCGTCATGAAGAGCAGGTCGCGGTCCGAGAGCTCATCGGCGGACTCGTTCGGCGAAAACAGGCCCAGAGACGTGATCATTCGCGAGATCAGGTACAGGTCGTCGATCGCCTTGGCCAGCTGCGCCTGCACGGCCTCGTCGCCGACGGAGACGTCGCCGTCGAAGATCGGCGTGAGCACGCGCAGAACAGAGGCGTAGAACTGGGGTAATGGCACATTCGTGCTAGTTTGTGTTGATGTGGACATTGCTTTAGAATTGTGGTCGTGAGTTGATGTTGGTGAGCAAAGTCTAAGCGATCGACGCGTCGTCTATGACTTCATCGAAGTCTGGTCGTGCGGAAGTGGAATCTGATCCCGCTGGGTGGCAACCGGCCAGGCACTGGCAACTTCTGGCACTCACCCATTGCCCAACCGATCTTAGAGCTGCAACAACTCGTAGCGAAACAATGAATCCATGATGTGTATTTGATTGATTCTATTAGGATGTAGTATGATGACCGAAACGCGTGTGCTATGTGCATGAAGAAACAGAGTGGAGGTCGATAGAGGTGTACTTTTGGGTTACGTAATAACCCGAAAGTGGCACGGTTTGCTGATTCCACCCGATTTCTTCGTTCGTCCTCTCTTCTTTCCGTCTACCTCTTGCGGTACGACAAGAAGCGGGCGGCTAGAAGGAGCACGATTACGTTGAAAGCTATATAACAGAGGAAGATTCCGAAGTCACGCCAGCGGTACTTGAAGTAGATCTCCATGTTCTCGAAGAACGACTGTCCGACGCGGTACTGGCAGTACTGGCACTGGTCGGTGGCGTCGGGGTTGTTGATGTACGCGCCCATAACCTGGGCGAACTCACCGGCCCACTGCGCGCAAGTCTGGCCAGCGGGAGGCGGGAACAGGTTGAACTCGGACTCCTTGCAGACCACGAGCTCGTCCTGGAGACCAGTCGAGACGAGACCGGAGATGATGCGCGTGAAGGGGTCGAGCGGCCACATCCACGAACGCCAGAAGTAGGGCAGCGTCGGGGGCGGGGCGGTGACACCACAGAAGACGGAGAAGAGCACAAGCAGGAAGGGGTTGAAGAGCGCAGCGACGATAATGCTGGGCGACAGAGCCGCGATGGCCTGGCCGAGCGTGACGGCGTAGACCTCGGTGAGGAGGACCATGAGGAAGAAGTAACCGGCACGGCTCGAGGCGGTCGGGAATCCAACACCGTAGTAGAGGAGCAGGAAGAACGCGACAGCACAGAGCACCGAGTAGGGCATCTCGGCAATGAGCTGGGTCAGGGCGAAGACGGTCGACGAGTACATCTTGGACGACGCCTCACGGTTAAAGGTCATGCGAGACATGATGTACTGCGGCTCGATCTGGGCAAGAACGAGGGCGGGAAGAACCGTGCAGAAGAAGATGGCGAAGACGCGGTACTGCAGCGACTCGAGCGAGTTGTCGAGGCGGAGGAAGGTAAGGAGAGTGACCATACCGATGGCAATGTGCGCGAAGAGACGGGTCCACTGGTAGTCGGCGTTGCGCCAGAGGGCAGTGTTGGTGCGGTGGCCGACAACCTTGAGCTGAGTCATGAACGAAGTAGCGTACTCCTTCGGCTTGCCCTCGTCGGGGAGCGGGTTGGCGAGGGCGTCGGCGTTCAGGCGGGCAATCTCCTCCTTGGTCTCGGCAAACTCGGGCGAGTTCTTCCACTTCTCGTGCCAGTCGCCGCCGATACGCTTGCGCGAACCGGCACCAATGGCCTCGAGCATGAACTCGGCAGGGTTGGCGTCCTCGGGCACCTTGGCGCCGTTGCGCTCGAGGTACGAGATGAGAACCTTGGAGTCCTCGCCAATGTCGCCGAAGTAGACACACTCGCCGCCGCGCTGGAGCAGCAGAAGGCGGTCGAAGGACTGGAAGAGAAGAGCGTTAGGCTGGTGGATCGTGCAGAGAATCTTCTGGCCGGCCTGGGTGAGCTTCTTGAGGAAGCGCACAATGTTGTAGGCAGACTGGCCGTCGAGACCGGAGGTAGGCTCGTCGAGGAAGAGAAGCAGGTCGGGCTTGGCGGCAAGCTCGACACCGATGGTGACACGCTTGCGCGCCTCAACAGAGAGACCGTAGCCGGGGAAACCAATCATACCATCGGCAATGTCCTGTAGCTCGAGGAGCTCGATAATGTCCTCGACGTAGGCGTCCTTCTCCTCCTTGGGAACATCGGCGTGCTGGCGGAGGTAGGCAGAGAAACGAAGAGCCTCACGGACAGTGGCAGTCCACTCGTGCACGTCGAGCTGCTCGGCGTAGGCACATCCACGGGCGAAGGAGACGTCGATGGGCTTGCCACCCATGAGAATGTCGCCGTCAATGACACCAATGTTCTTACGAGCAGCGAGCACATCAAGCAGGGTAGTCTTACCGGCACCCGAGGCACCCATGAGAGCGGTGAGGGTTCCGGGCTTGACGTAACCGTAGACATCGTTAAGGAGCTGGCGGTGGCCGCCCTTGACGGGAACAGTGTAGTTGAGGCCAGACCAGGTGAAGGGAACGGGCTTCATGGCGAGGTTGCCAAGGTCCTGCTCGAGCTTGCCGGCACGGAAAGCCTCCTTGCGCTCAGCGAGGCGAGCGTTCAGCTTCTTGAGCTCCTTGTTCTCCTTCTTGAAGACGACAATGGCCATGTGCGAGGCACCCATCTTGAGCGTCTCCATGAAGAAGGCCTGCAGGAACATGTAGAAGCAGAACCAGCCGATAAGGACACCGTAGTTGCGCCAGATGTGGGACTTGGAGTACTGGAAGGCGGCGTGCATGTAGTCAGTGCCGGTGACAACGCCAGAGCCGGGATGCGATCCGGGGAGCGAACACATCTGGTTGGGACCAACGCCATCGGGGTACTTGGTGATACCGGCCTGCGGGATGTTGGTCGGGATGATGTACGCGGCGTCGCAGTCGAGGGTGATACGGCTGAACTCGTTCGCGAACAGCGCCTCATAGCCGTAGAACAGGGGATCTGCACGTTAGCTCAGGTCCGAGGGGCGCAGTAGGACGCAGTGGAGGGTGGAGGCGGGCGCTAACGACGCCACACATGGTTATCTGTGGCACCTGCTCCACAAAACCGTATTCCACGAGCTTTTACTCGATTTCCACTAAAAAGACTCACTGATGTAACAAATCCAGAACAGCCAGCGCTTCATCTTGGCCATCGGAATCATATATCCGGTATATGTGACCATGAAGGAGATAAGAACAGACGCGAGACGAGCGGCGACGTTGTAATCCGAGGTAGCGACACCGATGGTGCGGAAAAATCCAGCCATTACCATAAACGTCGTGAAAACGAAGAGGTAGAACATCCAGAACGCTCCTCCGCTCGAGTAAAGACCACCCATGAAGTAGAGAATGATGACGAAGAAGAAGATGTTCGAGGCGTTGAACGGAACATCGGCCGCGACGGCACCAACGGCGTAGGCAGCGGGACGGTAGAAGCGGTAGCCGACCTGACGGAAGAGGATAGGACGACCCTGCATCTGGCCGGGCAGCTCGGAGAACGAGGTAAGAGCGTTGAACAGAAGACCCAAGAAGATAAGACCGCCGCGGGTGAACGCGCCGGAAGCCGAGGTGGGGAGACGGAAGTAGACGGAACCAACGATGAGGGCGATGATGATCGAGGTAGCGTAACCGGTGTAGATGCCGAACTTGTCCTGGAACTTGAGGATCGTCTGGCGCTTGGTAAGCGCCAGGATCTGCGACAGGAGGGATACAGTGTAGGGCGAGTTCTTGCCGACACCACGGTGCTTGGCGTCGCGGACGGCGTTGCGGAACTCCTCGCGGTCGCGCTCGTCCTGCTGCATCTTGGTCTTGTACTCGTCCTTCTCGGCGATCATCATGCGGTACACGTCCGAGTTGCGGTAGGCCTCCTCCATCGCCTGGGGCGTGGAGGGGACGTTCTCGGCGCTGCGGCCGTCCTGGAAGCGACGCTCGTTGGGGTCCGTGCAGCCAGAGAGGTAGTCGGCGGTGGTCTGACGGGGCAGGTCGGCGTAGCCGAGACCAACCATGTACTGACGGGCGATCTTGGCAGGACCAAAGTAGACGACGTGGCCCTCGTCAAGGAGCAGGACCTTGTCGAACTGCTGGTAGATACCCTCACCGGCCTGGTAGAGCGAGACAAAAGTGGTCTGGTTCATGATGTCAGTCAGGAGACGGAGCGACTTGGCATAGTCGAGCGCAGTGGAAGCGTCAAGACCACGAGTCGAGTTGTCCCACGACGACAGGGCACAGTTGGAACACATCTGCTCCATGACGGAGACACGCTTGCGCTCTCCTCCAGAAACACCACGGACGAACGCGTTACCGACGATCGTGTTGGCGGTGTGCTTCATGTTGAACATGGTGAGGAGCAGGTTCAGCAGGTCCTCGCGGTACTGCTTGTTGGTGACGCCATCAATCTTCTTCTTGGGCGTCTTGAGCTCGAGAGCGAAGCGGATCGTCTGGGCAACAGTCAGGGTCGGAAGGTGGTCGTCATCCTCCTGGTTGTAGAGGGTCTGGGAGAGCGTCAGCCTCAATTTACACGAAAGATCTGGACTGCACCGGATCCGACGATCCGCCACATTCCCAAGCCACTCACTTCACCACCGTACTTCTTGTGCATCTCCTTGGCAGGGATACCGGCGTACTCGACGTCGCCGTTAACCTCAAGGAAACCCTCGCGCTGGTTGGCGATGGCCTTGAGGAAGGTGGAGCAACCAGCACCGGGGCGACCGAGGACGAGACACATCTCTCCGGGCTTGAGGACACCAGACGAGGGGAAGAGGATCGTCTTGGGCTTGGGAGCGAAGGGGTTGTAGCCAACGAGGCCCATGACCTTGATGACGGGCATCATGAACTGCTCCATGATGGCGTTGGAGAAGTTACGAATGTGCATCTTCATACCGCCCGCGCCGACGACCTCGAGATCCTCCCACACGACACCAACGTTCTTGTGGTGGATCAGCGAGTCGTCCTGCTTGCGGCGGCCGGCACGGAGCTCGTCGGCGAGGTTGAAGTCATCCTCGCCGGCCTGGCCCTTCTCGGCGTCACCGCTAGCGTTGGCAGTGCCATCGGTAACGGCGGACTGGCGGGTGGTGGTGCGCTGGGGCTTAGCGCCGAAAGCGGAGCGAACCGAGGCGATAGAGCGCCCGGTGACAGTGCGCTGAAGGCCGTGGTCGGAGGACTGCTGCGAGAGGGTGGAGTACTTGCGCTCCAGAGCAGCGAATTCCTGCTTACCGCGGCTAACGGACACGCGACGGCCGCTGTCGTTAAGAGGGCCGAGAACGGACACAGAAGACTGCGGAACGCCGCTAGCGTCATGGTAGACTTCGGGTCCACGAGTGATCTTCTCAGCGTGAGCGTCATACTCGGGAACTCCGGTGTCCTGTCCGTCGGGCGTCGTGTTTCCCGACTCGCTCAGGATTTCGTCCTCGGCGATGCGGTAGTCGCGGTCGAGGTACTCGGCAGCACCTCCCTCCGCGAGACCAGCCTCCATGGCCGGATCAGTGGAGACCATGGTGGTGGAGCGGTGTTGTGGTGGCGGTGGTCGTTGCCAGGGGTGGTGGAGGAGAGGGGAGGGGGTGGTGTGGGGCTAAAGTTATCGGGGATGGAGATGGCGGGGTCGGGGGTCAGAATAATTAAGAAACAGAGAGACGAAGAAGAGGAATGAATGAAAGAGTGGACGGAACCCTCGCTGCAGCGACGCAGGCGACCAAAAGTAAGTAGTCAGTGTTTGGTCGTTGTGGGTGACAAACGGAGCACGCAGTGGAGACCGGCGGGCTTTAAAGAGGATGACTTTTTTCTGGGTTCAAGGTGGGAGGCTCGGGAGGTGGGTGGTGCAAGCCGTAAACAGAAGAAATGACGGCGTCGGCTGCTGGCGGGGCGGACAGGGTCAAGGCCACAAGTGCCTGACGATACCTGAAGGCATGCCTGGGCACGACCTGGGCATGAGGAGGGGAAACATGACGCCTGGAGCTTGATGACACACCGTATTGCGATTTGACGGGCAACAGCCCAACTCTCGCAAGGCCGCAGCCTTCCATGCTGAGAGTCCGCTCGCGCGACCCTGAATCCCGTACGTCCGGCCCTTGCCGCTGGAAACTTCCTACAATCATCAGCTGTGCAATCTCTCCTTTCAAGTCGGGTGAAGCGAGTGAGGGGAGAGAGCAGGGTCACACCGAAGCGCAATGGGCGCCGACTCGGCGTCGGAACCGGAACGACTCATACGATTCCTAAGCCCCATCGACTGATCGCTCAAATCATAACGAGTCCTCTGCCGTAGACCGGCTTTTCTGCGGCCCTGGATAGCAGCGAAACTCCTAGCTCTCGGCCCCCTCGGGCGCCGGTACGGACACTCCTCCAGCCCACAGGGTCGAAAGATATCCGTCGCAGCATCCTGGCTCAGCCGATCGTACGGTTCAGGAGGCTATGACACTGGCGCTCCAGCATGATCGCTTCAATCAGCAAAATCTTGGCTCGCGACTGAACTGGCACTCGTCGGCTGCCCCATTCCAGCATGGGGCTCGCTGCATTCCGCTCTGCTGCCATTCTCTTGGCACTACCTGGCATTATTCAGCACCTCGCCATCGCCGCCGGTCGCGTCTCGCATTTGAACGCGTGATGCGGCACATGATTGCGCATGCACGCGCCGCACTTCTTTGCGGATCATTGTTGCACTGCACTAGCTGCACCGAGTGCATCGCGTGTGTGCGAGGGGGCATGAGACTCTGGGAATCGCACCATGGACACTTCGCTTCGCTCGCACTCTCGCAGCTCGCATGACCGAAGGCCATTTGTTTGTCTACGTCGCTGCACTGTGGCTTGGGGCTGGGCGTTTCATTGGGCGTTATCTCTTAAGCTTAACTGGTGAGTGGTCATGTCCGGTGACAAAGAGCGTTTCAAGTGTCCGCACTGTGACGATGCTCTTATACGCTAGCGTTGGTTACTCGGGGAAAGATAACTAGTTGGGAACCGGACGAGACGATGTAAACAACCGTCCTCAACAACGACCAGGGAAATCCTCCGTGGCACGACAGTTTCGTTGGATCCATTTACCCCGTGTCGCAGAGTTGTTCAATGTCATGGGGAGGGCACGCAGAATGTGAATCAGAGTGAATTCGGCATGGACTGGGCATGTGGCCTGCAATCACATGGGACCAGGTGGCCTCGTCACTCTGCTGTAGATTGACAACCTTTGGGCCCCATTACAGCCCACGACTCGTCCGACAAAGCGCCGGCAGCGGCACGGCCTGCTGGGCGTCGGAACAGCTGTTCCAACAGTCGTGCCATGTTCCAGAATCCATCGTGCTACCCATATTGCCCGGCGTCTGGAACCTGAAGCACAGACAGGCGCATGGCGAAGAGAGTGCGGCAAAGGCGGCAAAGCGGTCAGGGCTGAGGCCACAAGATTTGACAAGATTTGACCGAGGCGTCGCGAAGTGCGAGATAAGCGGGCATTTTGTCAGCGCTTTGACATCAGCATTACTCACCTGGCTGACTTGACTTGTCGGTGATCGGCGAGTTCCTTTTATCAACTGCACTTCTTCACACCTCATTTTTTCAGGCACAGCAGCTCGCGTGAACACCACGCTCTCCCGACTTCATCCCGGTCACGTGCCGTTGCGTATTTTGACAATCCGGTGGAGGTCTGCCCAGAAAGTTGGGACGCAAGGTGAACTCAAGGGCGGCTTAGTCATGGCTTCTGCATATTTGCATCGCACAACACGCACAAACCATGACGCCCGAAGAGGAGAGACAGCTGGAGAACAACCAGGAAGAGGAGGAGGAGGATGTGGTCCTTGCTGCCGAGGACGTGGCGGAGGTGCTCGAGGACGACGGCCTCAAGCCGGACGAGGACATGGAGGAAGACCTGCCTGCAGACCACGAGCCGATGATCAAGGACGAGGAGGAGAAGGGCAAGCCGAGTAACGCGTGGGGAGGAACCTGTGAGTAGTTTGGAGCTGCATTGCTCCGCGTAGCCTTTAGCTGACAACAGTCCTGCATAAGCCCGGATCATCCATCTTCGCCCTCGCATTGCACCCCATGTTCCCGAACCCGCCGCTAGCCGTTACTGGAGGACAGGACGATGTCGCTTATGTCTTCTGCCCGCTTCCCCCGAGTCAAGGTGGAGCGTGGAACCGTGACACCTACCAGCCCGTGCGGTTGACGGGGCACACTGACTCGATCGCGTGTGCCTCCTTCTCAAACGACGGAGAGTATGTCGCTACCGGAGGTCTCGATGGTCGTGTGCGTGTCTGGAGGCGAGTTAAGACCCGCCGCGGTGTGACCTATGACGATGCGGATCCCGAGGCGTGGCGATTTTGGGAGTTCATCACCTCACTCGAGGCGGGCGGAGACGTGCACTGGCTGCAGTGGCATCCGAAGGGTCCCGTTCTGGCCGCCGGATGTGAGGACGCGAGTGTCTGGCTCTGGAACCGTGAGTTCCGCTAACATTCCTCCATTGGTAGCTGCTAACGACAGTGCCCTCCGGACGGACGATGACGGTTCTCTCGTCGCACACCATGGCGTGCACCGCGGGCATCTTCCCCCCACCGGGGAAACAGCTCCTGACTGCTTCCCTCGACTCGTCGCTTGTGCTCTGGAACCCCGCGGCTGGCAGCCACGAGTTCAAGAGCTCCATCTTCTACCCGCCCCATGCGCCCGAGCTCGACCCGTCAGTGCACGGCATCACCTCGCTTGCGATCGCACCGTCTGGCCTCGTCGCGTGCGGTTCCGCCAATGGTCGCATTCGTCTGATCGCGATGCCGAGAGGCGAGTGTGTCCAGACGCTGGACGCGCACGATAAGAACGAGTCAGTGGAGGGACTCGTGTTCATGGACCTCCTCGGCGGACGAGACGGAGGCAAGGGTGTCGTGCTCGTGTCTGCCTCGACGGACGGACAGTGCTTCGTCTTTGACGCCACGACTGGACGCGGGCGTGCGATGATGAAGCACCCCGCCGCCGTTACTGCCATGACGCCCCACCCCGCCCCGAGCCAGCACCTCATCACCACGGCGTGCACCGACGGCTCGCTCCGCACGTGGGATGTCAGGAATGGCATTCTCCTCGCCGAGCACACCGGACACCCCGGTGCCGTCCTCGGCGTCGCAGTCGGGAAGGCGCCGGATGGAGAGTCGCCCCTCGGCCTGCCTGAAGCGCAGCTCGTGATCTCGGCCGGCGAGGAGGGCGCGAGCCTTATCTGGCGTGTCTGAGCCGTTTCCCCACCTTATCTCGCCTGTCTGACGGCTCGCTGTCGCTTCGGTTGATGTCGGCCGTCTAGTAAACGGTCGATGGTCCCCGGCAGCGCGTTGCGCTTAGGAGGAGACTAGAGCATGGCAATCTGTACTATCACCATCCACAGCACGTCCACAGTCCGCAAGACGATCCACACGTTTAGAAGCATTATTAGCGCCCATAGATTTCGAGACTCATCACGATTCGGTGCCCATCGGCTGCATCGGTCGAATCGGCCCCATCGGTGTCCACTATCTGATACACAGACATGCCACACTGCAAACAAGGGATGCTTACTCAATCCAATCCAAACGCACGCTTACTCTATCGCGACCCTGTATTTTCTCTGCATTGCCTTGTGTACACGGGTAGAAGTAGCCGATCACAGGTCTGGGTTGCCCACGGGGCGCACAGCTTGCCCATCTGGAGTTCGGGCAGTTGGCGGCCCACCTGATTCGGGTCCCAGTTACGGCCGTGAAGGTGTCAGCAGAGAAGATCAAGTCCGAAGGAATGCGGGCGGGGCTGAGCTACTGGGGGAGGCTGGGGGGCTGACAGCGCCAAGTGTCGGCGAGGGCCACTGTATCAATATCGGCGGTCGCCGTGCACGGCATCTTCGGCAGTGCGATGTGCATTCTGCGGTGGGTTCGCGGGTGTGAGCTGCAGGGTGGTCGGAGTCAGGTACAGCGAATACCGCATACCGTATGGCAGCGAAAAAAGAGTCAGCGTAGTCAGCGTGCGCCGGCGGTTGGCGGGTTGAGGGCCTGGCTGGGGGAGGGGTGCCCGCATAGCGCATAGCGCGCATAGGTCATAGGTACGCTGTTAGGTACGCTACAGGCACGGCGACACTCGCTTATGTTCTTTGGGGCACAACTGGACACGCGTGGCTTGTATGGGCTTAGGAGGCACACATAGGCGCTTGAGCGATCCGTCGCGAGCCAACCGGTGGCGGCCGGTTACGCGCCTAATCGCCCCAATACACCCTCATGCTAATACGCGAGGTTGGGGCAATTGACAGAAAGAGGCAGGTGACTAATGGAGTGCCTGGGTCCGGAGTAATCGGGGCTCCCTTTGGCTCCGGCTACACTCTGAATAGACTCCGTAGCTGGAGCCAGCAGGGGAGGGAGGGGGAATGTCAGGCTGACCGGCTCATACCTACCGACCTCGCTCAGTCTGGCAGCCCAGCGGCCCAGCGCGCTCCCAGCACCCTGCGCCCAGCTAGGAGAGCCAGGCCAGCGGCCAGCAGCGAGCGTCCGTCTCGTCAAAGTACGCTTTCCAAGCATTCACATCCACCCGAGCCTTGATCAAACGTCTGCCCTCCAGTTCCACTTTCCTCCCCAACCATTGTCATCGTTTCCATCAGCATTCATCAGCATTTGCATCGTCGTCTAGAGCCCTACACACACCCACACAACACAACGTACGACCCATCGACGCAAAGTCCTGAGGCGCGAGCGAAATCTCCTCGTACGACCACACCACGCCGTCGGCACCACCCGAGGTGAGTCTCTAACCGAGCCGAGTGCACCTGTACGCCCCGCCTGGCGCCAGCCTAGCCAGCCCAGCCCTAGTAGTCAAACGTCCAAGCGCTGATAATTCCAGTTTCTCTCAAGCCATAACCAAGCAACACACACCTTTTGCGCCTGCATTTACACGTATCTGTCGAATCACTCCAGGCAAACGCGCGCGACGCTCCACCATCGACAAGGAAGTGTGCGTCGCGCAATCATCATCGCTATCTTGAACGCACCCGATCGCTGAGCCGCCAAAGTTTCCCGGACAGCGACGGATAGTCTTGCACAGAAGTTTCCAAATCCCCCACCACACACCCCAGTCCCCATCGTCATGTCATTACCCGAAATCTCCATCCCCCAAGCGCGCAACATCGCTGTTGATGTTACGGGAGCCCAGATTGTGCAGGAGCAGTCGCCAGCGGTAAGCTACCCTAGGGTCTCCGTCAGCTGACTCATATCAGACGCGAGACTCAAGAGGAATCTATCTCCCGCACTACACCGAGCCGGTGTCGCACATTGCGATTGACGTGAGTCCACAGCTAGTGCGTGCTTGCTGAGCTAACGACAGATCGGAGGATCACTCGCCAAGGTCGTCTACTTCTCGCGATCGACCAAGCCGGTTCCGACAACGCCGCCAGAGTCAGGATGCTCTTCTCCGTTCTTAGCCCCGGCGCAGATCGTCTCTCCGACAACGCCGAGTGCAGTTCTCCCGAGCCCCGAGCAGTCTATGCTCCTCGAGTGCCCGACGCCTGAACGAGTGCGACCAAATGGCGCGCTGACGCCGAGCCTGATCACGGCGGGGCGCACATCGCCTCCCCTGAAGCTGCTGAACAAGCGCAAGCTCCGGGGACGGCGAAGAGGGTCGTACGCTGACCCACTGCCGGGCGGAGTCGTCAACTTTGCCCGCTTCGAGACGGAGAAGGTGGACGAGCTGATCGAGTTCCTCAAGGAGCTTATCAGCGAGAGCGCCAAGGCGAACCGCGTCAGTCTGGCCAAGATGAAGTCGATGGTCAAGGTTATGGCGACGGGCGGAGGTGCGCACCGGTTCTACGACCAGCTCGTGAAGGAGCTCGGCGTCGAGGTCCGCCGCGAGGAGGAGATGGAGTGTCTCATTCTCGGACTCGGCTTTGTCGCGCGCGTCCCCGAGGAAGTCTTTTGGTTCTCCGAGGAACTCGTGTACGCCGTCTCGCACCCCGAGGGCCCGCGGACAATCCCCGCCAATGAGCTCCCGCGACCGAGCCCAACACCGCCAGCGTACCAGGTCACGTTCGCGGCACCGGGAGAGGAGCAGCCCGTCTTCCCGTGTCTCGTGGTCAACATTGGTTCTGGAGTCTCGATCGTCAAGGTGGACGAGGACGGATCCTACGAGCGAGTGTCTGGAACCTCGCTCGGAGGCGGAACGCTGTGGGGACTGCTGTCAATGCTGACGGACGCGAGCACGTTTGACGAGATGCTGCTGCTCTCGGAGCAGGGCGACAACAGTGCGGTTGACATGCTCGTTGGCGACATCTACGGAAGCGACTACAACAAGATCGGCCTGAAGAGTTCGACCATCGCCTCGTCCTTCGGCAAGGTGTTCAAGCACGGCGAGCGGCAGAAGCGCTCCTTCAAGCAGGAGGACATTGCGCGCTCGCTGCTGTACGCGATTTCGAACAACATCGGACACATCGCCTACATGAACGCAGCCAAGTATGGGCTGGACCGCGTCTTCTTCTCGGGCTGCTTCATCCGCGGCCACGCAGCGACGATCAGCACGCTCTCGTACGCGATCCGATTCTGGAGTAAGGGCACGATGCGCGCGTGCTTCCTCCGGCACGAGGGCTTCCTCGGCAGCATCGGCGCGTGGATCAAGAACGTCGAGGAGACCAACTCGGAGCACGGCGAGAGCGGCTCCGAAAAGTCGGAGTGCGAGACGGGCAATGGCCTCGCGACGAGCCCGACGGGAGCGCGGCCAACGGGTGTCGGAGGCACGAGCCCCGTCAGCTCGGCGCGCTCGACGCCAAAGCCCGAGGACGGATTCCGCGGCGCTCACACGCCCGCCAGCGCCGCTTCCTCAGGAGCACCGACGCCCAAGCCCATCCTCACGCCGCAGGGGAGCCAGAACCCCCTGACTACACTCGGAGGCAACAGGTGCACGCCCGGAGGGGCTTGGGCTAACGGCCCGCCCCGGACGCCGCCGCGGACCGCTAGTAGATAGGTGGGATGCAGCATAATAAATAGCAAAGTGCAGTGGTCAGGACATGGTTTGACGTGGGTTTCTATCAGCGGAGTGGCATTGGAGAGGGAAAGTGTGGTCATGTCATGTGTCAGAGTGGTACCCATCTGCTGGAATCGGGGGTCGGAGTGTGTGATGACGGTGTGAGGGAGCGCCGACACGATCCACTGAGCCAGCTGGGTATGCTACAGACACGACAGAGGGGGCCTCCAATGCATCCCGCCCGTCACTATATAAGCCCGGTCTCGTGAGCGTGAAGGAGGGAAGAGTGGAAATGTGATCCGGGGGACGGGAAAGCGGGCCTCCGCAGAGCATTATTGTATTCACGATCGGAGAATGGGTGCATCGGTGGTTGATATGCATGCGCGCTGGGAGTGGTGGACCCTCCACCTGAAAGTCCGTGATGGCCAGGATGCTAAGTCCGGTGGAGGAGAGTCTGTAGGTGAGGATAGTGAGGGTTTAGTCCCGTAAACGCCGGTCGTTGGCAGAGGAGGACCGGGAATTACATATCGAGGCCACGAGGTTGCCGTTCACAGAGCCAGTTGGTACAGTGGGTTGCCGCCGGCAGCGAGAGGGGGAGGTACGGGAGGTCAGCGGACCGGAGGCATATCGCCAGCGTCACTGGTTGAGAGCGTAGGGTGAGTGAGCGGCAGGCGACGGCAGAGGCGGCTCAGCGGCACAGGCGGCTCGCTGCCTCCGCCCCAGGCCGGCCAGCGCGGCCAGGCTGCAGCCCCTCACATGTGTGTTTGGTGGGGTGGGGGAAGGGCAAGCAGGGCACGCAGGGTACAGACGGTGAAGTCATCTCGGTGCTCACAACCCCGCTGACAGTCCTTGCAACCTGTCGAACCAGCCAGCCTACATAGTCATTACACCTTGTCCTTTTCTCCTTTCCCATCTCCATCCCATCCATCACCATCACCATGCTCTCCCTCGCCAGGCGCCACGCCATCAACAGCGCCCGCCTCCAGGCCCGCGGTAAGTTTCATCGACCCTCTTTCCATTTCTCACGGGATGGTCACTGGCGCTGTTCAGCTGTTAGTGCT